GTGCGCGCACACACTCCGGGACTCTGCTAGCAGCCTCCTACAGCGCTGGGACGCGCAAAGGGCGCATGTGCAGAACGCGAGCCCATATGAGGGAGAGGAGGAGGACAAGGAGGGCGTCGCTTTCGCCATTACGCGCACCGGTCACATCTATCCGATCGTCACACTCGTCTCTTCGTTACCCAATGCGGGCCTCGTGCTGTGCCAGCTCGCTGAGCAACCTCTGTCCGTCTCGAAGGTGGACGGGATCGCAAGGCAAGTTTTTCAGCAGCAGCAGGAACAACTGGAGCAGCCTTCCGGCATTCGCACCCTTCCCCTTTGTCCCTATCCAGCCACTGTCGGCTCCGAAGTGGCCGTCTCCAGCAGCCGAGGCTTCGAGGACGACAGCGGCACGATATTACCAGCGTGGTATTTCGACCCCTGCCCACCCTCCTCTTCCAACTCCCGCTCGAGCCTGCGGATCGACCCGGCGCGGAGCCGGTGGGGCCGCGCACGCCTCGTGACGTACAAGACGCCGCTCGGCGAGGAGGCTCACACCGGTACGTACGATAGCCTTCACAGCGCTGAGTTCCAGCTGCTCGAGACGAGCTCGCACAACCCACCCGCGCTGCAGAACCTCACGCTCAGCGGCGCCGCCAACGCACCTGCTGGTGGCACAGGTGACGGCAGCAGTAGTGCTGGGGCAGCTGGCACCTTAGCAAGGGAGAACAGCACGAGGGGCCAAGCGCTCCTCGCCGACAGTGCATTCAGCTCCTGCGGCCGGAAACGCTTGCCGTCCTTCCCGCCCCGTGGCAGCAGCGGTGGTCCAGTCGTGGACGTCAAGACGGGCAGCATTGTCGGCGTCGTCCGTGGTACCAAGATGAGCGTACTCGAGGGCAAGCGAGGCGATGCGATACCTGCCGAAAAGGTTTTTGAGTGTGAGCATACATCCGTTGCGGTTGGAAGATGCGAATGGAGCCGCCTTGATGCGGTACTGACCTCTTCCCTCTCCCTCTGCGCAGTTTTCGCTTTGCCAGGTTTCGGCGACCCTGGCAGAAAGTAGGACTAGCTTCCCCTATTTTGTCCTCTGGCGCCTTGTTCCGCAGCACCTGTTGTGACAAGCATGCACGCATATCAGATTCCTCGATGTCGCGCATATGCACAGGAGCCACGCAATGCAACGACGTATGACTGCTGATGTTTTGTACCATCCTTAATCCATCCACTTAAGTGAATTCCAAAGTACACGCATCTGTGAGCTGTAAGCCAAGCCATCATTGCGAGTGAGACGAACAGCGGGAACGGCAGCGGTCAGGGATGACACGAGACTTTGTATAAAGGATGTGTTTGCGAAACGTATGTAAATACACGCTGTGTTGGGATGAAGTCAGGCATCGCACCCTTGCCAAAGACGGAACAGAATGCGTGCCAGGCGCAGAAACCAGGGAGGCAGAGAAAGAAAGGAGGAACAGGTCTTGAATGCGCGTTGACCGACGTCCAGGAGAATGAGATGCGATAAGGTAAGGCGAGGCGAGCGGATGACGTCGGGCGGAGACCTATGAGGGAACAGAACGAATCTGAAATGAAGACGAGGGCGAAGACGAAGACGAAGGGGAAGGCCGTGATGTGTCATAGGTGTGCAGTAGATTGCTCGCTTCTTCTTGGTGCTGCTGCCGGACGCTGCGCGCAGCAGTATGGTGTCAAATTCAAATGAAGCAAAGTTGTGAGACGGATGAAGAGCGAGGTCTGAGGGCGGCAAGGGCGATGTCGATGTCGGTGCTATTCAAAGGTCCTTTAATTACCTTCATACCGATTGAAGTATAAGGGATGTCGGTATGTGGTGAACTGATATTTGCATTGCCGTTGGCGCGCCATTGCCAAGGCGCAGTCCGATCCGCGCCGGTCGTCGTCGTCATCATCATTATGGTACCTTGTCCGCGCTGCGCACCGAGCGCCGAATGCGGAGGACGGCAGAGTACAAGCAGGACGTGGATGTATGCAGAGGCGCAGTCGCGCCCTCCCTTGGGAAAGGGGCAGGGATATCAATGCTGAAGGCGATATGGCACATCCGACCAGGAGAGACTTGCTCAAAGCAGCTGCATGTAGTTGGAAGGAACAATTCCTGTAGTGCCATCCGGCTTCCGCGCCTGCCACCACTTGCCAGAGTTGTCGACAATGTCGAGGATATCACCCTTGGCGAACGAAATCTCCGCTGGATCGTCTGCATTGGCCGAATACGCATACAGCGCTCGCGCCTTGTACCCGTAGTCGGTGCCGCCTTCGGTGTGGTCCGCCTGAGGCTTGTCCGCCGCGTCGCCCGCTGCGGACGTCTGACCGGAGCGCACGGCGGGACTGTGCGGCGCGGCGGACGACGCGCCGCCGTGCTGCGACGTCGCAGCGCCATAGTCGGAGCCGGGGCCTGTGCGGCTCAGCGCTCCACCAGCCCCGCTGTTGCGCACACTCTGCACGGACGTGTGTGCGACGGGCATGCTAATAGCCGCATTGTTGCTGCCGGCGAGCTCCGTCTGACTGGATGTTGCGCCGTACGGAGCGGCCTGGTAGCCGCCGTTGGTCGTTGGCCCGCTAATCGTGCCAACCCCGCCTGCGTAACCTGCGGTGTAAGCGTTGCCGTTGCCCATGGCACCACGACCCCCGGCGCCATAGCGCCCTGCAGCTGCTCCGCTGGCCGGGCCAGAGAGCTGACCATTGCCAAAGCGAGAGGCGATACTGTAGAAGGTGGACTCCTCTTCTGAGGTAAAGAAGAAGAGCCAGATGATGTCCACAGCCGCACAGAGGATGTAACCGGCGCCCATCGCTCTATATGGGCCATCCATAGTCGTGCCTGCAGCGCCATACACGCCCTGGTCGGCGCCGAGGACGGCAAAGACGAGGGCGACAGCGGTCCATGCCGAGAGCTGGAGTCGGGCGACAGGTATCGCATCGGTGATGATCGTCAGGATGACGCCAATCGTCAAGAAGAGTTGAGCGAAGATCCCAAACCAAACGTAAGGGATGTGTGGCGCCAACGCGGTCCGCGTAGCAGAATCATGGCGCCCCTGTGCAACTGCCTGTGCGATGAAAGCGACGAACCAGCCGATGAAGCCGATCACAACTGTAGCCGCGAGGAGGAGATTCGAGAAGAGCAGACTATAGTGCACACCGAAACAACACCGCATTAGCATGGATGCCCTTGAAGACCGGATGGCCATCCTTTGACTACCCCCACATCCTGTGCTGGGTTGCCAAAGGATGGCCATCCGAGACGTTGGATGCAACGTCCGTTGCCATTTGCTCCGTTCTCCCCTAGCCAGTGGATGCCGACAAGCAAGAGGGCAATCTGATTCCCGTGCACCTGCGAGCGATCCCTCGGCTGGCCGAGGAAGGTAGCGAGAGGAAGAAAGAAAAGGCGAGGTCGACTCACCTGATATCGACGCCGCCACCGCTCTTGCCCCTTGCTGCCATGTTGCTGCCGTGAGCGTGAAAGCGGTGAAGGTTGATGTCCTTTTCACTATAGTATGCCGCGTTATTGGAGGCGGCTCTGTTACCGGCGGCGCTGAAGTGGTAAGGCTGAGCGCCTGCTGGAGAAGCAGGTGAGAAAGGAATTTTGGAAAAGAGTACAAAGAGGCAAGAAGCCGGGGCCGCTGGCTTGCCGCTTCTGGCCAGGTCAGTTGCGGCTGCGGCGAGCTAAGAAAAGAGCGCCGGCAGGTGGGCCGACGTGCGTGCGTGCGTGTTTGCTTGGAGATGTCTGAGTGGTTGCTTGGCGAAGAAGTGAATGGCTCGCTTTGATCGAATGGAGAACAGCAATTGACGAAAGGAGGTGCAGAGAGGAAAACTCATCCTCAATGCGCTCCCACTCTTGTACATATTGACGAATGTGACAACCATATCAAGTAAATGAATAATGAAATCGATCATCGGCGGGCAGAGGCGCAGCGAAGCGCAGCGCCCTGCCGGGCTTGGCAACAGACTGCACATACACGCGCGAGGGGCACAGCCGCATTCTCCCCACCCGCCCACAGCCCCGGCACAACCAGTTCGGGGGCTGTGAGCTAAATTCGCAGGAAATTCGGGAGAAAATGCAACAGTACATGAATATTTTGTGCCCCGCCGGCGGCCGACCCTCTGTCCCGTCGGGCGTTTTTCTTTGTCCAGAGTTCCCCGCCCTAGATGACGCTTTTTCGTGGATGTGAAACAGATCTTAATCATGACCACTTGCACTGGAGGTCTTTCGCGCGATGCGTCTCCTGCAGCGTCTTGGTCGAGAAAGTTACACTAAGGAGCAGACGAGGACATTGGTGGACGGCTAGCGTGTACATGAAAGTATCCTTGAGGATGAATTCCAAGATGCGAGCCGTCTGTCTGGATGTGGCACCGGCGGAAACGAGATGATAAAAACGGGCAGCGCCACGCCTGGCATGCATCAACTGCAGATGGCCATTTTCTTATTTTTTTTTTCATTTTTTGGGGCAGCTTTGGTTTCAACACATGGTAGGTAAGCAAGGTACGCACTAGTCGATATTGCAAGGGGGAACTGGAACACTGTCCTTCTCGCCTCTCGCTTCTCCGTCCGCTGCACTCCACTTCCCGCTCGCCACGGACACTCCATTGCTCCTTTCGGATGCAACACCCGGCCTTGACTCACGACTGGTTTTGCGAGAGGCAATGATAAGGGCTCCACTTTACCCTGAAATTTATTTTGAATCGCTACCAAAAGTGGAACTTACATAGTCCTCCAGAGTGTCATTAACCCTATTTCCTACCCCTATGGGCTCCTCTTCTTGTGGCATCGCGTCGTGAGCTTCTTGGTGCAGCCACAAGGCACTTTCTAGTTTCCAGACTTGGTGGGGGGGGGACATCTTTGGTTGCATCGGCACTGATGGCCCTAGGATAGTTCTAAGATGAAATCTGCTGATGCAATATTACTGAGCCCAGAGGAGCCGCTGACACGACCGCGCTCCAGCGGCATCTACTGTTGGAAGAACGTCGTTTGCCAATGTAAGATTGACGAGAGCCGTGTGTGGAACCCCACACCATGGAAGACGCATCTGTGCTACTTCGTTCTTATGCATCATTGAAAGTTGGAAGTGTGAATGAAGTGCATGTTATAGCTAGGTGCTGCGTGGAATGTATGCATATTTAGAGCCTGGATGAGTCTTGGCTTCCGTCGGATGAGAGTCGCAAGGGGCCAGCCGCGCGTGCCCTTCCTCTCCTCCCGTGGAAGTAGCGGGGAGTCATTGGGTTGCCTCACCCTGGTGGAAGCAGGCATGCCCGACGCCAGCGCATGAGAACCCTTCATTCCATTTACACCGTAGAGCACTCGCTGTACCGCAGGGAGCATTGATATATACGCCGCGCATCGCCTTGTCTCGCCAGCTCTTTGACAGATCTCTCACACCCACCCGCAGAAGAGCCCATGTTGGCTCGTCTCGCTGCTTTGCGCGCTGCTAGCACCCCTCACCTTCGCCTTTCCCGCTGTCCTTTCGTCAGCATCGCCGCCGCAGCCATGTCCTCCAGCGCTGCATCCGCGCCTGTCGACGGCGTCGTCATCGCCATCGGCCAGACGGGCAAGCCTGCGACACAGCAACAGAAGTACCGCGTCGGCGACGTGTCGGCCCAGTGGGCCGCCTCCCGTGCCGACAGCACCAAGCCGGGCCAGCTACGTGTCTTCCATCCGTTCCAGGCCTCTGCGCCAACAGTCGCCGCCGTCAGCCTGGGCACACAGAGGGCCGCTCCGAGCACGGCGCCCGATGCACTGCCTAAGCCGCAGACGTTCCTGCGCAACGAGATGCTCGAGCGCACACGGCTCGCGGCCGCCAAGGGTGCGCGTGCGCTGCGCGACCTAGGCGCTCCGTCGGCAGGTGCCGAGGAAAAGAAGGACAAGAAGCAGCCGACGAAGCGCACGATCGCCATCGATGGCATGTACAGCCCACATGCCGCTGCCGTCGGCGCGAACCTCTCGTTGTTCACGTTCAACCACTTCAAGACTCGTGGCGCGCCAGAAAAAGCAGGCTTCAACGTGCCCGTCGAACTCAAGGGCGGACAGGAGATCGCCGTTGTGCCACTGCAGGAAGGCAATTGCAACGACGAAGGCGACGAGCTCAAGGATGTCATTGCTGCTGGAGGCGACGGGGGCGTGCCACAGCTGAGCTGGCAGACGGGTGAGGTGTATGCCCAGGCGCAGAACTGGGCCAGAGAGCTGAAGGAGACGCCTGCGAAGTGAGTATCGACGCAAATCGGGATAGAGATGTGAACATTCAAGGCCAACGACTCTGTTTGCCTCCTCCCCAGCATGATGACCCCAACCATCTTTGCAAAACGCGTTGTTGATGCTTTCAAAGGGCTTGCTAACACCTCCGTCACGGTCCACGACGAAGACTGGGCGCGCGCGAAGGGCATGAACGTCTTCCTGTCCGTCACTGCCGGCACGGAGCAGCCTGCCAAGTTTGTCGAGATCACGTACGACGGCGCCTCGTCACCCGATGCACCCAAGCTGGCACTCGTTGGCAAGGGCGTCTGCTTCGACTCGGGTGGAATCAGCCTCAAGCCCGGTGCCGGCATGAAGCTCATGCGTGCGGACATGGGCGGCGCGGCGTCCGTCGTTGCGGTCATGCGTGCCATCGCTGAGCTCAAGCTGCCGATCAACGTCGTCGCTGCTACACCGCTCGTGGAGAATCTGCCTTCCGGATCGGCGACCAAGCCTGGAGACATTATTGAAGCTATGAACGGGTTGACGGTCGAAGTTGGTAAGTACCCGTTGCACGGGCTGAGCCCTCTACTCAGCATGGACAGGTACTAACGGCGTACTGGAACTTTTCCCCCAGACAACACTGACGCGGAGGTATGTATCATACGGTCTCACGCTCCATGGCATCAACACTGCGAACTAACGCACGGGTGTTCACTCTTCAGGGTCGCCTCATCCTCAGCGACGCCCTTACCTACATCTCTCGCGAATACAAGCCGCACACACTACTGGACGTCGCAACGCTGACCGGTGCGATCCTGCACGCTCTCGGGCACCACTACAGCGGTGTCTTTGTCGAGGACGAATCGCTTTGGCAAGAGCTCAAGGCTGCCGGTGAAGCGGAGAAGGACCTGTTCTGGCGCATGCCTCTGGATGATGAATACCTTCGCTACATCGACAGCAGCAACGCCGACCTGTGCAACAGAGGCACCCCCGCCGGGAGCGCCTGCGCTGCCATCTTCCTCAAACAGTTCGTCGACGGCCTTGAAGATAGGAGCAAGCTCTCCGCCAACGCTGACGAAGGCAAGCCGACCGTTCGCTACGGCCACATCGATATTGCTGGAACGATGGAGACGAAACAGCCCACCGACTATCAGAGCTCAAGTATGCTCACCGGTCGGCCCACGCGCGCTCTCATCGAGTTTGCGAGGCGCTTTGCTGTCCTGCACACGGGAAAGCAGGCATGAGCACGGCGCGGCGCACCGTGCCGTCTAATATCGGTCAGAAGGTAGCCCTTATTCGTTCGCTCCAGCATGTTCCTTGCGTCGCAGAAATAAAGAGGAACATTGGGAGAAAGCCTACTAGTGACGTCGACTGTCACGTCCTATAATTAATGCGTTCTCTTGTGTTGCGGCTTCAAGACTGAGAAAATCGTGGGACCGTAGAACTTCCTTGAGCCCACATTCTATTTCTTTATACATTATTCACGAAACATCCACTAAGGTCCATTCTTCGGATCTGTTCTATGGAATTAACAATTCTGAGTGCTCTCCGCCGAAGGTCCTACACTTAGAAGGAGGTATAAGCCTGCTCTCCGAGCTTAGGCAGTTGCACTGAAGGAAGTAGACCTTTATATCCGCCGTCGAAGTGGGTGAGATAACTTCGCCCGTGGAAGCGCTCTGGCACTTGTATTGACAACCAGCCTGCGGTTCGATTCGCCTCCTCAGGACCGAATTTGCTACCATGGCGTCCGAAGATCACAAAAAGCTGAGCATGGAAGAGTACGATGCATTGCCGCAAGAGCAGCGAGATGCGTATGACAAAAAACAAGCAGCGCGGGAAGCGGCGGAGCAAGCTGCACTGCCATACAAATGGAGTCAGACGCTCGAATCGGTCCAACTTTCGGTGCAGGTCCCAGAAGGCACAAAAGGGAAAGAGCTGAACGTGGTCATCAAGAAGAATGGCCTCAAATTTGGACTCAAAGGGAAAGATGCAATCATCGATGTGCGTTTTATTCCGGTCTCTGTTTTGATCCCAGGTGCACAGGCTGATCAGGACCTTTCCTTTCATGCCATCAGGGCGAGCTGCCAAAGCCAATCAAGGAGGAAGATAGCATGTGGTCGCTGGGTGAGCTTGCTCTTAACTCTTTACCAATCCAATGGCATTACTTATATGTTCTGGGGCCTCCACAGAGGACAACAAGCTCGTCACCATCCATCTCGAAAAGTTGTCGAAGAACGAATGGTGGCCCCACGTGCTTACGAAGGATCCCAAGATCGACACGACCAAGATCGTACCAGAGAACTCCAGCTTGAGTGACCTGCCCAGCGAAGAGCGTGCGATGGTGGAGAAGATGATGTGGGACCAGCGACAAAAGGAGATGGGAAAGCCTACTAGCGAGGAATTGAAGGGCATGGAGGCGATGGCGAAGCTGCAGCAGGCCAATCCAGATGTTGACTGGTCAAAGGTCAAATTCAACTGAAATGCAAGGCATCCAGCAAGACAAAATGACAAACTCAATGTATTTGTATCAGGATGTATGAGAATCCCGCCCTTGTCAATAAGTCTATGAGAGAAAAGTTATGACAATCTCAGTCGCGGCCCATCAGCTCGGCAGCACCCAGAGCGATTTTTGTACAACCTTGAGGCCGTTGATACTTGGTGGCAACTTAGCTGGAGTATATTCGAAGAGTGAGGCCTTGAAACGTTGAATCTGAACATCAGCCTGCAGCTGCACCTCCAGGTCGACTCTCCCTCCCGCTTTCAGAATTCTGCGGATACGCTTGTCCAGTGTCTGTGAGCTTCACATTGCACTGCCCTGTCGCTTGGCCTGGATTGCGAGGTGTGCCCGGCTGGAAGACGACCTTGTGATGGGTAGTGTGGGCAAAGTGGGTGGATGCAGACCCGAATGGCTGACCATTGTACCGCGCGACGAATATGAGAGACGTAAGACCTATTGACACTCCGAGAGGGTTGTTCATAACGACTATTCAGACGACACAGACGCGGTCGGCATCGAAGAGAGAAAAAATCGAGGAAACGACTAGCTACTCACAGCTGGTCTCGATGCTGTTGGCTGTCAGCAGCCAAGAGAGGTATGGAGCTCTCATCGGATTTCGCAGAGCTCCCTCACGACATAATATTGACTCGCAGCGCGAGAAGAACCTTTCCCTTCAGCGAGATCAGAGTCGCAATAAATGTGGGTTCTTTAACGCCGTCGATGCACTGAGCGGCACCCCTGAAGGGAAATTGTGTTGATTTGCGGGGCGAGGGCTTTACATTGCTGGTACGGACTATCCCGATCTGGACGCCATCTTGCTAGAGCGCCCGCTGAATCTCCGCCAGGTGCACGGCGAATGGCGCGTGCGTGACAACCTGCGCATCTGCGCGGACTAGCAGCGCAGACTCTTCTCTATTCTCGCCGCCGATGCTGAGATTGTTTGCCTGGATGACTTCAAGCCCACTGAGGCCTGCGATGAAGATGACCTCTTCCAAACTCGAGTCGAATGTGACGCCAATGGTGTTGATGCCCATCGGGCGGGCTCTGGTGCGCCTGGTCGTTGTTGAGCGCGTGGGTATCTGCGCATGGGCGATGGTGACGTTCGAGGCATTGCCAGAGATTAGCGAACGGATGCGCGCATTGCTGCCGTAGTCAAAAGTCGCCGTCAGGCTACATGGCCCTAGAGCACTAGCAAAGAGTCGCAGATACTCACGTGGAAAGTGCGCGCTGATCTTGTGGATCGAGCATGAAGTCGTCCAGAAACTCCAGCGCTACCACTACTCTCCCGCCGCTCTGCCCGTCATCCTCGAGCTCGGCGATCTCCGGCCAATGCGGGAAGTGCACACTGGCGCTGATCAGGTCGAAGCTCTCAAGCTTGACCTGCCAAGCCGCTCCGATCCCATCCGCGCTCATGCAGCGCACCTTGATGCGCTCGACGTTGATCTGCGCCTGCTCTAGAAGGCGAAAAACGATTGGCTTGCCGATATCAGGCGAGATGGCATGGGGGACCTGCTGCGTGAACGCGATGCACAGGTCCTCCTGCTTGAAATTTATCGGCTGCGGTAGCGCGTACGAGCCAATGAGCACACGCGCCGAGAGATACGCCGTGATGGAGAGGTGGGCGCGCGCATGGACGAGCAGCGCGGGTAGGCCGGACGTCGCTTCCGAGGGAAGAGTTGCTGACGCTAAGGCGGAGAGCGTGCGCTTGCGCCTGAGTACCGGATCTGGTGTAACCCCTTCTCCGCGGTTGCCCGCGTCGCCATGGATATTGGGCGTCCGGCTGGGGCCATTTCTTCCCAGTTTCAATTCGGGCACCTCCTCTAGATCTATTCCAAGCGAGACGGCCTCCCTCCTCGCAGCCAAGCGCAGTAGCCCGACAAGCGCCGAACGGCCAGGGTTCAGCGCGACGGAAAGCTTCTCCGTCGTCACACCGCCGCTGGCTTCGAAGTGTACAGGCTCCAAGTAATGCTGCTAGAGCCGCTGCCATGCAGATCGCCCAGGTTGATCGTGCTGAGCTCCAGCCATGATGACAAAGCGGGGTGTGCGGCACCCGTGCGTGACTCATGCCCAGTGAACGTGACCTTTCACGCGTCGATCTGCACCGCAGCACTGCCGAGCAAGTGGACGAGTGTCTTCAGCGCAAATAGCGGGCCCGGGTCGTAGGCTGAGTCTGTAATAGCGCCTGCAGCTGCTGTGGGCTCGCGCACGCAAGAGCTGACGGGGCTCATGTCATGCACCAGACGTGCTCTGTCACCGAGCGGCGGCAGCGTCGCATTCATGCGCGCCCCGGCGAATGTGGCAGCCAGCCACGGGATTCTCGAAATCGTGCGTGCGGCCGACGCGATTGGTACGGGTGTTGCTGGGGTGAGTGGTAACGCAACGGCTGAACCCGCTCACTTGCTCGTTCTGGATCTTGGTGATGGGCGCTAGTGCAGCGCGCAAGCGCTCCTCGTTCCCCTCCCCCTCCGCCTTCCAAGTCAATCCGTCCGCTAATACTGACGATGTTCCGGCTAGCTTCGAGCCACACATTCGCGAAACGCAAGCTACCAATGCCAGCCTCCTGTTTCTTTTCCGTATCAGTAGTAAGGACAGGCACGACGAGGTTGAAATCCAGGTCTCCGATTTCGGCGGCCATGCTCGCTGTTGCGGCCATGGCCGACGGTCCAGGCAACGGGGATGCTTGGTCATTGACGGGTGATTCATCAGCGGTTTCAAAGCGAGATGAATCTGACGTTGCCAGTGGCGCGTGTGGTGGCCGCGATGGTACAACTTCAGCCTGGCCTGAGTCGGCGCCTCCAAAGTCGAACACGCTACCCAGCGCATCCAAGCCAGGCAAACAGCAGGTGCTTTTCGAGCGCAAGCCCAGTGACCATCAGGCCAAGCGCTTGGGCGTTGACCTTGACGTCTAAAGACGGGGTCTGCATTTGAACCAGTGCTGCCGCTGAGGCTTGACGGGTACACTGGAGGAGCATTTGTGTCTTTCACCAAGCGAACGACTCGATCTCGACGCGCGCGATCAGCCCTCCCTCCTCCCTCCATCCTGCGGCCACCTGAGCATAGCATCATGCACTTGAACGCTGATGCGTTCTAACGGGAGTGGCAAGGCCGAGCTTAGCTTGAGGTTGTCGAGCCTCAGGCCCAAATCTGCGCCGAGGCATTCTAGCGTGACAGAGTGGATGCTGTCACGTAGAGCGAGAGTCGCTTCCGGACGAACTGCACGATCGGGCGGGAGAAAGGAAGACTATCTCTTAACTTTCGCTTGAGCGTGTGCATTGAATATGTTCAACCGGTGACAACGCGGTCCCCATCCGTCTTTCGCGATGACTACCGAGGCCTGGGACACTTGCTGCCAAGACCTACCAACGACACGCGCGTGAGGGAGCGGGTTTATACGGAGACGCGACTGCAGACGATATGGCCGGGTTCGATGCCGTCGTCGCAGCCTGAGATTGCATTCCTGTGTGGAATCGACCATAGTTAAAATCCAGATCCAGCATTAAAACATAGAATGCTCGTCGCCTCGGCACATGGCATCCACCGCACAATGCCACGTGACGGAACTGGGAAAAAAGGAGGGATTGCGCAGGAGAAAGCGCAGAAAACCCGTAGAAAGGCGATACTGTAAACAGATTGCGCAATGGATCGCTCGCACCTTGAACTTGGAGCTGTCTTCTCGCTCTATGTTGCAATGAGCATGTGAATAATGTGTTGTGCGACGGGGGACGAGAGACTGGCAAAACGTGTCGCGTGCGTGCGAGCCCACCGTGTGATGTATAATAATAATACAGTGCGGAATGAGTGACACTTGTACGCGCAATACTACAGCCGAAGTCACTGCCTTTCAATCACAATGGAAAACAAACGAACGGGGCCCCAATAATGACGCATTGCTCTTGCAGGATGCGAAGGATATGGATCTACTGAGACTATCTCGTCATTGCTGCGTGCGGCTGAATACCTCTCTCACCTTTTTTGCAACGTTCCACCGGTCCTCACGGGACTTGTCCGCATGCTTGATATGCCCGACTGCCGATGCCCACGTGATCCAAATTCTGTGGCGTCATGATTCAACGGCAAAAAAAGTGTCATCCCACACTTAGATGGGTGTCCCTTTTGGGAAGAGGGTTAGGGTTAGGGTTGAGGCCTGAGTCTCCTCCCCGATCAACATCCCTTCGACTGGTCGTTGCGGACCAACCATTGACCTTGTGATCGAGTCCTGATGGAGTATGGAGAGTTGGACGATGGACAACACTCCACAACGTTGCAAAGGGCTCACAGAGGTTCCATACTCACACCCCTTCATCTCGTCAACTTCTGGCAGATATAATCCTATTCCAATTCCCTGTGGACTGTCAGGTCTCCTTCGTCGGGTAGCCCTATAGGCTGTGCGAGGGCACACACAACTCAGTGCTCAGTTCTGCTTGTCGTACAAGGGAGCAAGCGCGCTAGGAGAATTGTCCAGGCAAAAGGCTCCGATCGCTGGATACCGACGTCGGGATGCGCCTGCTACCCTCATTTTTGCCAGCGTCGACACGTACGGCAGGCACATGGTCCTCTGCAACTGCGGCCGCGCTTGCAGTGAGCGCGCTCGCTTCACTGGTGCTGGCGCTTGTCGTTCTCCAACCGGCAGGCGCTGCGGCCTCGCCTCTTACACCTCTGCACATGCATCCACATACTGCAGGAGTTCTTCCGTCTGCGACCTCAGTATTCTCATTGGGCCTCACACCTGTCGCGTTATGGGATAGGCTAGTTGGCGAGCTTTTCAGCTTGTCTGCTTCCTGGCTACCACGGCCTGAGGGAGGAGCCAGACGATGGAGTGGGAGCATCGCCAAGGTGGAGAGCCATGTGATCGCGAATGCTGATGCCGCCCAAGCCGCAAATGAGGGTGATGATGTTACGCAGTCACAAGAACATGCAAGCGGGTCGGGGATCGTATACGTGAGTTTCTAACTACTGCTTAACTTGCTTGCTCCTTGACGCACTGGCTCATTGTCTCCCCTCTCACTTCGCCTCACCGCTGGTACAGCTCATCCGTCATGCCGAAAAGTCGTCAAAGTCGGGCAACGGGCTGAGCGCGCAGGGCGTCCGGCGCGCCGAGTGTCTCGTTGACCTGTTCACCTTTTCATTTAGCCCTGCATCTCTAACAGATAATGCGACCGCTACAGCAGAAGAAACAATCCAGCGTGGACGCAAGCGAAAGGGATCCCACCGCCAGGAGCGCATCTCCATCTCGGCAGTGTTCGCGCAGTCATACAACCCATCCACGGGTCGCCGCTCGCGGCCGTACCGCACGCTGCTCCCGCTTGCACGCGCGTTCGGCATGAGCGTCGACCACGCGTGCGAACGCAATGACGCGCACTGCGTCCGGAAGAAAGTCGCAACCCTGCTGCGACAGCCGCAGGTGCAGGGGGGACACGGCAAGGGCAAGGGCGAGGACAAAAACAAAGGGAAGAACGTGTTGATCTCATGGCAGCACTCAGCCCTCGCGGATGTTGCCCGTGCGTTTGGAGTGCATGGCTTGCACTACCCACCAGAACGTTTCGACATCATCTTTGCCATTCAGGACGGACGCCTGCTTTCCGTCACGTCGCAAGAGTGCGTCGGGCTCGACGAGCGCTACTTTGGCTGGAGAGGCCACGGTCGCCACCTCACTCCTGGCGCTGCCTAGCTCGCCCATCTGCTACCCAGCAAAGACGAGGGGGCCGAATGCGCAAGGATAGTCTGGCCAGCCGCGGGTTCGATTCCACTTGTTTCTTTTGTTTTGCACGCAAACAGATACCCTCCCGCATCGATGCAACCGTGAGTATAACAGCAAAGCGGCAAGATAATTTTCTTATGTACATTGTAATTTCATATGGCATATACCTTGTCCACTGAAAATAATCGGTGTCTTCCAAAGGCCTTGCCAGCGCTCTAAACATGGGAGACGCCCATATTTGTTCGTATTATAGAACAATTGGATTTCGAACACGGCGCAGCCCAAGGCCAGTCCCGCATGCACACAAGGTGCAGCTAGTCTGGGATACTCAGTACACTACGGTTGTGCATCAGCTTGGGACCAACGACTAGACTACACTGCGCCGCAAAGTGTAGGTTTTAAGCCTTCGTGTAGCGGCACGTTGCAAGGGCTTAACGTCAACTGGATACCCTCATCGCTGCGGCAAGTCGCTCAACTTGAAGTTGCTCCCCAGCGAGCGCATGAGGGCCACACGGTTGCAGTCTTTCTCCGAGACGCAAGTGTGCCCGCCCAGGTCCATGCTTTTCGATTCACCGTCCGCGTACGGACATCGGATTTGCTCCGGGAAAGGACAGGGACAGTTGGCCGGCTTGTCGACGCAGCTTAGTGTTCGCGGGCAGAGGTACCGAATGCACGTCGCTATTTTGTCATTGAAGAAGGTGAAGCCAGCCCGAAAACTCATGTCAGTATGAGTTCGAATGTTGAGTTGATATCTGACGCTGCACGTGAAGATGACAAGGCGATCATCATGCCTCACTCACCAGCATCAACGCGTTCATTCCACCACCTCGAATCGCCACTTGGCGGCGCTTCCTGCTCATGAGCCTCGCCGCTTGCTTGTCCCGCGTTGAAGAAGTGCTGGAAGAACCCGCCTTGCGCGTTAGCCGTCTGACCCAGCAATGTCACGGCCAGCAGGGCGGACAAGGCCAAAGACAGTAATGATTGCACAGGTGCTGGGCTTGACCGACGCTGGGCTGTGGTCGATGATTGTGTGCGCCGCGCCGGTCGCATGGTATGAGCTCCTTTAGACGCAGTTCTGACGGCGTGGTTCTGCGCTAGCAAAGGCGAGGGCGGGCAGAACGGTCACTATCACGGAGGACTGGATTGTCGACAAATGGCGTGGTGAGCACAGACGAGACTGGACAGACTCAGAGGAGGCGGTCTGCAAAATGACGTGGAAAGAGAGTGGGAGTCGGCAGTATCATGTGACATGTCTGTTGCCCGCAAGTACGTGAGTCCGGAGTAAGTGATTATGTTGGATTCGTGACGCGACTTCCTGAAGATGTCATTCATAATCGCTTTTGATGAACTCGATACTTTGCGTCCTCCAGGGTCCTTCGTGACCTCCATATGCACTAATATTTTGCAACACATTGCTATCGCAAAAGGCTCTCCAGTTCCTCAAGCTTGTGCAGCCATGATGGCCCCAACAAACACCACGCCTCTGGGCTTTTCGGCGCGAAGAGGCCGCAAGTCTGCAACTCCGTACGAGCTCATCGCTTCGCAATCCACCGCCTCGGCGTCATCTTCATCGCCATTTCGATCTTCTGCCGCTCCTGCCTCAGGTAGATCCGCATTTGGGACGAACACGCCTGTACGGCCGAGTGCACTCGGTGCCGGGACCATCTTCTCTCCCGCCTCGATAAGGAGCCTCGATGCAGGGACAGGGTCGCCGTTCAGAAGGAACGTCCCCTTCGGCAGCCCGGGTTTGCGAGCTTCGACGGCTACTGCAAGTGCCGGTTCCTTTCCAGGTCGCTCGCCAGCAGCAAGAGAGAGCAAGCGGAGAGATTCGTCCGTGGGCGAATCATCACCACCGTCAAAGAAGGTAAAATCTGCTCGCTTCGTCCGTCGTAGGTCATGGACGGAAAAGTAAGGGTTGCTACGATTGTGATGACTCTCTGCCGTATGAAAGTCACACTCATTTTCACTTTTCTTGGCCCATAGAGCAGCTACACTTCCCGTGGAGCTTTTCCATTCCCTCTCCATGCAGCTCTCACTTTACATGAGCGACCTGCAAGAACTTGGGCCGTCATTCGGCTGGATTCTCGGAGGCATTTTACACTTCCTCTCCATTATGGCGCATGTCATCTCGCCAGACTCAGATTTTGGGCTCGGATTCGGATCTATGTTCAGCCGCCGTAGATCCAGAAATGGAGCTGCCGGCACTATCGCTGCCAAAGGCGGGTCAGTCAAAAGTATGTTCGTTGACGATCGCAAGGCACCTCTTCGCACCGCTTTGGGACTAGGGACAAGTTCAGCCCCCAGCACAGCCGAACAGATGCGACGTCTAGCTTCTATGCAGCGGCAGGCCTGGCTCAGAGCAATTGTGAGTTAAGGCGCGCCTCATCACATTTTTCTTCTTCCAGCTTTGACGCCGTATTTCTCACCTGCTTATAGAGCATCGTCCTCTCTCTTTCACTCTTGCTTTTGGCGAGCTACAATGCCTACTATCTCTTCGTGCAGGCCAGACGGCGGTACACGTTCTGGATGAAAAGCCAGGATGAGCCACTGAAATCCGAGAATGCCAAGTTGGTTCCAGTCGTTCAGCGCGACGACGAGCGACCGAGTCTCCATGAGCGTATCATTGAAAACATAACGTGAGCAACCACCTGTCTACTCGACTTGCTAGGTTGCGGGACAATACTGATTCCCGTCATCGTTCATTCAACCCTTGCGTAGTACATTTGCGCAAGCGCAACTTCGAAAAGCCCCTATCATCAATTGGTTTGTGCCTCAAGAGCATGCCGCATGGCGCAATGGCAACCGAAATGCCACGCCTATGATGTATGCGCTTGACGTCTGGCGAGCACCCGAGCTCAGCCTTAGCATCTTTTGGTGAGGCTGGTATGAGGAGGGATGGGGAGCTTCACTGCGTGATAGCCGAAAGAGGGGCATTGACTGTTTAACCACTCTCCTGCAGTGTCTATTCTCCCGTCCATGCGCTATGGTACCACTTTGCAGCGCTGTTGGGCATAAAGGGCCTCATATCTTGGATCGCAACCTGGCTCGTCATGGCGGGCCTTAGTGGACAGATGCAATGGGTTATGCGAGAGTTCCAGGCGCTGCTGAAGGATCGGCAGACCATCTCAGGCGAGGTGATGAATGAGTATGAGCAGAAAGTGCGTGGCGTGCCACGTGCCAAATCTCTCCCAGTCTAAGAGTCTGTTATCACTGACTCCTGCCCCTCCTTTCTCGTTGACCTTGCCCTCCTCGCCCGCAGTTCGTCCTACCGCGAGCTATGCCGGAAGTGAGAGACGCATGCGTCATGACGAGCGAAGCAGAGATGATCGGTGTGCGCGATTGGCAGCTTCGCCAGTCTGCCCCATCGCAGACGCCAACGGCCAGCATGGATACCACTGCCCTTCAGGTCAAGAGCGCCAGCAAGAGTGCGAGACAGGGAAGAAAGACGGGAGGCGGCGAGTCGCTCAACCCATGGTGATGTACACATTTCTAGTATTATACCTGGCACTACGAACACAGCCTCTCTCATCAACATGTATCACTGCATGAATTGTCAAATTGGATGACAAGATGTATTTTGAAACGTACATTGGTCTGGCTCGACTTGGCATGCCGTCCGCGCTCAAACATTGCGGCTCTATGGCTGTCAAATAATACAAGGGAGGCTGTGTGCGTGCGTGCATGTACGTGTCCGACCTCCAGGCCGGTCACTCGGAGATGGAAATAAATGGATCACATACAGAAGTGTTGGTGTTTCGCGAGTTAAGGTGCATGTTGCTGGTGTATCAAGATAATGTGGGATGGTGAGGATGCACTTGCTAGGAAGGTGCTTTGAATCGGTGGAATAGGGCGAGAAGTACACAATTTTGTCGAGCTGGCAGCTTGGCCAAGAGTCGGAACAAGTCGAAAGTGATCGAATCGTCAGAAAGGGGGGCAGGTGAAGATTTCACGCGAAGAGATACAACGCGCGAGACAGCGGTTAAAGGGGCAGAGAGATGTGGAATCCAGTACCACATTCACTCGTCGATGCTGTTTGTGTCTCCATCGTCGGACAGAACGCCGTTCCGCCCGTGCCCGTTAGTGATATCCTCGTAAGCATCAGTGTCGCCGTCATCGGCTTCCCCATCGTCATGAGCTCCATTGCCATGGGCTCCATTCTGCTGAGCGACAATGGCGCTATGTGACGCGCTTGGGGGGCGGCTGTGGAGGGTGATCGACTTGGGCCGTGGGGGGTTGCTATCGGGAGCCGCTGCGGGCGCATTGGCCGGCGAAGCAGGCGACGTGGCTGCCGTGTTGCCCTCGAACTGCCTTGCCGATTTGTCGGCGCTGCCGACACCAGTGACTTCCTCCTCGATCGGTGGTGGCCGGTCGACTGCGCGCGGTGTGCTATTCTTCGATGAGACGCGCCGCAGCGACGAGGCGCCCTGAGCTTCGACGTCTGCGACGACGGTGGCCTTCCGTATTTGCACCGTGCCCGACGAAGGGAAGCTCTCCAGCCTGCGGCGCGGAGGCGCAGGTGGCGGGTTCTTGTTGTTGAGCGTCTTGCTACGACCGAGCGGGCGGTGGTCATTGAGGGACGCCGGTGGCGGCGCGGCTGTGTGCTCGTTGCGCTGGTTAAAGGGGTTCGAGGGGCGCTCGATGCTCGCGGCGGACATGGCGTTTTCGCTCATCTCGTCGCTGGGCGAATCGAGCTCAAGCGGAATATCTTCGGGTATCGGGCTTGGCTGGTTGTCCCGGGCGCAGGAACGCTGAATCTCGTCCTGCTCCTGGAGCCAGCTAGGTATGTTACCCTTGCTGGCGCGCGTCGCTTGAGTGTCTGCGCCATCGACGTCGTTGTTCAGCTTGGACAGACGCCGACCGGTTGGGGGCTCATATACGTCCGGCGAGCGTGTGGCTGTGCGGTTTGTGACGGAGGACGAGGTGCGCACGTGCCCGGTGCGGCTCTTGATGCTCTTCACCTCGTCCTCCTCGCTGGTGCGCCTTACGAGCGTCGTCGCGGCCTCGCTGACGCTGCGGCGCTGACCGTGCGTCGAGCTGCCGCCGCCGAGGCTCTTGCGCTTGATGTGGCCGCTGCCACCGGCTTGCGACGCAGAGACGGAGCCGAGGCCATACAGCTGCTCGAACTGCTGCTGCGCCGCGAGGGCAAGCGGCGCGATCACCTCTGGAGGCGCGACCTGGCCCGTGAGAAGACGGGGCGCAGCTTCGCGCCTGGACGCCTTGCTCGGCTTGGCCGCGACGGTCGAGGACCTCTGGATGGTCGTGTACGTCTTGGGCGGGAGCGCCTGCTTGGCGCGCTGTACTTCGCTGGCGGCGTTCAGGCCGGCCTGGATCAGCGGGCTGATCGGCGCGCGCGGCGGTAGTGGCGGTGGCAGCCGATCGAGCACGGTTGACAGGCGCGGCTGAATGTCGCCGCCCCACTGCGAACCGCCAGCGGCGGCAGCGCTGGGGCCATCGAGGACGCTCGCACTGGGACTGCGCGAGCTGGCACCCGAATCGCCTCTGTCGCGTGGGACGGGTGTGCGGAATGGGTTGGGCACCGGCGCTGCGGCGGATGCGACGACGGGCGTGGGACGTACGATGCGAGGCTTGCTCTGCTTGAACGGGTTCGGCGCCGGGTTGAAACCGAGCAGTGCGTCGATCGGCAGCTGGCCCGGTTTGGGCGGCTGCGGCGGCGCGGGTGTCGGTAGCGCGGGTGCGGCATGATGCAGCACGTATGGATGCGCTTGCAGCACGACATACGGCGGCCGCGCCGGCACAGCTTGCGGCGCCTGGTCGCGGAAGGGGTTCGAACTGGACGCCTTGGCTTCGGCTAACGCGCCTGGCGGCAGCGGAGGCATCGGCTTGGATGCCGTCTCGGAGCGTGGTGGGGGGAGCGACAGCCTGCCGGCGCCGCTAATCGCCATTGGGTGCGGCTTGGCGCTCGAGGATGGGACGGCAGGCGGCGGTGGCGACGCCAATTGCTGCTGTTGGTGCGAGTGCGAATTCGACGCGTGCCGATGTGACTGCCGTGTCACGGGCTGCGACAGCGACGCGGGCGGTGGCGGCGACGCGAATGGGGCCATCGCGGACGGGGGATGCTGTGTCTGTGCGCGCGTATAGGCGTGCATGCTGCCTTCCGGCGGTGGCGGTGGCGAGACAAGGGTATCTAACGCCTCGCTGCGTATGTCGCCGAGCGAGTTTGACACGGAGATCATCGGCGGCGGGGGCTGCCCGACGTTGGAGGGGCGCTCCCTTGTGCACCCAGACGCTTTGCGTGTCGCAATGGTGCGCGTTGGGATCGCTGTGGGGCAATGTATCAGCACGGGTCTCTGTAAGCCAAGCGTGCGCGGACCAGCGTAGCACTACTCACTCTGCGTGAACAGGAGCGACTTGCAAGGTATTTGCCCTTGCTGGGCCCAAGATGCAAGGCGCATCCACGCAAAAAAATGGCCCGTTTTGATGCCGAGCGGCGTCCGTTCGAAGAGCGCCATGATCTGTGCAGGGTGAGGAGAATCACCAGCGTCAGCGGAAGAACGTATGCGGAGCGCCGAAAAAAGCAAAGAAAGAAACCAGCACGCACCATCGCCTCATCACGTAGCTCGATCCCACACTGTTCGCGCAGGAAGCGGAGCGCGTCCTGCTCGTCATACAAGCCGTCTACACCGCTCGGGCTCTCCTTGAGCTGAAGCAGCGCAGGGACGTACGCAGAGTACTCTTCCGGACTCAGCCCGCTCTCGTCCAGGTACGCCGGCCGCAGATTGCCATCGGTGGTCGCGGCGGCGTGGAATGGCGTGCTGGGCCCGGAGAAGAAGGGCGTGTGTGTGGATGACGGCATGGCTCGTTGTTGTTGTTGTTGTTGTTGCTGCTGTTGCTGTGGTGGTGATTGCTGCTGCTGCTGCTGCTGTGCACCTGCTCGTATAGGCAAAGCTGGGGAAGGGTGTGTGTGTGCGTGGTGGTTTAGGACACTGCCGCTGCCGAGGGAAGATGGGCTGCGCTGGTTGGCAAGGGGCGAGAAGGCGCGCGCGGCTGACACGGCGCCGCTCCCTGTCTCGACAATGCCAAAGGCAAGTCCACGTGCGCCTGGAGGGCGCAGCCCTGCTCCGACGGCGGACGTGGAGCGCTGGAGGTACGCGATCTGCTGCTGGATCTGGCGCTGTTGCTGCTGATGTTGGAGTTGGAGTTGGAGCTGGAGCAGCAGCGACGGGTCGCCGTCGGTCGCGGTCGTCTGCGAGAAGGTCGTCGACAGCGACTGCCGGCCGGTAGTGGATGAGATGCGCGTGCCTTGGCCGCTGTCACTGTCACTGCCACTGCTGCTGCTGCTGGAAGATTGGCTAAGACTGCGGCGGCGACGACTGCTGCAGCTGCTGGACCTGGGTCGGCACCTGCTTCTGCTGACGTCCGAACTGGAACGCGCGCGGAGCGGATGTGTATGTGTATGCAGGGGCCCCAAAGCGGCAGCGTCGGCGGCGGAGGAGGTAGTGGTTGAATGCGTCTCCTTGCAGGCGGAGTGGTGAGACGACTCGAGACGCGGTGCGCGATGGATGTGGTGCGAGGAAGCGCTAAAGGACGATGCTTGCGTGGGAGGAGATGATGAGCTCATCTCTCCAGCGCTGCAGCCATACCTTTCGAGTGTCCGGTTGCGGCTTCGATGGAGAAGGAGAACGAGGCGAGAGACACTGGTTGGAACTGCGAGATGTCAAATGTCCAAGCACCAAGGAGCGAGCGGGTCCCTGTAGGATGGCGTGCAGCCGAGCTGTTGATTTGTTCGCTCGTATTGACGCTGGCAATAGCGTTCTCGCCGCGCTGGTGCAGCGTTTGAGAGCAAGTAGCCAGCCGGATGAGGAGGAGGTGCTGCTGTGCGTTTTCTTTCTTTCAGCGTGGCGTCGTCTGCTAGCTATGCATCATCAAGCAAAGCAGACAGGAGAGGCGAATGGCCTGCGATAAGGCAAGTCCGCAGTAGTGAATGCTGGCGAAGCGTCTCGAGGGAGCGAGAGGTTGTTCACTGACGGGCTGCAGAGAGACGGGGTCTCTACTTGCTGCCAGTGCAGGTGCGATGGGATGGATGAAGGATGGCGAGGCTGCACGTAGCTAGATCGGCATAGATTGCTACCGACCTAGCCCTATAGAGCTGGTGGGCGATGTCTCGCTGCTGTGCTAATCTGCGCGCCTACACACGTCTGGACTGGTCTGGGTTTGGGCAGTGCTGTGGGAGCGCACTCGAGAAACGCGGGCTGGCGCTGTCTCAGACTGCACCCTCCTCGTTTTTTGTGCAAGCTGCCTTGAAGCAAGCGGCCAGACCCCTTCGCCTGGATACACACACATATATACACACGCATACACACATACACATGCATGCTCTTCCCCCATTGCTCGCAGCGTCCAAGAGCACGTAGGAGCATGGAAGATGGATGGGAAGGATTATGTACATGCGTTTATAGAGAGTGTATGGGAGGAGCAAGCAATGCACTGCACAGCACTGCGCAGAGATCTGGCTGACTGCCTTGCTCGTCATGATGCTAGAAGGTGGTGACCGAACAGCGGCGGTGGCTACGGGCACTGCGCCAGCCAGCTGAAGCATTGGGCCGGCACAGCGCCCAGCGCCCCCTGGCCTACCCGCCCGCTGCTGCTGTGCCTCCTTTCTCTTTCCATGGGTTCTGTTTTTGTTGGCTTCTTCCCCGCGGAGACGGACTCAACTGCGCGCCGCACCGCACCGCACCGCTCCGCTCCAAACCACACCACACTACAGCAGCACCTTCGGAGGGGAGAGTGTGGATGCGTGCTGGAGGTGACGAGGAAGAGACCCACACTGGGCATGTGCTTGTTGCTTTTTCAGCTTGCTCAACACTGCGTGCCATCCTAAGATGCAAACCCTCTCCCTCCTCGTCCCTGTCCATCATCCATGTTGCACTGCCAGTGAGGGGGCACAGGCAGCAGGTCCCCCAGCCCAGCCCAGAGAGCAGAGGCGAAAAAAAAACGACAGCGAACGAGCCGCTGGGGCGCCGCACTCCTGCTTCTCGCACTGACAGATGACGTATGTACACAACGCACATACAAGGAGCCTAGCAAACAACCACCACGTACTTGCTCCACATATTCACTTCGCAACTTTCGGCACAAGACTCTTTCCATGTTGGCGAGGTTCATCATTGTACAAGGTCGACGCTTTGGCTAAGCAGAATATACGCGCCCACCGGAGGATGCTGCTCCTTCCAGAAAAAAACAACAGTACAAAAACGGCTTCGCCTCTCCACTCTCCAGATCTTCGTCATGGTTCCGTACCCAGGCACGCCCTGATGGCCAATATCACCTACTTGCGCTGATGTCAACCGCCAACACTTCCAGAGCGCTTCACTTTGTTCGGTACGCACACTGGCCATCGTCACACGGACGCGAGGCCAAAAGCACTTAGTCAGCACGGTCAAAACACGTCCTCTGGCGCGCCGTGGCCCACTGTCGCTGCTTTCGCGCGCTTATTTGTGCACAGTGTGCAAGCTCGATGATATGTACGATACGCTCGGGGATGGTTCAGGTGATCAGGACGCCAGCCAGTCGTGACGAGTGAACATGACGCGGCCGCCGGCTTCGGTGTGGGGTCTCGCCAGCAAAAAAGAGGGCTCGGCCTACCTCTAGTCTGTGCAAGCATGTACTCGTATGTATGCAGATTTTTTTCTTACGCTGTCCAAGCACATCGTACCGTCCGCTGTCCATGACAGTAAGCAATCAATGCAGAAGCGTGCGACGGAAGCATATCCGTCACCCGTTTCGAGCAAGGTGTACATGCGCAACTCCCAGCGAGCAGCTCCCAAAGCACAAAAGCAGAACCAAACTTGGAGAATGTCAAACACGCGAGATCCGAAGCGGCATCTGCGCTCCGAGGTGCTCCTGGCCCTTGACGCGCGCGCGCATCACGACGCTCTGCGTCCGCTCCAGCTCCCACCCGTCGACGGGCTCGAACTGGAACGCGAGAACTAGCCTCAGCAGCAGCGCCTTGCCTTCCGCGAGCGCGAAGCTGGGAGGCCAAAAAACGCGGGCCAGCGTCCGCACTTTGTCAGCGCTGGATCACGCGAAAGCACACGCGCACACTCGTCAAGAACGCACCGGTTGCCGATACAGCCGCGAGGACCAGAGAGGAAAGAGAGCATCTGTAGCGGCATGCCTGATTCTTTAGCCGACTGCGGCACGTCGGTCCAGCGCTCCGGCTTGAATGTCAACGCGTCCGGGCCCCAGCTGTGCGGCCAGAAACGAGAAGAAGAGGGAGGAAGCCAAATGTATCGGTCAGTAGGGTCTCCTTTGCACCCACGCTTGTCGATGCTCCAGCACTTACATGGCCTCGGAGGTGTTGATGAGAAAGATCGGGATGAGCACCTCATCCCCCTTCTTCATGACGACGGAGTCGAACGTGCCCTTGCCGTCGCGGCGTGGGTACGCCTTGGACAGCGGCAGGACCGTGTCCTTCTCGCAGACTCTGCGCGTGCTGGGGATCGGGGACGAGAAGCGCAGCGTCTCCTTGACTACTGCGTCCAGGTACGGCAGACTGCTGAGCTCGTCGAATGACAGCTCATCGCGCCCGGCCATGTATTCGCGCGCCTCGGCGCGCAGCTTCGCTTGCACGTCCGGCCGCAAGGACAGCTCGTGCAGCGCCCACGAGATCAGCGTCGCAGTCGTCTCGTGTCCCGCGAGCAGCAACGTTGTCTGCCGGATCGGTCCCCAGTGTCAGCGGCGCGCAGCGTGGCCCACAGCGGTACTGCACAATGCGGTCACGGGCACTCACCATCTGGCCAAGCAGCTCGGCATCAGAGAGACGCTCGGACTCGCGAATGTCCGAGGACATGTCTGCGGAGCCGAACAGGACATGTGTAAAAAGCAAATTGTTCTCAAGGGCGCTCTTCATAAAGGATGATAAATGCAGGTGCTTGATGGGAAGGAGGGAGGGGACTCACTGCTGCGCATCATGAGCATGAGCAGATCCTTGCCTCCAGCAGCGTCGTGACCCTGCGCCTCCCAATCGGCCTTGTTTATCTCGAGTTTGCTGCCTTTTTCGTGCACGCCGTGCATCTCCTGCAGGATCTGCCTGCGCTTTTGGGCGATGATCACTTGACTCGTGCGCTCGAGGACGGCGTACGCTTCTCGGAAGCTGCGTTCGCGCGGAAGTTCGAGGTGCTTGAGCCACTGAAGGCTCGGCTTGGTCTGTAGCAGGCTCTTGAGAAAGAACAGCGGGCTCGGCGGGCCGAAGAGCAGCGTCGCCTTGAACGCCTCGGAGACCTCGTCGAGCTCCTCGCCGTCCTGTTTGATACTGTTGAACGACCAGTTGAAGCCGGCCTCGCCGATGATGTCCAGCGTCGCGCGCGAGAGCCAGTGCGACACGTTGAGAACGGGCCTGTGCGCCTCGCTGGCCTGCGCCGAGGCGTCCGACTGCCCGGGCAGGAACGCCTTGGGGGCCGGCCCGGTCGTCTCGTCGATGATTTGGCCGAGGCGCGAGACGAGGTTTTCCGAGTGCTTGAAAAAAGTCGGCGTCAGGTTGCGGATCGCGCTTACGCCAAAGGCCGGCTGGAGGATCTTGCGCTGGCGCTTGTGCACGTCACCCTCGACGACGAGAACGCCGTTGCCCAGCATGCTTGCGAGCAGGTCGCGCAGCTGCTGCGGCTTGGGGAAGCTGTAGCTGTGTTGCGCGCTGAGCACGTGCATCATCGCCTTGGGGTCGACAAGCAGCAAACGCGGGGCGTAGAACAGGTGGCGGTACACGAGCACGTCTGAGCGTGTCTCGCGCATCCACTGGAGGTGCGCCTCGCCGGTCGGCGCATCGCGGATCTTGTGGAGGTCGCCAAAGATGGGCAGCGTGTACCAGCGGCTCTCGTGGCGCGGGGCGGGAATGTCTTTGTATCTCTCTAAGCAGAGAAGGTTGACCGCGGCGAAGCGTGCGAGGCAGCGGGTCAGTAGGTACACGGCGAAGAGCACCAGCGCTCCGAACGGCAGGGTGGCAAGCAAGCCGACAGCCCGGGCGAGCTGCCAGAGGAGGGTTGAGCTGGAAGACATTATATGAGAGTCTGGCATTGACCTCTCCATGCAACTTGTCGATGGTGTTGGTATTGATGATATTGGGCGGGGAAGCAAGCTTATGTATCAACGCGTTCGCAGTTCACACACCGTGGCACACTTTGAGCACCCCCTCCCCCCGGTCTTGCAATGTCAGCAGGGAAACGTCATGTTTGTTCCGGGCTTGGTGGGGAGGGGCTGTCGTAAGCGCCGGTTGGACGAAGTTCCATAGTCAGTATCGCTGCGAGACACGGTCGGTTTCCATGGTCAATGAGGGCGACTTGCTGGAGAGAAGCGACGAGAGATACTAGGATGAGAGGATGCCATGGAAAGGGTAGGGTGGGGACAGAGATAGCTGGAGATGGAGGTGAGGCAGGCATTGCGCCAGTGTCCGCTTGGGCCAGGTCAATACCCTGCGGGTGTCTCTCGGCCGAGGAGGCTGCTCTATCAGTGCTCGGCCTTCGGGACGAAAAACTGCCACTGAGAGGGGGGGGACCCGGCCGGGACGGCGCCGCGCTCGCAGACATAGCCGATGGCTTGATTTGAACGACCAAGAAGATACTTACTGGATGATGGAATACTCTGCAGCCGCTCGTGTGTAGTAGCATGGCATGGGAAGAGGAGTGATGTATTGCGAGAGAGCGCCATGTATGTGACATACACTGCGGCCACTGTGGATACTGTACATCTCGGGAGCTTTTCGTGGGTGCGGGTTGCGTTCACGCTTGCATGTTGAGGCTACGAGTTCCGGGAGGGACGGTATGCGATGGTTAGCGCTGCACTTTAAACCCCCCCTCCAAGAGAACAAGTCTGCGACTCACAGCATGCCGTTTCCGTGCGGCAGATAGGTCACATTGCGTGCATTTGACAGCGTCGATGCGATCTCCTTGCTTGCCTCAATGCGCCGGATCGTCAGCAATCCATCGCCTGCCTTCTCCAGCGCGCGTGAGATGGTCGTCGCCGCCTCCGCCTCGCCCTCGGCACGGATAACGCTCGCCTGCCGCTCTTGCTCAGCCTTCTCAACGACAAACTTGGCGCGCTCGGCGTCTTGCTGCGCGATCTGCTTCTGCTCGACGGCCTTCGTGAATTCTTGGCCGAATGTCATATGTGTCTGCGAGAGAAGCGTACAGACCGCGAAAGAGCACGGCAGCATCAGTCCCATGGTTCCAGTTTCAGTGGCACTGCAGAATGAAAATTGTGATTCTCACAATTGAGACATCCTCAAGGACAATGTTGAACTCCTGCGCACGCTTTAGCAGATCCTCGCGAATCCGTGCGCTGACCACTTCACGTTGCGTGATGAGCTCTGCAGCATCGAATTGCGCAACAGTCGCCTTCAACACCTCGTTCCCGATCGAGGGGAGAACTCGCTCATCATAGTCTTGCCCCAGGGATTGGTAGATTCGCGAAAGGTGGCGCACATCGGGTCGTGACAGGACACGCAGGGTGAGTGAGACCATCTGCAAATCCTTCGAGCCAGTGGTCGTGGAGATGTTCTGCGTGAGTGAACAAAGATGGGAGAAGGAGTATATTTCAATCTGTGACCACTCTGTCCTCTATCATTGGAGCCAACTCACCCTTGGCTTTACGCGAACATCGTACAAGATGGCACGCTGAAGCCATGGAATCAGGAAATGCGTGCCCTCGCCACTCGCCTGTATTTTTTCAACCAAAAAGGTTATCAGTCTGATATTTCGGGCATTCATTGTGAAGGCAGCTAGCAGCCGCATAAGTGATACAACAGGCGCAAGCACTCACGACGTTCTTCACACCCTGGAAGCGGTCGAACATGACCGCCCTGTATCCTCCTGGCACATCATACAGACTTGACTGCAGCGCAATCGCTGCAACGCCCAGCGGGACTATTGGCAGTATTCCAGATATAGGGGAGCGGTTAATGGCAATGGGAAGGATGTCAGTAACCCTTGTACGATCAGATGTAAATGACACATTCGAGAAGTCCGGTGGGGACTGCCAGCTTGCGCTGGTCACTGCGCAGATGCTCACCCGCAAATCGAGCGGCCAGTTGCGACATTGTGTAGCTACCAAAGAGAGCTGTCTGCCGTTTCCTTAGTTGCACACAATTTTCACAATGCTCCGAATGTTGACGATTAACCTCAAGCACCCCTGGTTGGTGAGGTGATCCTTTCGATGGTGCTGATGTGAGTTGCTTGGACGTTGCTGATGGAAGCTGTTGCACTTGGCGGTCTGCGTTCTCTATGCATGGGTTTACGGGGGAGCTGGTCTCGCGAGCGCGCTCTCTCAGCTTGGCTTGCATCCACATTGTCGTTCGTCCGCGACACCTTCTCGCCTTCCCTTTTGTCATCGCGACAACCCAACGTGAACACGCCGCCAGGGATGCCCGAAGCCATCGATTGAGACGCGCGGCAAAGCTGCTTGTGAACATTACGCGTCTGATCGGCGAGAGCAGCGCCGTTTTCGAGCACGGCTGCGCCAAACGAAGGTGACGCAGCCTTACCCATCATGAGCGTCGCGCTCAACGTGACAGGCTCGCCGGACGAGTCGCTGCTCACTGACACAGCAGTCCGGTCGCGTCTCTCCGCCTTCCTGCAGCCCTTGCGTGATGTGCTCACTGCCCAAGCAGCACCGCCAGCAGTGCAAGAAGGAGATGGCGAAGGGAGCAACCGCACTGCAGCAGCAGCGGTGGCTGGAGCCAACGAAGGAGCAATACCCACGACCACTGGCGCGCTCACCTCGATGGATCTCGCCAACTTGACGTACAGCTTGCAGTTGTTCCAAGAAAAAGCGCTAGGCTTAAATGCACTAGCGCGCCACATCAACCCATCAGCGTCCTCTCTCGCATATAGACACCCCATCCGTATCCCTTCCAAGCTCTTCCTCACTTCGCCTTCCTACCAGAACCACGCTGGCGCGATCACAGCAGATGCGCCGCTATATCACATCCTCGAGGCTGCGCTTCTCTATCTCCAACAACATGGCCGAAAAGGGTGGTCGGATATGGGGCAAGTCGATGCCGAGGCCGCTAGTCAAGACGCCGAGGCCACGCAGGCGCGGAGGGTGTTCTATGCAAGTTTGATTGCCCATGTGAGGGACATCCTGAAGCAAAAAGGTATCATCAAAACGCACAAGGTTGCTGCACCAAAGGACTGGACACATGCGCAAGTTGAGTACAATAAAGGCTTAGCTCAGGAACTCCAGCGTGAGTATTGCGGGAATGCACAATTTGCGCAGCTGCTGTGCTGACTTCAGACTTCGATGATTGCGTTTCCTTGTCTCAAAAGTCGACTGGGCTGAAGACCCTGCATCAGCAACGCACGTTCTGTTCGATGCGGAGTCCGGACCAAGCACGTCTTCGCTGCCGGCGGGCGAGGCAGCGGTGCCCGGCCAGTCCGAGTTCTTCCGGACACTCGCCAAGAAGGGTAAAAAGTCGCTTATCCACGTCTGGTACCGGCCTGACTCGTACGACACATGGCTCCCACCTACATCGTCCACCGCGTTTGCATCGCCGGATCCAGAGCCGGAGCCCCGGCGGCAGGGGGAGGCGTGGGTCATCAGCTCACGCTGGCTCGCCGACGGCGTCAAGTACAACGAGTTGATGAACGAGGAAGACTATGAGCACGAAGACGACCCCGCTCATTCTGATGCAGCAGCGGGTGCTGAGGCTGCGCCAAAGAAGCCACGTATCTCCATCAGTCTCAAGAAGCGCAGCTTGCCGGAGGAAGTGACGGAGGAGACGGAGGACGGCACCACCAAGAAGGTCCGGTTATACGTTGCGTCTGAGCCTGTCGGCGCGAAAGCCATCGATTTGACTGGTAGCGCCAGTGAGATTCCGGGGAAAAAAGCCGAGCAGGACCCTATTCCGGACGGCAGCCTGGGCAATTTGGATCAGGTGGCACCGCCGAGCAGGACCGCGGGCGAACCGGCGACCGTTGTTGTTGCGGAGGCGCAGGAGAGGAAGGAAGGGCATGCGCCTGATGTGGACAAGGCAGGCGAATCTGGTCACGCGGGCGATGCAGGTGATGTGACGATGGCGGATGCCACCAAGGAGAATGAGGAGGAAGACGAGCGCGATGCTGCTGTGTTCGAGGCACATCGCGCACGAGCTCAGAATGTTGCCAAGAAGTACCTAGCTGCTCAGACGCAGGAAGTTATCATCCCTTCTTACTCCGTCTGGTTCGATATAGCCAAGATTAACCAGATCGAGAAGCGCTCGCTGCCGGAATTCTTCAACAATCGCAATCGCAGTAAAACGCCTTCCATCTACAAGGACTACAGAGACTTCATGATCAACACATACAGATTGAACCCAAGCGAGTATCTCACTTTTACCGCTTGCAGAAGGAATCTCGCAGGTGACGTCTGCGCGATCATGAGGGTACACGCCTTCCTTGAACAATGGGGCTTAATCAACTACCAGGTGAGCTGCAGGAAATACGAGTGTACCAGGTGAAGCCGTACTGATTCTCCTCTGGCAGGTGGACCCGGAGACGCGGCCTGCTGCGCTTGGCCCACCCTTCACTGGTCACTTCCGTGTCATCGTCGACACACCTCGCGGTCTTCAGCCCTTGCACCCAGGTGCGAAATTACCACAGCTCAGCAAGACCGGAAGCGCACCAATAGGTGACAAGCAGGCCGCTGCGGAGGCCCGCGCCGCTGTCGCCACCCTCGAGCTCCGCAAGACGATCTACCAGTCTACCGCCAAGGGTTCGCGAGCCGTCGGCGAGTCCGAAGCGGAGTCACTCGCGGACCAGGCGAACGCTGCAGTCCAAGCTGGCGCAGGTGCGCAACCGAAGTACTCCTGCAACACTTGCGGTACAGACTGCACACGTCAGCGGTACCACGCCATCAACGTCAAGGACTTTACGCTCTGCCCGAACTGTTACCTTGAGGGACGCTTCCCTTCGAGCATGTTCTCTGGCGATTTCCTACGCATGGACAACGTCGACTTCAAGCATGGAGGCGCGAACGCTGCGAAAGGGGATGACTGGAGCGACGAGGAGACCTTGCGGCTTTTGGAAGGTCTGGAAATGTTCGACGATGACTGGAGCGCTGTCGCCAACCACGTTGGCACACGCAGCCGAGAGCAGTGCATAATGAAGTTCATCCAGATGCCGATCGAAGATCCTTACCTGGACGGCGGCGCCTCTGCGGCTGGTAGTATTGGGCGGCAATCGAACGGTTCGGCCTCCATGTCTGCGCAAGGCATCGCCCAACGCGACCTAGGGCCACTGCAATACGTCCGCGACCCTAAGCTCGGTGTTCCATTCGCTCAGTCTGATAATCCGGTCATGAGTGTGGTCGCTTTCTTGGCAAGCGCCGTTAGCCCAGCGGTTGCGGCTGCTGCCGCGCAGTCGGCCCTCGGCGAGCTGACCGATGGCCTTCGTCGACGGCAGAAGGACAAGGCTGGCGGGCAGCAGCCAGCGGATCAAGGACAAGGCGCAGAATCTGGGAAAGAAAGCACTGCTGAAAGCGATAGGGAGAAGGAGACCGACAGTATGGACGTGGACAAACCTGCAGAGAAGGACGCAGCTCCTTCAGTGCCTCTGACGATTGCAGTCGGCGAGAATGGCGAGCCATTGACTTCAAAGCTACCCGCGCAAGCGGACGTCCAAGTCACCGTGTCTGCAGCCGCCAAGTCAGACGTCACGCAAGTGAAGGAGAACCGCGAAGACAGCGAGATGCCCGAGGGCGGCAAGGCCAGGGCGAAGAATCCTGAGGCCATTCCTAAAAATGCGGTTGAGAAAGCAGCTGCGATCGCCCTCGGAGCAGCGGCAGCCAAGGCGCACGTGCTTGCTAGCTTTGAGGAACGAGAGTGTCAGCGTCTCGTCGGTCAAGTGGTCGAGGCGCAGATGCGCAAAATGGAAGTGAGTAGTAGCTACAATGTTTTTGCCAGCCAAGCCAAGTCAGCTAAGCTGATTACTATTCTTCATTTATAGCTCAAAATGGCGCAGTTTGAAGAGCTGGAAACCATGCTTGAAGCCGAGAGGCGGAGCATTGAAGCTGGGCGCAAGCAGCTGTACCATGACCGTCTTGCCGTTCGCCGTCAACTCGCTGCCGTCAACGACTTACTTCAAAAAGCGAACGCGGCTGCAAATCAAAGCACATCTATGAGTCTCGAAGCCGCGTCAAGTGCCTCTCATGGATTGCCAGGGCAAGGACCAATCGTGCGGCAAGCAGGGAACGTTCCGCATCCTGAGGGCGGTAACGTTGGCAGAGTAGGATGATTCGCATGTGCTGTATTTTCAAGTAGCCAAGTTTTCATTTGTCTCATTTACGCACATCGGGACGTCCTTGTTTCATCAACGATATGAAGAGAGGATTGCGCATCGTTTGGTGCTTCAATACACATAATCCCATGCTGATGCCCCATTAGCGGCGTGCTATGGGACGCTTCAACCGGTAAGCTGTGGCACAGACGCTAATACTGATGGCAAAAAGCCCAAGGGCTGCAATTTATTACTGATCACGATCAAGATACATGCTCTTGGAGGTGAAATTGGATCTTCTTGGAGGTACGCCTCCTCTGCTTCCGTTGGCTCCATTGGTGGCTGCTGCGCCGGGCGATGCAGGACTGAAAAAGTGAGGAGTATGGTCAGCGGCGATACAACCGAGAGGCATATGGGGCTCCACTCAGTACACTCACCTATATTGTGGAGAAGTAGGTTGCTGACCAGCGGGCGAGGTAGGGCTGTATTGTGGGCTCGCCGGACTATACTTTGGCGACGTTGGAGAGTACTGTGGCGAGGCTGGCGAGTACGACGGACTAGCGGGCGAGTAGGCTGGACTAGCCGGAGAGTAGGCCGGGCTCGCAGGCGAGTACGCGGGACTGGCGGGAGAATATGCTGGACTTGCTGGCGAATACGCGGGGCTGGCCGGGCTGTAAGCTGGGCTCGCAGGGCTGTACCCTGCGCCCGATGGCTTCCCGCCGCGTGCTGGACTCGTGGGCGAGTATGAGGGGCTTGCAGGTGAGTAGGACGGTGAGGCCGGCCTAGACGGCAGAAAATGTGTCAGTGGTGAGTGAAGTCAATTGCACATTTTCAATGAAGCTCACGAGTATTGTGGAGACGCTGGCGAGTAGCCCCGTGGCGACGTTGGTGAATACGACGGAGATGCCGGACTGAAGCCAGGCGACGCTGGGCTGTACCCAGGTGAGGTACCAAAATTGAGCTTCGGTGAAGTTGGCCTGCAGAAAATGAATCAACAGTGAGAAACATTTGCTCAAATGGTAGCAGATTTGAGACTCACGAATAAGAAGCTGCATGCGACTGGTACATTGGGCTCGCTAAAGCTGCCCCAGGACTCGTCAAATACGCTGCTGGAGATGTCGGGGCATAGCCATACGCCGGCGATACCGCTCCTAGATGAGTACCTGGAGACATGCCCCCGATGGATGATCGCATCGGCGAAATTCCTTGTCCCAAGTAATCGACGAACGCATTCTCTTCATTTGTCGGATTGACAAGGGGCGAGAAGGCTGCCACATCATGTGCCTGCGCTTCGGCTTGCGCCATCGGTGACATGCCGTCGTACGGTGTCATCATGCCGATGGGGGTCTTGTCTCCGAAATGATCAATTCTGGATGCCATTAAGGCCTGCATCGGCAAACGATGATCGACAATGACTTCTTGCAGCATCCGCATATTCAGAGTAACGTCGAATGAGCCAGTGCCCATAGGCGCCATCTGTCCAAGGAGGACGTTCTCAGCAACACCCTTGCAGTCATCTGCTTCGCCCATTGCAGCCGCCTCGATCAAAATCTCAACAGTTTCTTCGAAGGAAGAGCGCATCAGGGCGCCTTGGTCCGTGCGGTTAATGCCGTGGCGTGTGATAGCCATGAGCTTGCCTTGTGTGGTCATGATGTCCACCAGCAAACCAATGTGGCGGTAGTTCACGTACGAGCCGCCAAACTCGATGACCATTCTCATCTCCCGCAGTAAAGAGTTACGCGCTGCCTCGATGCCGAAGACATTGAAGATCTCGACGCAGTTGTTCGAGACCGTGCGCACGGTATCAACACCTTCCACAGCTAACACCTCCTTTAAATTGGTACCTTGCGTATCCAGTACCCATTCGAGGACAGGCTCCCATTCACCAGTCTTCAGGTTAATACGTTGGTGCTCCTTCTCGTGCTTGACGATGAAGACCTTCTTGATGCCTTGCACACCCTTGAGATCGATCTCGGTCAGCATGTTCGCTGCAAGGTTCTTAAGGAACGTGTCTTCGTCTCCTAGAGGCTCTTTCTCCGTATCATTGTTGACCACGCGAATACGTAGAACAAGCTGCTCCGCGTTGTCTTCCGAATGCATGACGAAAATGTCTTGGCCGAACATAGCCTGAATCTTGCCTGCAACTTCTGCCATCGACAGATTCTTGTCAAGCATCTGGGCTCTGTCCAGTACAAGACGCAACAGCCATGGAGACTGCTTGTCCAATGTCTGTTCGACCTCTTCATCCGGGATGGCGAAGAAGGCGTCAACAAAGTCTTTGTCGTCCTCAATGAGGGTGCCGACCGGGTTCGGATCATAGTGAATCTCGACGGCACTAGTGACGGTCTGGAGCGTGGTGTGTGTTAAGTAGGTCTGGATGATCTTGGCGCTCTCCTCGGTTTGACTGTACTGTTCACGCAAGTACACTAGAACAGATGGGGTACGAATATTCTCTGCGCAGTTGATGATCTCCTTGAGACGCGGAACACCGAGCGTGACGTTCTTGCTCGATACACCAGCGTAATGGAACGTGTTGAGCGTCATTTGTGTTGCAGGCTCTCCAATCGACTGCGCGGCCAGCGTCCCGCACATCTCGCCTGGGTTGGCCACGGACATAGAGAACTGCTCTCGGACTTCGCCGATCACCCAATCGAAAGACTCCTTGTTGAGACCCAGGACTTCGATGACATGTTTCGAAGCAAGGTACGACCGCAGGTGTACTTTGAAAAGTAACGTGGCGTTCTCCTGCGCAGTACGACTGATCGAGTCATCTCCACGGATGACCGTCAGATCCTCGAGGACTTCGCGAACAGAAGCGATGATGTGTGCCGGCCCAACATCAGTGGGCTGGCTGCTGTCGACAACGAAAACTTGTTTGGCGTTGGTGACCAAGCGCGCAATATTGAGCGGCAGCATGACATCATTGCGGTTCGTGTTGAACATCTCGAAACGCAGCAACCGACGGTCTTCCTCAAGCTGAGTAAATTCGTCGTCGAGCATCGTCTGCAGATCTTGCGACCAGTCCGCCAGGCCAGCTTGCAAGCGACCTTTCCGGAAGCCGCCTTTGTGCAGGTCGACCTTGAATCGAGCGCGGAACTCAGCATCGTTAAGCTTGTGCGTGAGCAAGAACTGCCGCTCGATCATCGCGCCATCCATGCCATCTTCACCGTAGATGAACTGGATGATCTTGTTCGTCGAGTTGCGCACGGTGCCATCATAATGGACCATTACATCTTCAAGAGCCTTGACGAGACGACGCTGGATGTATCCCGTCTCGGCAGTTTTGACAGCCGTGTCGATCAAACCCTCACGCCCGGCCATGGCGTGGAAGAAGAACTCATGTGGAGTTAACCCCCGAAGGTAAGAGTTCTCGACAAAGCCTCGGGACTCGGGCGAAAAGTCGTCCTTGGAGAAGTGCGGTAGACTGCGATGGCGGAAGCCAAACGGAATACGCTTGCCCTCAACGGACTGTTGCCCGACGCAGGCAGACATTTGCGAGATGTTGATGAAAGATCCTTTACTTCCCGCAATGACCATCTGCTTCACGTTGTTCCAGTCCGGCAGCTCTTTCTCTGCTCTGCTACCAACATCGTCACGTGCCTTGTTGAGCGTTCGGTTGACTTTAGTCTCAAAAGACTCTCGGATTGTCATACCCGGCTCTGGCTTCATGCGATCGAAACGCGCGTCATCGATGAACTGCTCGACTTCGCGCTTCGCAGTCGCGATCGTCTCAGTGATATACTTGGCGACTGCGGCATCAGCGACCGTATCACCAATGCCGATGCTGAAGCCGTTGTGAAGTAGCCAGAAGTTGACGACCCTCTGAGCGCCGCCAAAGAAATCTCTGCAGATCTCCGGCCCCTTCTCGCGGAAGATGATGTGGATGAGACCCCCAGCGGAGGACCCAACGACGTTCTTCTTGACGACGCCGTACATGATCTCGCCGTTGTCAATTTCCACGCCGTCATCCTTGGCGTTATTCTTTTCCGGCGTGATGCGGTCGCCCAAGCTGACGTTGACACCTCTGGGGATGCACATCGATATGATCTGCTTCCCAGACCAGTATGGCTTCGGCTTAAGGATGCATGGTGTCGGAAAGAGACCATCCCATTCGGGCACCCAGAGGAGGATGTTCTGCACCTGATCATAGTCTAGCAGACAGTCGCGCAGCGTGAACTTGCGGATACCGCACAAGGTGTCCTGCACAATGCCCATGACCGGCTTGTTGCCCTGTGGAGAGACGATGTTCTTGGCGACCCAAGCGATCTGGCTGAGCTCCGCGCGCGTCTCTTCGCTCTGCGGAACGTGCAAGTTCATCTCGTCACCGTCGAAATCGGCATTGTACGGCGGCGTAACGGAGAGGTTCAGACGGAAGGTAGAAAAATCCATCAGCTTAACGCGATGGCACATCATCGACATCTTGTGCAGTGACGGCTGGCGATTGAAGAGGACAAAGTCCCCATCTTTGAGGTGGCGCTCGACGATCCAGCCAAACTGAAGCGTCATGTCCGATCTCCGACCGTACTTAAGATCTATCCGCTCGCCGGTGTCACGGACAACATAGCGTGCACCTGGCCACTCGGTCGGCCCGTTGCGGACGAGCTGCTGGAGGTAGTTGATATTGTATGGCGTCACTCGCTCCGGGTAGGTGAGGTTGCGGGCGATGCTCTTCGGCACTCCGACCTCGTCCAACTCCAGATTGGGATCACCCGTGATGACGGTACGGGCAGAAAAGTCGACACGCTTGCCCATCAAGTTCCCTCTCAGGCGGCCCTCTTTTCCCTTTAATCGAGCACGAATAGCCTTGACGGGCCTACCGCTCTTCTGCATCGCCTGAGGCATGCCAGCAATGTCGTTGTCCATGTACGTGGCAATGTGGAACTGCAGCAGCTGTTCGAACTCGCTGATGATGTGCGCTGGCGCACCCTCCTCCTCGAACTTGCGCACATTGACGTTGGACTTGATAATCTCGGCCAGTTTGTATGTCAAGTCGTCTTGCGCCTGTTGTGTCCCCTGGCCGCCCTCTGTGACACCAGGTCGAACCTGAGGCGGCGGCACCGGCAAGACTGTGAGGATCATCCAGTCTGGGCGTGCGAACTCTTCCGACAGACCAACGACAGCGATGTCCTCGGACGACATTTTTCGCAAGATCGAGTGTGCTTCCATCGCCGTCAGTGGACGCTTGTCCGGCTGAGCGCTCTTGGAGCCCTCTCCCTCTGCATCCTCGTCGTCCTTGCCCCGCTTCCACACCTGAAAGAGCTTGAGACCCTCTTTGCGAATGGCTGGCTGCTCGTGCCCACATCCACCATGCCCGGCCTTGTTGTCTGCAGCATCGTCCCCAAAGTTCATGTCATCCTCCTCCTTTGGATCGTCGGCTTGGCAGATGGGGATCTTGCTACAGTAGTCCCACACCTCTTGGAACCGCCGCTTTCTGCTGCCGCGCGTGCGCTTGAGGATCTGGTCAAAGACAGGGTCGCTCGTCGCGTCCGCTTTTACTTTTCCGCAGTGAGTGCAGACGATCTCTAGCAGTTTCTTGACTTTGCCAAGGAAACCGATGTGGAAGACCGGTCGTGCAAGGTCGATGTGAGCAAAGTGACCAGGACACTCGGCCATGCCTTCACCACAGGTCTGGCACTTTTGCGTGCGGTCGATGGTGCCCATGCGGGGATCCATCAGCCCGCCGACACGAGTCCGCCCCGTCTCGTCGAGAGTTTCGGGGTACTCGACCTTCATGACCGAGATGGCGCGCTAGAAGACGACAACGAGGTACAGCGCTTTGAGCCAGAAACTAATGGAATGGTGCGCCACGGTAGCAACTCACGATTTCCTCAGGACTCATGATACCGAACTGCACTTCCCTCACCGGCCGCACTGGCGCCGGCGAATCGGCGAAAGACACACCAGACGGCATCTTGACCCTTGATCGTTGCAAACGGCACTGAACTGGGTCTGTCTCTTTTCGTCTTCCTCAATTCGCAGCTGTCAGCTTGACCTGTGTCTATGTCGCCACCAGATGCGAGTACCACGACTCAATATGCTTTTTGTTGGATGGTGTTGATAGCAATGGTGTTGTTGATGGTAGTGGCGCTGATGCTGCCTTCCCTTTTTGCGGTAGCCCTTCTATGAAAGATGCAATATCAGATTTGGCGAGAAACTGAAACGACAGCGGATTCGGTGTGCCAAAGAGCGGTGAGTTGGTCGAAGCGGCGTCAATCTCTCCGTGGATGGGTCAAAGGACGTCGAGGGGGTATCGTGGCTGGCGTGATTTGTGTCGTGTTGCTCGAAAGAATGGGGACAACAAGACTTTCTTGACACTCCGTCTAGAATCCGAGCAATCGCAACAGCGACAGCGGCGGCAAGAGCGGCACGTTGGTCTGAAGATCGTCATCATGTTCAGCATCAAGCATGCGTGACATCAGGAGAATATGAACAGCAGACACTAACCCTTTTGCAGCTGGATGACCGGATGCCAACGGCAATTCGGTCCCCTTGCTTCAAAAGAGAGCCTAAAGCAGCGCTGAGGGCCGAGATCCGTGACAGAGTTTTGCCTTCAGTGAGGCGGGTGGCCGTCGAAAGCGTAGCTTTTGAGAAACCAAAAAGAGGATGGGGAATGGGATTGCAGGCACGTAGTAAAGTGCCGTTGCACAAGAGTTGCAAGCGCAGCAGTCGTGTGTCGACTGCGGTGGACTTCCTCTCCTCTTCACGCGGTCGCCTCTTAGGAGAAGTCGAAGGATGGACGAAAGATTGCTCTTTGCGTGGTGCTTGACTTTGCGATCGTTTCCCCGGAAAGCGCCTTCCCCTCCTTCTGTCTCGCCTCTTCCAACGCAAGCGGAGGTTGGATGGATGTTACACGGATGTACAGTCCCCACTGTTGCGGGTGCCTGGCCCCTAGAGAAATGTCGTCGCTCTCCACGTCCTCTATTCGGCCAATCCTTCTTGGCCTTCGCCCTTCCTGCCTGTCCTTCTTTCTCCTTTCCCTCGACCAAGGGAGACCCTAATAGGAGGATCGAGACAACGAGCACCGCCAGCAGCCACAGGTTCTCTTCAGAAGAAGAACGTTCTGGTGGAGACTGCACAATGGCTCGCGACCCGAGCTTTCCTGCTCACACTGTCGTGTCAACAATCCGCGACACTGCAGCTGGGGTGAGACTGTCTTGGCGGCGGGCCAAAGGCTCCTTCTCGCTGCTGTGTGCTGGGGCCGAGACTACGACGTGGATTGCCGCTTCCTGCAACGACGGCAAGCACGAGTGAGGGTGAGAGGAGTGCAATGATCCATGTCCCGAGGTGAGGATGGGAGGGATGAACGAGATGTAGTTGGAAGGGGGGAGGGGAACAACTGGGAAGGCCGCTCGCTGATGCTCTTCTCTCTCTTCACTGGTGGCAGGGGTGAGAGGCCGCCCGGGCAGGCGGCAGGCGGTCGGTTGTTCGACATGGATCACACCCATCACACACTTTGTCTGCCCCCGCGCCGTGTGTCATTCCTTGCCAGAAGCGCAGCACAGTTTTGGAAAGACAATACACTGTCCCAGTGCAGTTCTACCTTCCTGACGCGCGCCTACCATCATCCATGCGCTGCGACGCGTATAGTTTCTTCGCACTGCTCCAGTGGCTGCCGGCCAATGCTCCCCTACAGGCTGCACGGCAGCCTGCATTTCGATCTCGCTCTTTGGAAGCACAACACGATCACTATCGTGATCAGCTTGATGTCCATCTCAGCCGGACGACCCCGTGTCCATAGCTAGTTGAGCACCCGACCATGCGACAGCCAACTCGGCGGTATCCGTTCACTCCGGATCATCCAATCTCCGACGCAGCAAAACGATCCGCTCGAGCTTAGCCATCGCTCAACATGTTCTCAGGATGGGGCGCCGACCCATTTGCTGAGCTGGTCGACAAGGCCACCTCGGAACTGCTTCCTGCCGGCCAAGAGGACATCGCATTAAATCTTGAAATATGCGACAAGATCAAGAGCAAGAGCGTACCCGTGAAGCAGGCTATGCAGACAATCAAAAAGCGGATTGGCCACAAGAATCCCAACGTCACGTTGTTAGCACTGGGAGTGAGTAGCGCGCCACATGTGCAAGTCGCCGCAAGCTGCGCACGACAGTGTGCAACGCCGCTGAAGTCTTCTGGCTGATCAGCTTCGCCCTTTTCTCCTGGTTTAGCTAACAGATATATGCATCAAGAACTCAGGCGATTACTTCCTGAACGAGGTTGGCTCTCGCGAATTTCTGGACAACCTCGTCTCCATCATCCGCAGTCCCAACGGCGTCAACCCAGATGTCAAAACAAAGATCCTCAAGCTCATCCAATCTTGGTCGCAGATATCGGAAGCGCGACCAGGATTCATGAGCTATGCAGCAGAGATCTACCAGTCGCTCAAGTCCGACGGGTTCGAGTTTCCGCCGAAGGACTCAAAGGAGGCTTTCACGAGCTCAGCCGCTTTCGAGACACGCACCCAACCCGAATGGATCGACGGGGATGTCTGCTTGCGGTGCCGGACTCCGTTCACAACCTTTAATCGCAAGCACCACTGTCGTAACTGCGGCAATGTGTTTTGCCAGCAGTGTTCGAGTAAGACGATGGCTCTTCCTTGGTTTGGCGTCGGGCAGGAGGTTCGTGTGTGCGACGGGTGCTTTGCGAGAAAGGCACCACCAAAGGCCGGGGGCAGCTCCTCCGCCACCAAGATGCCAGGTAGCCCTTCGTTAAACCGCTCAAAGAGCTCGGCTGTGGCCACTACCGGGCGAGGAGGTGCAGGTAACAGCCACCAACGATCCAACACTCTGGGCTCCAAGCCTAAGCGAAGCACAAAGGAAGACGAAGATTTGGCGCTTGCCATCCAGCTCTCGCTTGAGGCATCTGATCAGAGCTCCTCGTCATCTAGCGCGAGACCGGGATACATGCCCAGCTCAAGTGCGCCTTCACAACCGTCGCGCTCTTCATATGTACCTGATTCTGCATCAGCCCGCAAGCGAGAAGGCACCGACGCCGACGATGATCCGGACTTGGCAGCAGCGATTGCCGCCAGTCTTCAGGAATACGTGCCTCCCCAGCCGAGCGCCCCTGGAGTAGCGGGGGAAAGTGATTCGGGGCGCAGAACGCCGCGCTTGGGGTCGGATTCCTACTCGAAGACGATTTCGCGCGAATCTGCAGCTGCTGGAGGTGCAAACTCACATGGTACCGCTCCATCACCGGTTGGCTGTGCCCTCCCTGCCAAAATGCCCACACTGCCTTCCGTCGATCTACCACCCTCAGACATCGACGCAATTTTGACCTTTGCACAGACAGTAAGGCAGCTGGATCGATCTATTGCCGCCGGGCAGACCCCAAGAGGGCAACAGCCCTCACAGCAGGCGCAGACGCTTTTCGAGAAGTCGTCGGCCGTGCGGCCTCGCATGGCGAGGAGCTTAGGCGAGGCAGAGAGGAGGCACAAGGCCCTCTTGCAGATGCACGAAAAGCTAGCGGAGGCCGTGCGCATGTCCGACCGTCTGCTGGACGCACAGCTTGCGGGGAATGTTTGGATGATGTCTGTGGCGGAGGCACGCGGTGCACCAGCTGCGTTACCGCCCCAGGCAGCTGCTGATGGAAGCTTCTACCCTCAGGCGCAACAAACGTATAGCCAACAGCGAGGCTACGTCACGATCTCCCCACCAGCGGTAGCTGCTCCCACTATCTACCCAAGCGTGCCTTCTATTTCGCTTGGGCAACCCGACGCTGCTGCTCCTGCCGCTGTCGCTGCTTACGCATCGCCAGCACTTTACCGCCAGCCGCAGCAGCAGTACTCCCAGGCAGCGGACTATGCCGCGTACCAAAGCGGCGCGACTTCTGGGCAACAGCCATCGGCATTGCAGTACGAAGATCAGTCGGTATATTTCGGCCATCCGCATGCCAGCAGCCAAGTCGGCCCGGATGTCACAACTCCTTCGGATGTGGGTGGTCCAACGTACGCCTATCCTGCAGCGAGCGGATACAGTGGGGCTGACAGCGGCACTGATGGAATACATGGGTACATATCGCCTACACAGCAGCAGCAGCTGCTGCTGCAACAGCAGGTAGACTTGGCAGCGATGTCGCCCGGCAGCCAGTCAGATACTTCAGGCGCGAATGGAGGCTGGACGATTCCCATTCAAGCTCGGGGTGAAGCAGCAGCGCAACAGCAGTTCCAACTCCAGCAACAGGAGCAGATAGAACGACAATTTGCGCCGTTGGCCCCTCGCTTGCAGCACCAATACACTCAGCCGGACCATTACGAGCACCTGCACCCGCAGCACCACTACCAACAGCAACCCTACCCGCTCTCCCCTGGCTATGACGGAGGAGAGACTCCCTCGGGCCTCTCTGGGCCGGCAGGTGCCAACGGGTACTTTGCTGCGACGAACGTTACCAGTCCCGGTCAAACATACTCTAAGATTCAGGACATGCAGCTCCCACCCTGGAACCGCTCTGGGCCGGAGGTGCCACTCATTGATTTGTGATCGCAACTTAGGCGTACAAGATGGGGATGCTCCTTTTGTCGAAAGTGTATGATGTCTTTCTCGCGCCTTTCTCCGGGCTATGCTACAGTGCAGAGCATGGTGTAAAATACAGGAAGCGATCGTGGTGATCGTCGGATGGGGGCTTGCAGACTACTCCGTCTGTGCACCTTGCGCGTCGCCTTTCCCGCGCTTCCGTCTCTTTGACTTCCCAAAGGCTGCTGAATCCTTCGCAGAGCTCTCTGGGCCATCTGCGCTCTCACGCTTGCGCTTAACTCCCACGACCTCCGCTTGCGATTTGGGCTGTTGGGGTGCGGCTTTCTGTTTTGGTTTCCGCATGCTCAGTGGATTCGGCTGTTTTGGGCCTTTTCGCTTCTTCGCCTGTGCTTGCGCCGGCTGGGCAATTGCACCCAGCGACGGCGTGTTGACAGACCGCGCACCGGGTGTGTCGTCTGCGAGCGGGGAATCACCGCTAGACACCAGTGCTGCTGCTGCTGCTGCGGCGGCGGCGGCTGCATTTGCGCTTCCTTCTTTGTGAGCTAATGCTAATTTCGCTTGCTCAACCTGCGATACGAAAATTGTATTAGGGTATGTGGCCCCAAGCATGCATTCAACGCAAGCAACGTACCTGGAGCATTTTGCGAGCGGTCAGGTCACTCATTGGCTCCATGACGAGGACGCCGGTTTGGTTGCAGTGTATCAATGGAACGCCGGGCACGCCGACTCTAAGCTTCCTGCGTAAGCGCGGCTGATCGCTCGCTAATACGTAACGATGTTTGTTCGTTGGCCCTGTTGGCAAACGCATGAGGACATCAGTGAGGAGCAACCAGATTGTCGTCGACTAAAAGGAAACAACGTACCAATGACGCTTGCAAGACAATCGCACTCATCGATAGCATCTTTATGATTGCACATTCTCCGCTCCCATGTTTTTGCCATCTGGACTGCTCTTTTCTGATATTCTCCCTCTTTCTCCTGCTTGTACAGCGCAACCATGGAGCACTGCGTCACCATCAGCTTCGCTTTTGCTTGTATCACATCTGCGACACGTTTGAGAGGCTCGTCGATCTTTTGCTTGCTCAGCGATTGTGCGAAGGCCGAGTCGATGAGAACTTGGTACGGCTCCCGAAAGCCAAAGTGCAAGACATACTTGTGCAGCAACTTGCGGTAGATCTTTGCTCTCTTTTGACGCATGTTAAAAAGGTAGAAGATGCGAACCCTAGATCGCAACCAAGCAGCTCGAACTACAGTGAGCTGGCCCGATGCCACAATTCGTTGACGTTCTCTTCAGGATATCTGGACGCCAAGGATATTGACATCAGGCCGTGCAGAGCATTGTCGACTGTCGAATCGATGCGTTGAAGACCTAAGGCAAGGAGTAGGTGAGACCACAGAAATTGAAGAAGAGGGACATGTCGAAAATTCAGGCGGCATGCCCGTAGAAGCTCTTCGAACATGATTTTCAAGCGAGGGAGAGCGAGATGGGGAAAGAGCTGCTGAACACCGGACAACCCTACTGCGGAACTCGTCTCGCAGGCTCCCCTCACACCTTCACACCTTAACCTTTCGCCAACATCTTTTAATTGTGCAACTTTCACCATACCTGCACACTCTGCTTTAGATCAATTCACCTCGTATTGCAAGGTGATGGGAGGTACTCAAGTGTCGTCGAATGAATGCACATCAAAGATGATGCTGGATGGCGACATTGAAGTTAATTTCGACACACTCGCGCGAACGTACGGTATCTCGGACATTAACCCACCCTCTTTCTCACTAGACACAGGATCGACTACTTACGGACGAACGTGGGCTTCTAACACTCTTCTTCACGATGACTTTGAGCCTTTTTTTCAGCATTCACACCTACAGATGCAGTCCGATCTGAATGCGGAAGAACAAATTTCTTCTCCTTCTCCTGCTTTTCTGACCATCAGACCTGGGCAGAATCCAGGGAATCTGTCAGGGGAGTCAGCAAGCCCGATCGAGCACCGAACTTCACCTAATATAGGTTATGCTTCTGGTAAGCACAGCTACGAGTGCATGAATTCTCTATAGTGAAGAAGCTGATGAATGTGCTATAGAATCCGAAGCTCAGCCGGCGCGCCGCGAGCCAAAGGTTGCATGCGGCATACATCTACGGCCCGTCAGCCTTCTGCCTGATCAGTATCGAAGCCTGTACACCTTTGGCTTCTTCAATGCAATTCAATCCGCTTGTTTTGACTCGGTACGCTCTTTGCATACTGCTATCTGGGTACATTCTAATCCTTTCTTGATTTGAACGGTACTCAAGGTTTTGAATACAGATGAAAACATGGTGGTATGCGCTCCGACCGGTTCCGGAAAAACCGTCATCTTTGAGCTTGCAATGATCAGGATGCTGATCAAAGGCAACCCTGAGGATCAGGTAGGCACTTGAAGACGCATATAAGAACCTATCCCACAGCCAGCTGATTACAAGCTCACTTAGGCGGTGTACATGGCCCCGAGCAAAGCGTTGGTCGCGGAACGCGTCCGTGACTGGACTCGTCGCTTCGCCCCGCTGGGAATCACTGTCGCTGAGCTTACTGGCGACACCCATTTCAGAGACGTCAAGGCTGCAAAGTCCGCTCGTGTGCTGGTCACTACACCCGACAAATGGGACGCGACCACCAGACGGTTCTTGCAGCAGCAAAAGCTGCAGTCCCGTGTGCGCTTAGTGATGATTGATGAGGTGCACATGCTCCGTGATGCGAGAGGACCTCGCCTGGAAGCTGTGGTCGCACGAGTTAAAGTTCATGGAAACTCTGTCCGCATAATCGCTCTTTCAGCTACGGTTCCGAATGTTCAGGATGTGGCCGACTGGATTGGAAATGACAACTCACAGGCGCATACATCCAGCAAGCTGTCAGCCCAAGTGTTCCGCTTTGGCGAGGAATATCGTCCTGTTCCTTTGAAACGCTTCGTTTACGGATATGGAAAGCATGAAGTTGCCGGGTACAGCAACGCGCTCGACAAGAAATTGCTTGCCTTAATCAAAGACCATGGAAAAGGCAAGCCAGTGCTGATCTTCGTTCCGACGCGCAATGCGACTATCCAAAGTGCAGACCACCTAGCGAAGGAGTATTCAAGTCTCCGCAGTGGCCCAATGAGACCACCTTGGCCTATCCCCAAAGCTATCAACGCATCCTTTGACCATCTGAAGCTTTCTACCGTCGCCAAGCAGGGCATTGCTTTCCATCATGCTGGCCTGTCTCTCAGGGATCGAAAGACAATTGAAGAAATGTTTCTTGATGGTCGTCTCAGCGTACTTTGTGAGTGGCAAAAAGCCTGCTCTCTGCTCACGTTCTGACATCCATACTCTTTGCAGGCTGCACCTCGACCCTAGCTGTTGGAACCAACTTGCCAGCGTGAGTGCCTTATTTTTGCCAGCTTAGAGCCATGAATGTTGACTGACGCTGTCTCCCTTTATGAGCAGCCATTGTGTCGTAAGCGACATGCGTAGGGTATCGGTCTTGGCTACGCAACTGATTGATTCTCGCTTCAGATCGTTCGCGGAACGCAGATTTTCGACGAGACTTGGAAAGAGATGTCTGAGCTAGACCTGATCCAGATGCTGGGAAGGGCGGGCCGTCCTGAATTCGACAATGAGGGCTGTGCGGTGATTATGTGCGACTCTCAGCTCAAAGAAAAGTATTCGAATCTCGCGTCTGGAGACACTACGATCGAATCACACCTGGGGGAAGAATTGAAGGAGCATCTAAACTCCGAGGCGAGCATCAAAACTTATATCTGGCTGACCTACTTGCTGAAGTATGTCGTGGTCGCTCTAGATTGGCTTGCACGGGTTTTCGACCTCCGATGCCTTGTTGCGCTGGATCAAGGCAACTTTCTATTACGTTCGGCTGAGGAAGAATCCAGTGAGTGTGGCTGGTGCGATTTCGGAGCTGATGTCTGACATGCGCGCATCGCTACACTCTTGCAGGAGCGGTATGGCCACAAGGCACTTGACGAGACATTTGATTGCGACAAGCACCTGTACAAGATCTGCTCTGAAGCTTTAACTAGCTTGAAAGAGAGCACGTTGGTGTCGATATCTAATGAGAACGACCAGATTCACGCGACGGAATTTGGAGGTGCGTGTCCCCTTGCTCGTCAGCAGGCTCTGTCATTGACTCGCTCGAGTGGTAGACATCATGGCGAAGCATTTTGTCAGCTACAATGTGAGCGACTCGGCGAATGATGCGAGAGCCCATTTCTGATGTTTCGCGTTCGCAAGTCAATGTTGAGCCTTATGAAACAATCGGAGCACCCCATTAGCACAAAGGAAGTGGTCAGTCATGCCGTTAAGGAGGGAGGGATAGACCCGGTTTACTAACAGTGTGTGACATTCAGCTCGAGAGGATTTCTGAAGCCGAAGAATTCAAAACGCTCCGTCCGCGTAGAGGAGACAAGGATGTGCGACATATAATGCATCTGTGCTGTGACTGGTTGCTAATGTTGGTACCCATGACCTTTTCCAGTTTTACGCAGCACTGATGGCACATGATGATATCCGCTACCCCCCGGCAAAAGTCTCGGGCGCCCCAGAAAAAGTGTCACTATTGATACAAGTGAGCGCTGTCATCGATCCTGATCTTTTACTTGCGGAACAGCACGCCTCACGACGATTTCTCAGGTTGTTCTCGCAGGAATCGCAACTTCAGAGTTAAAGCAGCCGCAGCAAAGCAACCCTGTTCTCGATTCACGGACTATATTTCGCGTCGCCCCACGCTTATCACTTGCAGCCCTGGATATCGCCCTCGCTCGCAAAGATGGGCATTTCACAGCTGCAGCCTTTGAAGTCATGCGCGCGATGCATGGCCAAGCCTGGGACACGTCACCGTCGGTACTACGTCAACTGGACGGGTGAGCCCTTTGTTTTGTTGGTGAATAAGCATGCACTTACAATTGATAGGAACCATTATCAGTATCGGAGAGAAGTCTATGCGTGTTCTGTCTATGTCCGGCATCTCATCTATCAGAGATGTAGCGACATCCGACCCTCGTCGTCTTGAGCAGCTGCTTTCAAGGCATCCTCCAGTGAGATTTTGAGGGAGAATTTCCTGAGCTGTGCAATGCTGACCATTCATTGACTTGTCAGTTCGGAAACAAGCTGGTGGCTAATGCAAAACAATTCCCTGCAATCACGCTTGGGCTACATCAGGTCGGAAAGGCAAGAGGGTCGTCAGGTCTCTCGGTAACTATGGTGGTAGAAGTGGGACTCGAGATCTGCGATGCAATATTGAGCAAGCGCACGGACGACGGGACCATCAGCTTCGCCGCCATTCTGACCATGACCTCGGACAAACAGCTGGTCGACTTTCGAAGGACGCCGTGCGTTCTGTAGATGCGATTGTACCCTCGTTGGCGCGAGGCTGACATTCATCCTTCTCGAACAGGATAAAAGTTTTGGCTCGTGCTTCACCACAGACTTTCACCGTCAAATGCCCACTGACAAAGCCATCTCAGAGGATCATCTGTGTTGCTGCTTGCGACAACATTGCCGGTACTGCGCTCAAAGCGGAGCTCCGACCCGACGCAGACCCGGCTGAGTATCCGGTCCCAGAATTGGACAAAGAAGCAGGAGAGACAGTGCTTGTGAGTGAGATGTCTCCTAGCACGGCGGCCCATCTGCGCGTGCTGATTCTTCAAATGGAAAGCAGGAACAGGTTCAGAATTCCGAAATCCAATCTGGTCCGTGCCTTGTCTTTACCCCATTCGTGGTCTTCATGCTGATTTCAAACCTCCCTTTCAGAGCCGGTCGCGTGTGGACGAGCTCGCAGCTACGTCGAAATCCACCCTCACGACTGTCCCGACGCTCAACAGAACAAGTTGGCAGATCGGAGATGCAAACATACCTGTCGAAGGCCTTGCAAGCACGCCTGTTGCAACGAAGGCGTCAAAAAGAGAACCACAGCGGCGAAGCAATATGTCTTTAAGGCCACGACACCGAATGACGGCCCTGATCACTCCTCTTCTATGAGCATGACAGTCAAAGAGAAGCCGAGCAAAGCAAAGCAAAGGAAGTTTACGCATAAACCATCCGCCGAAAAGCGAAAGGCAGGATACCTTTCTGACGACACCTCTGACGACGATCTGCACGCCGGACCTCTGTCAAAAATAAAATTGCACAAGACAATTGAATCGAAGAAGGCAGCTATCAACAATGCTTTTAGCGACTCTGAGGATGAATTCAATGACCCTTCATTTGATGAGATCCTTTCCAATGTTGAGGTCGAGAAGCAGGCAACCACAACCAACAATATCACTACTACCACTGCGAATAATCAGGTTCCGAACCAAAACAAAAAGGTTTCCAGAAGAGCATCCTCGCTCTTCAATCAGCTCGACGACAGCGATTGGCCCTCAAAGCCGAAGCTGCACCGTTCATCTGAAGCCTCGGGTCTTTCGACCGCTACGTATGTGCAAGGCTTGCAAAAAAATCATCTCCCAGCAATCCACACATTGAACTCAACTGCGGCTGGTAAATCCATCGATCCATTGCAAGATGCGGAAGAAGATCAACTCGACAGGGATGATGACATTGATGAGCATTACCCTGCATTCGCCGATGGCGTCCACCCTCAGGCTACAATATCTTTCGTTCGCGGTGCAGATGAAGATGTTGATGCCGAAGTTGATCCAGCACATCACCGCACAGATGAGCCTCAAGCTGCGGTACAGGCACTCGACCCGATGTGCGAGTCAATCTCATCTTTCCCTGGTGACATAGGTGCAAGCTTGAGTCGCGGTCAAAAAGCCGTCGACAATGACGACAGGGAGGAGGAAGAGATGAAATTTGGCGAGTTCATCGAGGGTTGGGGCGAAGATTCAACCGTGGCTGGTCCCGATGACCTGCCTACAAAAGCAGCCCAGCTGGATGACCAAGTGATGAGCTTTGAGGATGATCAATGCTCGAATATCGGTGATTCGGGAAGTCAAGAAGCCTCTCGTATGAGATGTGTGGCTTTCGACACCCTTGATACGATCGAAGAGATTTCGGAGCCTGTCGTCCCCGCTTCTGAACGTGCAACATCTGCAGCGCCTGCACATCAGTCGCAAGCAGCACTGATCCTGGAATCCTCGACTTCTGCAGCAACACGAGGTCAACCGGACATCCCAAGCGCAAGTTCTGTCGCCGCATGTCAAACGAAAGGCAAGCGTACTCGAAGCTCAGACAAATTGTCTACGGCCAAGCAGCAGCAACATCAGCAGAAGCAACCAGGCACGAACGATGTTTCCGGCGGCCACGTTAGCGCAAGCTCAGATGCAATGGGACAAGAGGACGGCGCTTTGCTCATGGACGAGTTGGATGCATGGCTGGAGAGCAACGAGGCGGAAAAGATGGCAGATGCAATTGCCAGTGAGAGGTAGGGTGCAGGTAGAGCAAAGAAGGAAGGCTAAAGCCGAGCTAAGCCATATGGATTCGCGGTCCCAGACCCTCAAGCACGTCCGTGCCCGTCAGCTGCCCATTGTGTCCCAGAAACCAACGAATTGTATTCAGAAGATTCGAGCAACATGCTGTCATTGGACTTGACCATGCAGCTTGTGAGTTGTTTTAAGCATGTTGGATGGCGTGGTTCGAGACCAACCAAACTTGTTGAACAACTGCATGGGCACCTCTCCTTATCGCCTGCTCGTCGAAAGCATGAGGTCAGTGGTGCTCTGCACGACAGCGAATACACAGAAATACCCGGCAGAGTTGGATGTAGCTTGCCGCCCCATCACCTCGTTCCCTTGCCCTCGACTCTCGAATCCATCACCCAATGGATTATTAGGTGGACGTTGGACGCCACGATGGAATCTCATGATGGAAACAGCCGAACATGATGGAACGAGCTCTCAGCCGGATGAGCGCTCGGCTTTCACCTCAGCCCGAGCGCCGGCAAGATTTGGCCCCGCACAGTTCCGGCACTAGGCCAGTCAGCGACTATCGCTGACGACTACATTAGCAATCTGGGCGTCGCGGCCGGGTATCGCATGAGATAGATCGTGCATCTCATCCCCCCATGTCATCGCCACCGCGTCCTACGCAAGCAGCCCCGCCCACCTTTACTCAGTCTCGACGCTTTCCAGAGCCAGGATCGCACCAGTAGCAGGGCTGGTCGAAAGCCCTAGCTGCAGCAGATCGTGCCGTGCCGACGAAACACCCGAGAGTCACCACGGCCATCAACGAACCACCCGCTCAATTGACTGCACTTGACCCTCGTGTGACACGCGAGACCAAGCCAGTGCTAGTGGCAAACGATCCATCTTACCCAGAAAGCCAACATCAGCAGGGGGAAAGGTGCAGGAATAATGCTCTCCTCCGGAAACATCGTCATCCCGCCCCTTCTGGCCGTTCTGCCACTGCCCTACCCGTTCGTCCTGCACCCTTCTCTCCTACTCAGCATTCCCTTGTCGTACGCCCATGCGCTCAGCCTGCTCAAGGCTGCTCTTCACACGGCTGCATCAGATGGAGGAAAACTCGTAGATGTGAACATTAACAACAGCAACCGTCCGATTATCGTCGCCTGTCTCCCAAGCCTGCGCGCTCCAGCCGGCTCGTCTGCAAACCCAGTGCCTCCGAGCCAGCAAGACTCCGTCGTCCCACACTCTTCGAACCCCTCCAATGGAGCTGCAAATGGAGCGTCGATCATCACAACTCACGAGCTAGCAGAGTGGGGTTGCGCAGCTCGCCTTCTCCGCTTGACCCGCCACCCGGCCAGCCAGACATGCACGCTCCTCGTTACTGGCCTTGCTCGCATCCGCGTGGACCGCTTCCTTTCCTCTCGAGTCACGGTAACGATCGCGGGAAGTAGCAGTGGCCGCTTGCCAAGCGGCACTGCTGATCCTCGCGCAAATGAAATCGAGGGGGACAAAAGGTCCGGCAATGACACTGTTTCGCAAGATGTCGCTGTCCCCCTCGCCGCTGTTACCGTCTTTGTCGATGGGGTGGACCGGTTCACATCGGAGCTCTCCCTGACGGGGCGCAAGCTGCCGCTTGGGGAAGAGAAAGATGATGCTGAGATGATCCGAGATCTCCGAGGGGCAGCGAGCGACATTCTCGACTCCTTCTCATCGCTCCCCACTTTTGGGAGCAGCGGGCGCAATGGCGAGAGCTCGCTGAGCAACACAATCGTACCTCTATCGCTTCTCTCGCCCAATGGAAACAGCGCGCTGGGATACCTTACCAGCAGCGGTGCAGGGGCAGGGAGCATGCCTCTGCTGCCGCCCGTCATGCTCAAGCGTCTGCGCTCGCTTGTCAAGGAGACGCCCAATGCGGCAGCTGCCATCTTGGCCGACGTCCTCGTCGGCACCCTCGGAGGCGCATGTGAGTGGGCAGCCCGGCTGAATCTGCTAAGCGAATGGGATGCGCGCGATCGGGTCGTTGCCGCGACCAAAGCGCTGCGCGATGGTGCGAACAGGATCATGCTCGCCAAGGAGCTTATCTCAGCCCTCGCCGCGCCGCTCAACCAGGGAAGCAAAGAGACGCTCATCCGTCTGCAGCTCGAGAGCCTCCTCACAAGCTTGGCTGCCATTAACCCAAACGTCAGCGCACGTATAACCACGCCCAGCGGAGGATTCAGCATCAGTGGGGGCAACACCGCAGCTGGTTCCAAGGATACGGAGGGCAACAGCCCCAGGCGCAATGGCATCATCACCATTCGCTCGGGCTCGGGAGGTAAGGGAAACAATAGCGATGCTGCCAAAATCATCAATTCGATCCGCAACAGCGGCAACCCATTCCGCCTTGGCAGCAGTGGCAATAGCAACAACCCCTTCGGTGGCGGTGGCGGAGCAGCCAATGGTGGCGGCAGTGCCGACAGCACAGGCGCGGGAAACGATAGTGGCGAGACGGATGAAATAACAGAGCTGGCAGCCAAGCTCGAGAAGGCGATGCTGTCGCCCGAGGCTCGTAAGGTATGCGATAAGGAGCTCAAGCGTCTCTCGCGCATTCCGCAGCAGAGCGTCGAGCGCGGCGTCCTCATCACATATCTGGAGCTTATGGCCGAGCTACCGTGGGGCAAGACGAGCGTCGACCTGAGCGAGCAGGAGCAACTGAAGCTGCTCAAGCGTGGCGCGCACGTCGACGAGAAGCTTGAAGAGTCGCATCGGGCGCAGGACGAAGGAATCGTCGAGCGTGCGCGTCGGATCCTGGATGAGGATCACTATGGCCTGGAGAAGATCAAGAAACGCCTGGTCGAGTATCTCGCCGTGCTGGAGCTCAAAACCATCCAAGCAGAGGAGAAGCTGGACGCGGAGATCCACGTGGAAGTGGCACAACCGGCTGGGGCGAAAATGGAGATCGCTGGTCCTGGCAGCAACACCAACAGAGGCCCCGCTGGAGCTAGCGCCTTCGACCTTGGCTCGGACCCAAAGGAGACGCTCGGCGGCTCGATCAGCTTCGAAGGAGAAGAAGACGACACAAATACCTCAGCTGTCGGATCGGTCTCTGCGTCTGATCCGCGCGCCCTTGATCGCTCCAAGGAGTACGCGCGAGGTGAAGGCGTTCCGCACATCGAAGGTCTTTCCGAGGAGGAGAAGCAGCGCAATCTCGATCGAGAGGTTGTGCACCGGCAGAAAAAGAAGGTCAGCGTTGCTGACAAGGGCCCGATTCTGCTGCTTGTTGGGCCACCAGGGACGGGCAAAACGTCAATCGCGGTGGGTTGTACAGTCTTGCGCATCCATATATCTAGCGATAAGATTCACTGACATTTTTTCCTTTTTACCGATGTTCAGAAATCGCTCGCGACTGCGCTGCGACGACCTTTCACCCGCCTCTCGCTCGGTGGAGTCCGCGACGAAGCCGAGATCCGCGGCCACCGACGCACCTATGTTGGCGCCATGCCTGGTTCCATCGCTTCTGCGCTGCGCAAAGTCGGCGTCAGCGATCCTGTCATTTTGCTGGACGAAGTGGACAAGCTGGGCAGCGGCAATGGCTTACACGGCGACCCAATGGCTGCCATGCTTGAGGTTCTCGATCCTGAGCAGAACTTCAGTTTCAATGATCATTATGTAAACTGTCCGATTGATCTTAGCAAGGGTGAGGGCACTTTTGAAGACTGAGCGTGATGGGCAACTCGCTGACTACAAAGGTGATCGTTTTCTCTCCAGTGCTCTTCATTGCTACTGCGAACTCCCTGGACACGATCTCTCCTCCCCTGCTCGACCGTACCGAGGTGATCCAAGTTTCAGGGTACACGCACGATGAAAAGGTCGCCATTGCTCGCCAATATCTCCTGCCCAAGCAGATCAAAGCACAAGGGCTCAAGCCTGAGGACTTGAATGTCTCCGACGACGTCCTTCTTAAGGTTGCCATGAGCTACACACGCGAAGCAGGTGTACGCACACTCGAGCGGCAGATCAGTGCCATTGCGCGCGCCAAGGCGGTCGAGTACGCAGAAGTCAAGAAGGGCGCGAATGACAAAGGCGGCAAGCCAAAGGTGTACGATCCGGTTGTGCGGCTCGATCAGCTCGAGGCGTTGTTGGGCGTAGAGACGTACGAGCCCGAGGTGGCTGAGCTGCAGTCTCGTCCAGGCGTCGCCACTGGCCTTGCCTACCAGGGTTCTGGCAGCGGTGGCATCCTGCACATCGAGAGCGTCTTGCTGCCTCCGGGAAATGGCAACCTTAAGCTCACCGGCTCACTTGGCGACGTCATTCGGGAATCAGCCGAGCTCGCGCTTTCTTGGATCAAGGCGCACGCTTTCCAATTGGGCATCACGACTTCGCGCGATTCGGAATTCCCGAAGAATGACATTCACCTGCACCTTCCATCCGGTGCCATTCCCAAGGACGGCCCGAGCGCTGGTGTTGCAATGACATGCGCTCTGGTTAGCTTGTTCTCTCGCACGCCGATCAGCCCCAAGCTCGCCATGACTGGAGAGATTACATTGCGCGGCCAAGTTACACCCGTTGGAGGCATCAAGGAGAAGTGCCTGGGAGCGTGAGTGTGCCTTCCGTCCCTTTTGCTTGAGATAGTTTTGACAATTCATGACTGAAATCCTATTTTCGTTTTACAGACATCGCGCGGGCATCACGAAGGTTCTTCTACCAGCTCGCAACCGGAAGGACATCGAAGCCGATTTGCCTGCAAACGTCAAAGCAGAGCTGGAGGTCGTGTACATCAAGACTATCTGGCAGGCACTTGAAGCGGCCTTCGGCATGGCGCTTTTTGAGCATGCCACTGGCAGTCACGAAGGCGTCGAGGAGGGACGGAAGATGATGTTCGAGCTGGAGGATAGCAGACTGTGAAACGCGCGTCATATAATTGTAGTACCAGATCCACTTGTTGTCACTGCTATCTTTCATACTTGCAAATGATTTGTAAATAGGCACTCACATAAGACAATCGACTTTCCATGCAAACCATGCACAGACGACAGAAGCTGCCAGGTCTCCAAGGTCGAGGCTCGTCATCGTGCTCATCGCTCAGCAGCCAGCTCTGTCAAACGCAGAAGAATCGGCGTGTTGCGTATGCGCACACACGCGTCCTGCGTCACGAAACGCGTCGCGTGTTAATTGTGTTGACTTCTTCAGCTGGTAGCTTCACACCTCATGCCACCCCATCTCGCATCGCGTTTCAGTCCGACTTGTTCCGTTGCTCGCCGCTTGATTTCGCTTGAGGCACGTCACACGAGTTGCCACTAGCTCGATCTCGATCATATTTCTTTTGTTGAGCCGGCTATCCACTGAACCGCAGGCCAGGCAATTTTCAGTCAAAGCAATCGGTTGCTTCACTGCCTGACCTTTACCAACTGCCTCGGATAGTCAGTGACCATGCCATCTTCGATCTCTTCGCACACTGTGCCAAATTTTTACGCTTGTTACTTTCTTCGATCGTACGCTGGCAGCGGACGTGTCTTCAACAAGACATACATAGGATCAACGCCCGATCCTCCACGGCGAAAGCGACAGCACAATGGCGAGCTCACGTCTGGTGCGAGGCGTACTTCTCGAGGGCGTCCATGGGAGATGGAGTTCATCGTCAGCGGCTTCCCGAGCAAAATTGCAGCGCTCCAATTCGAGTGGTCCTGGCAGAAGCCACATGTCACTCGACATTTGCGTGTGCTACCTTCTGAAGCCGCTCGACCCGGCGTGACTCAAGCTGCGGGGGAACCACTGCTGCCTCAAACCATCTCACGGCGATCAAGAAAGGGCAGGTCTATCAATTGCGCAGTGACAAACCCGAGGAGCAAGTTCATCGCCTTGCGAGCTCTCCTTGCCAGCGAGCCATTCGCGCTTTGGGGCCTTAAAGTTGCCTTCTTCGCAGAATGGGCTTACGCAGCATGGCTGGCCGTGGAACACTCAATCGCGGATTCAGCCGGGGCCGATAAAACTTCAACGAAGGCACGCACAAGCAGAGGCGGCGTTTTTTTGCCGCCTCAAACGATATCCCCGGCCGTGGTGTGCTGCTGGAAAGGCGTCGACGGGGCAAGGAAGTCCATCATGGGTCAGGCCGTTGCTGACGGAGAAGAACAGGTCAAGGCCGCAGTATCGAAGCGAAAGAGCAAAATCAAGGAGAGTGCTGCGGGCAAAGAAGGTGCTGGTCTAGCTTGGAAAGAAGCCGCTGCAGTGCCCAGGAATTCTCTCAATGAAAATTGCAAGCTCGAATACAAAGATTTGCAACACGCACCCGTGGCAATGCCGCCCTCCAGCGAGTGCGGGGGCCCAGGCGAAGCATGGCTACGATTCAATGATGGTGGGCCTCCTTGTCTTGGCTCTCTGAGCCACATGCTGACAAATCTAGTCATCCTTTACAGATGCAATCTCAAATTATCAATGGGCACGGTTCGAGCGGATATTGAAGCGAGAGATGATCTCCGTGGAGAGCTTGTCAGCCGGTACCCACTCGGTCAACTGTGACAAATGCAAGAAGCAAATCGATTTGAAAGACCACTCCAGCTATTCCCTTTGCGCATCATCGTACCTTCCGCTACACGCTCGACCTTACAACAACCCTTCTGAGACTCACAGCAAAGACAAGCACTGCGAGCACGTCTTCCATCTCGAGTGTCTAGCAAAAGGCTTTGCTCGGGATCCTGCAGCAACATCAGACAGCCTTTCTCTGAGTAAAGTCATCGAACCAACGCTTTTACCTGTCTCAGGAAAGTGCCCGGGATGTGGGCCGTCCGCAACGATCGGATCCTGGTCAGATGTCGTGCGAGGGGTCTTTAGGCGTCAAGATCGGTTCGAGGCAGAATTAATCGGCCTTGCAAAGAAGCGAGCAGTCGAAGAGAAGAAACAATTGAAAGAGGCGGAGAAGGAAGCGGCAACGCAGGCTAAAGAGGCGATACGTGAGGAGGCGAAGCGCGCAAAAGAGCTGGAGAAGAGTGACAAGAGCGTGGGCAAGCGGGGGAAGAAGGCTACGCACGAGCAAACGATGGTCCTCAGTGACGACAGCGCAGACGAGACGGGGAAAGAGAAAGCCGCTGTCATCAACGCCACGGACGACGCGGCCAATACTCAGACTCGGCCCGCTTGTGGGAGAGTTGCTAAAAAGACGCTTGCCGCCATGCTGGATCCTGGCTCATATAAGTCTGCGTCTAAGCCAGTGCCACAGCTACGATTACCACCTGGACGTGCCGCATCCAAGGGCAATGATCCTGCAGTTTCTGTAGTCATAGATCTAGTCACTCCCGACACATCTGTCGGGACCGTATAGTTAGTTTGCAGATTGTATCAAATTTCATGATTTATGAATGCCCGAGGGTCTCTGCCCAGTTCTTCCAACCTTCGCCACCTGTCTCCTGAAGTAAGATCCGCTCATTAGCCGAACCGAAATAGCCTTGCTGCGACCATACTTTCAGGTCCGATAGCGGGAATGGTCCGAACATTTCAATCTCGGGATTGACATGCTGTCCCGAAGCTTCCGCTGTTTCTGCAAGATAGGACGGGGCCCATCGGTATCGGAATTTCCGTGCATCGTCGCCTGTAGAAGCTTGGCCGGGGATACCTATTAAGGACGCACTCGAATCACCGACACTGGGGCCTGCCCCATCCACCGCTTCCCCAGATACCTGCTCCTGTCTCTGAGAAGCCGGATCCCAGTCGCTTGGAACCTTGCCGCTTCGTTTTACAGCTCGCAGGAGGCCCTCGTAGGTATCGTCGTATATGTTGATGAGCCCGTGCTCGGACATGAGGGATGATGAATAAGCCGTGACATCTTCAAAAGCTTGTAGAACTGCAATTGAAGGCCTTTGCTCATCCGTGTCCATCGCAGCAGAGGACTCTTCCGCCTTCTCCTTCTCCTTGCCTTTGCCATTGCTTTTGTTCTTGCGCCAGCTTTGTTTATTCTTGTTCGTGAGCTTGTGCTTCTTTGCTTCCTTGCCTAATCGCTGCAAAGTTTCGAGCACCGACTCGCCACGCTGCATGTGTTCCACAAGCCGTTGTTGCAGCTCCGGTAAGCTCAGTGCCATCTCCTGCTCTTTCAGAGCCTTGCTTCTCTCCTCTGCGTCTCGTTTGCGTTGGGCATCCTTGGCCGCTTTGATCGCCTTGCGGGTATAATTTCCTTGCAGCCAGCTGTCATGCTCCGCATGTGGATCTTTCGCATTCGCGATGTAGTTTCCCTCATCATCGAAACGACCAGCTTCCATCTCGGCTTTCATGTTAAAGCTCTCAATCTTGTAGCCCATGCCCTTCTTGAGCTTCATCTTCGACTGCTTCTTGAGCCTCACGATCGGCTCATCCGCTCCGGCTACTGGTGTTTCTATTTTTGTTTGACTCCCTGACCCTTCGACACCTTTCTTGTCCTCTTCGCCGTCACCGTCGCCGCTATCGTCTTCACTGTCGCTATTTTCCTCGCCTTCGCTGCTCTCCAGCTCAAAGTCGGGGTCAAGGTCTTGTATGTCGTCATCACTCTCGGCTGCCTCAGCTTCAAGATCAGCCTTCTCCTTATCTGGCGCCCGTGTCCTTTTCCCAAATTCTTGGCCTTCGATATCACCCAGCTTCAAGTAATTGTTGCCTTTTTTTCTGCCACTTGCATCCTCTTTGGATTTGTCTTCGTCCGCAGCAAACATGTCATCGTCCCCGTCATCCACTGCAGCATTGCCTGACCCACCGCCATCGTCTTCATCCTCGGATTCCGAGTCCGACATTTTTGTTATGATCCTGCCTTTTCGGCCTTGCTGTTCGCGCTTCCGATCCTGCTCCTCTAGCTCGATGTCGCCGGTGTAATCTTCGACGTCCTGTGAAACTCGCGCTTGGGGCAGGCCGCGATCATAGTGCGCTGCGGTGCGCGGTGCATCTAATTCCAGTCCCGAAACCCCTTTGGAAGTGGCGGTCTTTGTTGCAAAGCGTAGGCGCTTGGAAACATCAGACGAGGGACCGACGTTGCTGAAGGTGTTAGACGTGGAGGGAGCATGTGCGCTTGAGGATGGGGGTCCATCGGCGCGGCGCTTCGGTGCCATCTTCTGGAACTGCAGTGGGAGTTATCGCAAAGAGTAGTTGCATATGCGTAGGAGCAGCTGTGGGAACGCAGGCTTGAGTCTTTTGGTCGAGGGAAAGCTCAAGACTGCAGCACAGCGATTAGAAGACCTTGCTCTGATTCGAAGTTTGGAACCTACAAGCTATCAAGCTGTCAATGTATGTCGTTGTTAACGCGCGCGTTAAGCAGCAAAGCTCAAGCGAAGAGAAGACTGATCGTAGAATATTTCTGAACATGGTTTGATATGAAGGGAGAGAGCGAGTGCTGCGCCTTACGCCTTCATGCTTGTGCCTCTCATTAACTGGTGGTTCACGTACGCGCAGCCCATTTCAATTTTAATCTCACTCTGTCTCTCTTCAAGGATCAAGCTCGCAACCTTGTGCATACATGAGTTGAAATAGTCACGGCAGGGTCGATTTCGATCAGTTGCACACATTTCGTCGCCGATCATGGGCTTGGAACGCTACTTGGCCTCGCTCTGCTCTACGAAAATTCGCGTCCATGAAAAGTGCGGCTGCTCCTCTGCGCCATTCCCAACAGCCACTTCGAGAAGACGTCATGTCGAAGCCTTATCGATGTGGCTGCTGAGAATGATGTTCGAGAAGACGATCTGGTGCGTGTGGAAGACAGGGTAGGTTGCGATGTCGAACAGAATTAATAAGGGTTCCTGGCGAGCACAAGGGACAGTCATTCGTGGTCCGTGGAAAATCATGACCCACAGCTTCCCTTTTGTAGACAGCTTCGCGCAAGGGGAATTGAATATAGGGTAGGTTTCCAAAGGGCCATCACTCATGGCGAAGAAATCGTACACAGATACCAGCCACGCGTTTCTTCGTTTTCTTTCTCGGTCCAAGCTTCAGCAGAATCACAATAAATTGCTCATCTACAGGCAGCGTGCGTCATCATTAGAGGGTCGTCGGATGGCGTGCAATAATAAAGTACTGCGTGTATGGGGCGATGAGGTTTGGGCAACTTTCGCTTGCTTTAGGGGAAAAATTCACAATGTCTGATCTCTGGCAGAGTGGGACAATGTTGCAGCGTCCCTCTCCTAGCTCTGTGGAATATTGTTGCTGTGCTTTATTACGCATTTCCACTGCTCTTGCTGCTCCTCTTCTTCTCATCGGAATTGGCCACAGAAGCTGGCTGGCTGGCACCTCCGGTGCCGGAGATCATGTCCTTCTCCGCGGCAAGGCTGGTCGCTTGCTTTGCAGTCTTGGCGAATGCAGTGTGCGCCTCGCCGGCTGCTTTCTTGGACTTGTATGTCTTTTGGTAGAAAGCGATGAAGAGGACGAGGTACGATGAGAGGATTGTGCAGCCAGACCAGACCTGTATATCATCCAGCATTCACATGCATGAGAAACGCGACTGTCAGCAATGGGACCCCTTCGCATGCGACCAACACGCCAGGTGCATCTCTGACGATTATCAGGAAAGAAGACTCACAGCATGCTCCTTTCCAGCAGCACACTTTCCGTGATTGGGCAGAGTCTTGCCCAAACCATAGGCATTGACAAAGTAATTGTAGCTTGCATAGTAGATAACGCCCAGGTCGAGGACGAATTGCAGGATCTGCGTGCTTGTCACTGCCTTCTTCCACGGGCAGGGAATTCGCAGGGCAGTGAGCATGTAATAAGCGTACATAATGACATGTACGAAAAGATTGAGAGTCTGATCGCATTCATTGGTTGTCGCCCAACCATGTCAGCTTGGTGTGCCGCTAGCGCAGAGCTGAAACTTTCGAGTGAAGACTCACAATAACGACCCAGGAGACGCTTGTCTTGCCCAACAGCTGGCTGAAGCAGAGGAGAGCAGTGGCGGAGTGGTGGTAGACATGTAGGAAAGCGAGCGGCTTCTTTTTGAGGACCAGGAAGACTGTGTCGCCCAGTTCCCAGAATTTGAAAATGTAATTCTTCAAAGCATGCATGAATTCAAGCAGCGTCATAATTATGCACATTGCCCAGTCAGCTGCGATTCCATCTGGAACTCACGAAAATGTAGAGTGTCTCCATCCTCTTTGTCCATGCTTGCTCAGCGCAAATGGCATAGTAAAACCCATTCCTTTTCCAGAGCGGCAAAATCTCCTCTAGCATGCATGCGAGCAGCAGGCCACTGCACACGCTGAGCAAGAAGTTGTGCAGGACAAAGGGCTGTTTGAGTTTAAAAGCCTGGACCTTGAACTTTTGCATAAGCGCCTGACCGGTGAAGATTATCGCGAGGTAGCCGGCGCCTGCAAGCAGGACCGATGTGCCGGTGCTGAAGGGCGTGCGGCCAGGCTGCCAGGAGAGTAAGGGAGAGGTGCCATCTAGCAGTGATGCACGTAGCGACGGCGGAACGAAGTATGGAATGGTCTGGGACAGCGCATCGTAAATGGGTGTCGCGTGCGTCGGCGTCGCTCGAAGCTGGAACATCTCGGCATAGGCAACCAGGAAGGTGCGTGTCGACTTGTAGTGCTGGCGGGCTGTTGCAGGAGTCTTTTGCGGCAAAGTGTGGACGTACTTGATTCAGTGAAACGGCTAAGCAGAAGAGAGGGATACAGTAATTCATGATAATAGTGTTCCAAGGTTTATTTATATACAGTGCACAGTGGGCGTTCCTTCGGGGGTCCGTGTCCGCCAGGTGTCGGTGTCCGCATGTTTCCCACTTTACGTCCGCGCCACGCTGGCGAACAACCACACGATGCGGACGATGTCGAGGCGTGTTCGTTTACCTGTGGGCAGTCCAAAAATAGTTACACCGATGGTGCGCGATCCGGAGACAAGACTTTTGCTGGCGCACCACCCCTCAGGTGTGTGAGCAATCCAGCTGGCAGACAACCAGCCATAATCGGCGCGACGTCGGTTGTAGGGTTATCGACACTTTGGGCGCGGACAACTGGAACAGCAAATGACGACTACACCGACCTTGTCTGTTCACCGAACACACAATGACAGCAACCGAACCACGCTGTTCCTGTTGCATTTTTCTCGATGCAGCCACACAATATATCACTGAGCTGGAGAGAATTGTGCGATGTGGCTGAAGAGATACGAATTTGAGCATGGACTGGCCCTACCATATGTGTCCGTTGGAGGCAGATTGTGTGCTGAAATCCTCATTTTGGCACACAAATGCGCCAAATTCTTACTACAGTCTGCGACAGTCAACATTGTTTCGAGAAATAACCGCGGCAGTCCAAATCCTTGGCAGCGAGATGCGTTCGCATGCCCCCCTTGCGAACAAACCAAAGGTTTTGCACCGAAAATGCGCCTCCTTCGAAGTCAAGAGAGTCAGACGTGGGATCTGCAATTTCGGATGAAGACACGAGGGCCTGCCACGGTACTTCGACCTGCTATGCGACGGTACCTGGTGACGAACAAGTGGCGCTATTCAATCTGACATACCTTTGTGAAGGCTTTTACTGGCCTTTCTGCCAGCGTGTGAGTGTTGCTCCGTCCAAAGACCCAGACAAGCCGCCGCAGACGGGCGTGGGCCATGAGGCGGAAGTGCTCCATCGGAGGGCTGGAAGAAACCATGTCGTTATCAACCGTTCTCTTCATCGGGCCAACTACGCTTCTGAAAGTCCAATCCTCCGCTTTGTCTTAGGTCGCGCTCAGCGGTACACTGACGTTGAGCGGTCACGTGGAAGCAACTGGCAGCGCTCCGTCGGAAACACGTGCCACTGGGGCGACCACCACGATAAGCGTGACGACTGGAAGCGCCAGCACCGTTGTAGAATCGGCAAACACAGCAACCCCAGAGAGCCCCATGCACAGAGCAACCTGTGTTACGTAGAGCACGCCTTTAACGCACAGGACACCGGGAAACCCAACAGAGAAATCAGGCAATGCGAGAACCACCACGCCAGGTTCTGTGACACCGTCTCCCGCAGAGCCGACGCCGTCCACAGCCGGTGCTGTTGAGTCTGGGGGAAGATGCGACTACAGTGCCTGCAGTAAATAGTCACCAGAGAAAATTGCCCGAGCCTGAGTCCGCACTTCGGTCAGGAGAAGGTGTATTGGTCGCCGTAGCGGGCCAGCTCCTAGGGCGCCTGCATACGCGGTGCGACGAAATGCACATCTGTAGCCTCGGAAGCAACATGCATGGCTGTGGGAGGAAACTGTTAATCTGGGACACTTAAAAGTACCCAAGAACATTCATCTTGACCTTAGGTAGTCATCATATCATTCACTGAGAACGAATACCTGGCGGTATTTCCAAGAGAATGTTGGGGTCTAAATGAAAGTCATGTAAATCCATAGAAATGCAGTGGCCTCCGTATCCCTTGCACATATCATCGTATGCACCGGCATAATAGGATAGGGAATACTGAATTATTGATTTCCAGATCGTTTATTATACCAACTCGCCTGCTAGAGTCTAACACGGTGTTCGGTTTTTGGCACTAAAAAGCCATCCCGTGTCGTATGTGGCAAGGCTTACCCAGGACATACAGTCTACAAGCTATAGGGCTCGATATTGACGGTCGAGTTCCCTTCCAATGCCTTCCTGATAGCCTCGCAAACCAAAAGCGCCGCGAGTCCCGCCTGTGCTGTGCAGCTGAGCGCTTCCTCCCCTCGGATGACCTTGAAGAAGTGGTTCAGCTGCAGCTCGGAAGGAACGCCCTCTGGGACGGGAACGACCTCTCTGGACAGCTCGCTGCTCCAAGATTTCTCCCCCTTGTACGACCAGACGGACATTTCCGGAACACTCACGCTCCTATCCGTCCCAAACACGCGGTCGACGTTCTGTCCCGCTTTGGGAATCAGGGGGTTCTCGCCAGTGCCAGACTCGAAGTTATACAGTGAGGGCAGGTTGTCCGCCACGAGGAAAGAGCCGACGGCACTGGAATTGAATCTCAGTGTGAGAGCTGCGCCCTCCTCCGCGTCGAGGCCACTTTGCGACTCGATCTTCTCCCTATACACGGTAGTGATGGGTCCCATAAGGTAGTGCAGGAGATCAACCTCGTGAATCATGTTGATCAGAACAACGCCACCGGTCTTGTCCTGCCGCCAAGCTGTAGGCGGCTGGTAGTAGTCCAAGGACTTGTATAGTGTCCACATTCCGTTGATAGCGAGCACTTTGCCAAGCTTGCCAGATGAGGAGACGATCTCTTTCGCTGCGACCATATAGGGATTGAAGCGGCGGTGGTGTCCAACGAGGGCCTTGACGCCTGTCGTGGACAGATGCTGGAGGAGGTCCTTGCCGCTCGGGATGTCGGTGCTGAATGGCTTCTCGACGAGGATGTGGATGCCGGCGGAAGAAAGTTCCTTGGAAATGGGAACGTGGGTATGGTGGGGCGTGCAGTCGTCAATTGGGCGGCCAGATCAGCTCCTCCTTGCATCGGGTCGACAATGGCTACCAGCTCGGTGTCCGGGCTGCCCGTGGCAGTCCTTGCGTGGCGGGGCCCGATCAGGCCGGCGCCGATGACGACGAAACGAAGCTTAAATTGCGATGACAGAACGGGAAAGAGTGAGGATCTTTAGATGGGATCGGATTGTATACAGAAGCGCGAGTAAGGATGATGTTCTGCTTCGTGTGTTTGTCCCCCTAAAAAACCGTGGATGTCGTTGTCACCGGGTAATATTGTGATTTGTGAGAGCCCACCAGGAAAGTGGAGGAGCCGCAGAGGCAGGTACATGCTCAGCAGCAAGGATTGATGCAAGAGAAGCAAGCCAGTCGACTCATCAGGCGCAAGCAGCATGAGCAATAGGGCAACATTATAGACCTCACAAATAAAAACAAGACAGTCCTAAACGAACTTGACAGCGTCAAGCTCGACCGCAGGCTCCTGACGAGCCGGATTTTTCAAGGTGAGGATGACTTGGACAAAGCGCCGATGCGGATGTATCGTGTCAAGATGCTTTACAAGGGAAGTACCATACTATCGTTGCTTGACGCATCCTTTATGTGCTCCACATTTGCACTTTCGCGACGTCATCGCGCTCTCATTCCCGAACAGAGTTTTCGGGCGCGTCTGCCGACCAGGTTGTTGGCATGTAACCGTCAGTTGCGACGATGTCGTGAACTGCACAGATCCGGTTGCGAGTACGTCTAACAATGACGGTATCTTCTTCTCTTTTTGCAAAGCATCCTGTCACCGTGACTCAATTTTGGCAGGCAGGTTGGGGCCTCCAGAGAATAGAGTGCGGAAAGCATAATGCTCAAGAGCGAGTCATTTTCGGGACAGAGACTCCAGAGAATCCGTTGGGGATTAGGTGCATTGAGCGAATGCGATGCGACGTACATGACTTATGTGATACCAGAAGGGCGTTGCACACACAAGATGCGCTCCGAATGCCAAACAAGTATGTTGATTGATGGAACCTGAACCCGAGAGGTCGGCAGGTAAAGTTTCTTGCATCTCCGTGGTCTAGCTTACATTACAGACCGAGCGCAGGCCCTCAATCACTGTCATGTTTCGCAGCAACTTCAGCAGCAAGCATACCGAAAGAGGTCGCCTGCTTCCGGGCGGAGATCTTTGATTATTACACCGCTGAATTCCGGGCAGAGACCTTCGTTTACCTCTCACTTTTTGCCAAAAACCCAGCAGCAATCACAACAACAAACGTCATCTGCTCCTTCGCGTCGATGGAATCAGAAGAATGGGCTGTACGATGTACCACCAAGGCTTTTCTGCAACAAGCAGCCCTTTCTGAGGCATATGTCAAAGACGTGAGGTCAAGGCCATCATCTCCCGGTCCTCAAATGCTATCCAGCGCGGGGCAACCCTGCCTTGCAACCCTGCCTTGCAGCCCTACTTTCCGGCTTTTCTCCCTGCAAACGTGGAACAGCCCGCGCGATGCAAGGATAGCGGTGGGACGCTCGGAATTGCACCAGCGAGAACCCCTACATTTTCGAAGGAAGATGCTCTGCATGCGTTAGATCAGAATGACACGGCTAATGAGCCATTGGGTATCGTATCCGATGAGGAAACTTCTACACGCCGCAGCACCGGTGCAAATGGGTTTGGAGGGTCTAGAGCAGATTCGCCCGTTAGCTTGGTTGAAGATGCTCAGGACGCACCGAATGAACAACTCGGTGCAGAACTCCTTTGGGTGCCAGGAGTGATCCAGGATCGGTATCCGACAGCATCATTGAGAAAGATACCGGAGGGTCTCGAGCAGAATCTCGACCCAGCCCAAAATCTACAATCTAAATGCTCCGCTCGGAAGCCGAGTCGGAAGTTGAAGAGCCGCTAAATCCAAGGACGGGAACGCCGACACTTAAAGAAGATGGTCCATTGTTCTCTGCGATGGTGTTCCATTGGACCTTGGTGAACGACACCATGGAAGGCGTCAGAAGTGTGAACGTGTCACGACCTTTGATCGGAAGGACTCCTACGGATGAAGCGGTTGGAGTCAATTCATCTCCTCCCACCACTGTGACACTCCAAGTCGTGGGTGCAAGTCCGCCTAGAGGATCGCCCCGCAGAATGGGAGAGAGCATTTTAGTAAACAGCCCGGAACTCCCACTTCATCCATAGGGGGGCTCACCCCTCTGGTCAAAGAAAGAACTCTTAGGAACCGATTCAAAGAGGGTCGCGATGGCCCACCGAACGCTTTTGCAAGCCCTTTCACGAATAGGGATGACATCCTAGCCTTCACACCGCCTCATCCGCTTGGGATGCTGATTCGGGTGCAAGATTGAGCTTGTCGCAACGAGCTGCCCTGTCTGAACACCGAAGCGCAGTGCTGGCATTCATCCATCAGCAGTAAATTTTCTACCTTCAGCACGCGCTCAAGCAAAGCAGCTTACAAGCCGTTCTACTCTCGCCCAACTCGTCCATCAAGGCGCGATCGGATGGGCACAGAAGTGACGAAGATAGTGCGCTGTCTCTGTCCGCGCATCGCCCCTTGCCCATCCCGGCTCAGCTACCGCGCAATTCCCAGCGCTTCTCACAAGTCTTGAAGATACTACGAGCCCTTCGGTCGCATGAATTGGATCTATTGTTTTTAATTGCTCAGTGCGCAATTCATCGCTGATATTTTATATTCCACAACGTGCAGTCCATCACTCCCTTCCACATTCGGTGGTCACTCTCGTTACAATTACTTGAGCAAGCCGAGCCACGACTGAGGATTTTCCAGAAGCTCCTTCCATCGCAAGACAAATTTGGCCAATTCCGCGCCTTCCACCACGCGATGGTCACTGGTGAAGCTGACCGGCATAATTAAACGCCGCACGACTGTGTCGGGGTCAAGCCCTTCCGCTCGGAGAGAATCGGTGTTCCAAAGTGGCGTCTCGCTCGCGAACCTTGGCAGTGCTTTTGTGCGACCCAAAGCCCCGATGGCAAGCTGTCCGGTTGGTGGAAGGAGCGGGTGAGTGTACGTCCCGCCGCCCACTGCACCGATGTTGCTGAGAGTGACCGTACCGGTTGCACGCAGATCGGATGCAGGCAGACCCTTGGGGCCGTGTCCACGGGTCTGCAATTGGGCAATACGCGAGGCAAGCGAATAGACACTCTGCGCCTTGACATCTTGCAATGCAGGCGTCAGCAGCCCTTGCGGGGTGGAGAGTGCGATGGAAATGTCGTGCGTAGCACGGCGCTGCAGCTTGGCCGCTGACGAGATACTCTGGGCATCTTTCCCGAGTACGTCTGCCGGGATGGCAAGCTGCGAGCGGAACAACGGGTGCTCGTCGAGTGCCATGGAGAGTGCCTTGACGAGCAGAGGGAGCATGGTGATCTTGTCTAACTGCGCATCGGCATCTGCGCGAGAGGTGATCGCACCCTCTGTTTCTCCGCGACGCAGAGTCTTGCGATACTGTGCAGGCACATGTTGCGAGAGTGCCAGCCGTACCTGCTCCAGAGCGGTCACGTCGATCTCCTCGGAGAATGCAAAGTGCGGGACTTGCAGCGTCGCAGTCATCGCGCGGAACATGGCCCGCCGGGTAGGGTCCAGGGACACGGTCTCTGCGGCCTCTGGGGGCGCTTGTGAAGAGTGTGAACTGGAAGCGCCTGGTTGTATAGCCGCAACAGCAGCAGCAGCACTTGGCTCGCCAGCAACATCGGACCTAGCAGCGCTGCTTTGTATGTAGTTCAGCACGTCCTCCTTGGTGACCCTACCGTCTCTGCCTGTTCCCTTGACGTTCTTCAGATTCAACTGGTTGTCTCGTGCGATGCGGCGGACGGCCGGTGTCGCGAGAACGGGCCCTGCTTCAGGCGTGTGACCGCCAGCGGACAATGGATGAGGATTTGATCGGAAGCCCTGCTGGTCTACTTTTGAAGTGTCTGTCGACTCGACAGTCACATTTCCATCCGAAGCTGGCGACGATTCTGTTTGCACTGGTTCTGCGGCGGGGGATGGCGCCAGATAGCCACTATCTGCCCCTCCTTGTGCCTCTTGTTCGATTTCGCACAGAGGCGACCCGACCCTCGCGACTTCTCCCTCTTTGTACAGGAGTGATTTGATCTTTCCCGCGTACCTGCTTGTAATCTCAACGCTAGCCTTGTCCGACTGTACCTCGCAGATCGGGTCGAACTCCTCTACCATTGCGCCAGGCTGGACCATCCTTTACGTTCGATAAGGATGTGCGCAGAAGAGGACTTTAGCTCAAGAAATCCACAATGGATATGAGGCCATCAAACTGACCATTTGATGATTTCGCATTCCGTGATGCCTTCGCCTACATCGGCAAGCAAGAAGGGAACCACCTTGGACTGTGCCTGGAGCGACGAGAAATGAAAGGACGCTGCCGTCGTTCTCGGGCGCCCGAAGATGGAAGCTTGCCTTGAAACAAACCTCTGTGAAGATAGATAGTTCGGTGAGCAGCTCGAATGCCGTCGCGCAGAAGCGCAAGTCACTCGCAAAGAGGCCGTTACAGGAGGAGCACGAGCGGGTGCACCGTGAGCACCGTGTTGCAGGCTCGCAAGCAAAGTGCGTGTTTGCCTTCCAGATGACATCCTGACGGAGGGATCCTTCACAGCTCGCTTCGTACGGTTGGGCGGTCACTCCAGTGATGTTCAAGGCCTTCATGCGTTCTGTGTAGGGGTGCGTTCTTTGCAGACATTTATGTAGTGATCGGCTCCAAGGTCGGGGTCATGCAGCTGCAAACAGCCAAGGGCAAGTCCAACTTGCTCTCCGCAAACGTCATTCGAGGCCACTGTAACAGTGTCCACAATGCTGCCAGCTTCAGCGGGGAACCGCGCATAGCCGAACGTTCAGCGACACTCTACTCAGCTCGATAGATGGCATAACTTCAGCAACCGATAGCCATCCACTGCATTTGCATGTTGCGGCCTGTAATCGGTTCTATTTAGTAGTCAGCGCTACCATTGAGATGTTGCTTAACTGAAACTCTGGACCGTGATGATGACCGCCAAAGGTAACGCCTAAAAGACTGGCAATAACCTTCGCCCGATATTTGACTCGCTGCACAGCGGGTCTCCGGAAATTTGCTGAGCCTCGACCTCGACGCGCGCAACACAACAATCGGAGCGCTTGAGAGCGTACAAGTGGCCACCATAATCGCTAATCATGGGCGAAGAGAAGCTGAACTGCATTCGATTCACAGGAGTCTTGTCGTTTTCCTTAAGTGCAATGAAATTACACTATCTAAGAAAGTCTGATCCACTTCGTGTCCTTTCTCGTCGCCAAGAAGATCTCCGCATCATCGTCGGGGCCTCTCCACGCTGTCGTCGAGACAGGCACGAGGCTGGTGATCATGAAGCAATTTCCCACTTTCAGCTCTCCCTCTACCAGATTCGCTGCGTCCCACACAGTCAGCTGCGCTTCTCTCGCGCAAGACTTGCGGCCATCCGCCGCATCGTCTTCCGACAGCCGGGGAAAGAAGTCGACCGCCTTGATCACGCGGAAGGAGCGCACGTTGCGTGGCCCAACTTTTTCGTCGAGCTCTGCCTCGAGTTCGGCATGCGCTTCATCTTGAAGTTGCAGCTTGCGTTGGTGTGCTGCGTCGACCAGCGTGTTGATCTTTCGACCTAAATTAGGAACCTTGCGCAGAACCATGTTCGCGTCAGGCGACTTTTCGAGGTTGTCCAGTATCTCGTCTGCGTTGAACTCTTCCTCTACGTTCTCCGTTTTGCCCTTGGCATGCCTCTGTGCAGCTTGTAGCAGCTCGCAGATGAGATGACTGCGACGCATCTGCTGATTCCACACATGCTCGAGCTTTGTCCGCCATTCGTCTCTGTCCCGAGTCCATTCAGCAGCCGCTTGCAATTCTTCCGCTTCGTTGCGCGCGGTGGACATGACAGACTTGTTGCCGAGCTTCTCAGGTGGTAGCATGTCGATATATGCCATCGGATAGACGCGGACGATCTCAACCCGCATCGCTGCGATCGATCCGCCACTCCCACACAAGCTTCGCATGGTCGATATGAATGGCGTCGCGCAGAGACCCATGCGAGCATCCCAGCGGGCGAGCGAGCATCCATTCGCATGTATAGCTAGTGTGGATGTTTTGAAAGCCGCAAGAACGTCTGTGCCGTCGCCTGAGCATTCCAGCTACGCGAAGCAACGTGAATGAAAGCGTGAAATCCGATCAGTCAGCCGTCACGCCTCAACGTTCTCTCCAAGAAGACTCACCCGTGCACCAGAAATATGTAGCTTCTGGCCGACCTTCAGCCTCCCCCTGACAATGGCGCGGAATAGCGTCTCGTCAATCTTCGTTTGAATCTGGTACCATCCATCTGTCAACACAACCGGTGGAATCTGCTCTCCATCTTTGCTGCGATCAATCTGATAGACGCACAGCGTCATGGGCTGTGCGGCCGAGGAGTCGTGTTCCTGGATTCGCTTAATGGCAGAGCGATGTGCGCGATTGATCTCACGTTCGTATCTGCCAATCCACCGTCAATTGATTCAACATGTGGAAGCGACGAAGGCGAAGCCTCAAGCACTGCTTACCGATATTTGAGCTGACGGATCACCTCGCCCCATCTCCACCGTTGCTGACTCTCCCCAGGCACATGCCTGCAAATGGCAGCCAGCTTCCAAAGGATTAGGGCCCAGTGATTTTGCACCCATCTTATATCCACATGCTTTGCGCCATCCTTCCTCAACGCTTCGAGTGCATCCAATGGTCCCAACGTCTTGTTCAGGTTACTCTCATCGCCCGCCAAGAACTCAAAGTCATGCGCTCGAGCAGGCTCCCGTAAGATGATCATAACCTCGACGGGACACCCATAGCGACATGCATCAACAGCTTGGACACTCTCGGGCTCGATGCCGTACTGCCGCATGCTCTTTCTTGATCCGTGATCCTTGAGATCAAACATGGCTGTGTGCCGTGGAGCCGCTAATTTGGACTGTTGTTGCTGCAGAGTGAAAGCGGCATTGCGTGCTGCCGCTTTCTGTGCGGGCGATTGACTAGGCGAAGCGGCTCCGCCCGATATGGACGCAGCTTCACGCTGCAGGTGGGCAATCTGCGCTGCGCTGCCATTCTTAAACGGAGTCTTGAACCTCGACCGCTTCACCGAGCCTAGCCCAGCAGCCGGTCTCGGAGGGCGGTTGCCTAAAGAGCGGAATACTGACGAAGCCATCAGCGCTGGAGTTGGGGAATATGCGCCCGATGCATGAGTTGCTGATTTGTCAGGTGTTTGGAAACCAAATGGAAGACGCGGAGGTGGAGGCATGGGCTCTTTTGCACTCATGGAGCTGCTCTCGCCAGCCTTTTCGACCGACTGCGCGTTTTGCACGCTCATTGGGGCTCTTTGAACGCCTATCGCTCGCGCAGTTTGTAAATGCGCCGCTGCGATGGGTCTGGCCGCTAGCGGTGTATCCGGACCTGAACCCCCGAGGGGATTGTTCCGTTTGGGCTGCATCCGTTGGGTCATTTGAGTTTCTTCGCCCGCATCGGTATCAGTAGCAGCTCTTGAGCATCCTTCCGCCTGTATCTGCGCCTGCGAACGCATTGGCTCTTTTGCGTTTCCCTTTTCCCAGTCCTCGTTATAACGTGCTATCTTGGCTTGTGCCGCCTTCAAAGCTGCTGCGCTTGGCGGAGGAACTTTACCGCCGCTGGCGAGCACGAAGCCCATGGTTGCGGGAGGGGGCGATTCTTCCCGTGTCTTAGCTTCATACTTCGCCGTTGTGGCCGTTGGGCTTGAAGGCGGTGACGAGCGTAGGAGTGCTCGTGCTTTCTGCAGAGCCGCGGGGCTGGGTCCTGCTAATGCGTTTCCTTTGGCGGTAACGAAGCCGGTAAATTGCGGTGCAGGAGTCTCAGCGCCGAGGGGCGCTTGGACAAGATCGCCCGATTTCGGCTGACTCGTGTGTTCGGAGCCGGATGAGGCCTTCTCGGGATAAACGACTACCGCTTGCTGTGCGGCCGCTGGCAGAAAGGATAATGCGTTTCCGTCCGCCATGGCCATAGCCTTCCCGTCGTCAGGAGGAACCAACCGTCTGATCTCTGGGGTGTATGCGCCTTCTCGACGGAGTGTAGACGGTTCGAAAGTCTCAGCATCGAGATCGGCATCGTGCAGGGCGCCAAGGAAATTGCTATCGCCGAATTCGTCGTCGTCATCATCGTCAAAGTCAATGTCGAAATTTGAAGGCCGTGCCTCACTATCGCGCTTGCCCACAGGGCTGAGCTCCATGCAATCTTCAAAATCGATACCGGTGAGCAAGTTGTCGTGATCATCTGCTCTTGAAGGTCCTGGGCAAGGAGCTGAGGGTGGAGCAGGCACTAGTGATGGATCGGCCGGGGCGCTGAGCTCTGCTTCCGCTGGTGTGGCACTGGTCAACTTGATTGCTGCTGACCCTGTCAGTGCAGGCTCTTGTGCTTCTTTAGGTGCAACCGCTACTGAAGTATCGTATCCTTCCATGATTCGTCTAGAAAAGTCCAGCTTGACCTCTTTGTGATTCTTTGGAGGGAAAGCCTCTGGCAAGGACCCGTCGGCGACGTGTAATTCACGTGCGGTCTTAAAGCCTGCGTTCGCACCAAGACTGGCTGTTCTGAGCAGCCTCCTCTTTCGTGGAACAAATCCATATCCTGCTGTAGAAGGTTGCTGAACAGCTAACGCAGAGTCTGTGTTTACGCTTATGGCAGTGCTACCAGCATCATCCTGCCTGCCTATGCTGGTAAATTCTTTGAGAGCCAGCGCCTTGCCTGCTTCTGCGGTTCCGAGGGTCCTTGCGCGCTTCAGAACCCTCTTTTGCCGCTGTGCAATGCTTTTCCCGCTTGACAATACTTCGGACACCTGCGGAACTGCTGCTGGTGAATTCATTGTTGCTGGAACGACCGGCTGATGATGCGGTGAGAGGCGATGCTGCACGTCCAGCATGTTCGCACCGCTTGCAGCTGCCACGACCAATCCATCTTCTGTCATGGTTATCATGGTAATAGATAATGAGAATGGGCCAGTTGATCCAAAATCTGCTCTGCTGACCGCTTGGACGCGAGACGGTGGTGGCGAGGCAGCTTGACAAATGGATATGATAGGAGAGACAATAGCGCCGAATTCGAGAACCTCAATGGAAGCGCGTTGCAGCGCGCCCAGGGTAAATTCAGCGAAGCAGCAGTGCCCTCTCTTCCGCCAGCGGTGAAGTGAGATGAAGACGAATGTTTTGAGGATACCGTAAGAAAGGTTCATAGGGGGCAGCAGGTGGCAATCAAGTCTGAAGACTGGGTTCATTCATTCAAATGTCAGCTTCAGAATCGTTTAGCCGTGCTGGGTGTTGCTGGTGCGTTGCTGCAATGCTGCTGCAGGCACCAGGTGTTGCTTTCTTCACGCGCCGGAGCTGCATGACACGCGTCGATAGCATAACCCTACGTTGCTGCCGCAATGAACGCGAAAGGCCCTCATCGTCATGTTGAGCTCATGATGCCCGCCCGTGAGTTCATGCAAGAGAGCTTGAACAGACGGTCCTCGATCGCGCCTGTCTTGCTGCCCCTGTGATAATACGGCCATGCTGACAACCTATGCTGTATGAACACTACCCAGCGGCAGGCATCTTTGTTCTGGCGTTCAGAAAATTTGCAAAAACAAAGATGGCGCCCGCATGGAGCGCCGCGCGCGCAAAAGTGCAGCTAAAGCTGGCCATCCAGCGGACCAAGATGCTCCAAGAGAAGATGGAAGCGATGCAAAAGACGGCTCGCAAGGAGATCTCTGCTCTGATCGAGCGTGGGAAGACCGAGACTGCTCGAGTCAAGACAGAAGGTCTCATCAATACAGATGTATGTAGATTCGGAAGATATGTGAAGCGAACGACGAAAGACTTGAAGTTGATGTACTGAACCCCGTCCGTTGATTGGCGAGCAGATCCACATCGAGCTCATCGAATTGATGGAATTATACTCTGAAACTCTGCTCGCACGATTCGCACTACTTGATATTGGTGGGTGAGTATGAATTGCAGTGCTGATGGCTGGCATCCTGATCTTACGAAGTGCGCATCGGCTGATCGATCTTTATCCATTAGGACATCACCTGACCCCAGCCTTGTTGAACCAATATCTGCAATTATCCACGCCGCGCCACGGACCGAGCTAAGGGAACTGCATGTTCTGCGCGAACTTTTGATGACGCGGTACGGGAGAGATTTATCCATCGACGCCATGGATAACAACGGTAACGTGGTGAGCAGTCGGGTCATGTCGAAACTCAAGGTCGAAACACCGTCCAAAGAGCTGGTCGATGCGTGAGTGACAGTCGCGGCCGTCTCTTTCTTGCGCGGATTTGTCGGAACTGATATTTCTGGGGCTTTAAACGGATCAGATACATTTCAGAGAGTGGGTGAAGGAAACGCCCTGCAGGACCAATTCCGTTGCTGACGTTTCCAATGGTTCTTTTCCCTTCACCTCTAGTCTGCAAGACTTACAACGTCCACTTCACCTCACCCTATCTATCAGACTCCGAGCCACTTGTATCGCCGGCAGAGGCGGAACCCCCAGCATTGGATGACGGTGAAAAGGCAGCGGACAAAGGTGCAGCGGGTACCGCGAAAATGCCAGCTGCAATTACCGTTGCTCCAGAAAGAGAAAAGCCTCCAACAGAGCAGTCGGCTCTCAACAGCCTCGAGGCGAGGTTCGCCGCGCTAAAACGGTGATGAAGACACAGGTTAACCGAGTCGAGCTCAAGGAAGCATTCGGTGTATTCTAAGGAAACATGCGAGGGGTAGAACGCTTGTAACATACAGGGAAAACAGATTGCGGTGGTGTGGTATGAGGTGTCCAGAGTAAGAGTAAAATTTCATGCGTTCCTGTGGCGTAGACCGTAGCTCCGGCAGGCATTAGTGCGGAACAAAATATAGCACCGGAATAGAGTTATCTTCGTCGTAAGGTCATGGATGCGCACTACTTGGCAGCAGCCACGTAAGGAGCGGCAGTAACCAAAGGAGAAGCGACAGAACCTATACTTTCATAGCTCTCGGACGAGCCATGCCTTGACAGCTCTGTGTGTGATGCAGCAGCGGACGACACGTCGAGCAGATACTCAGACGTAGGCGATATATTGCGCTGTTCAAGAAGCACCTGCACCTCGGAGGATGGACTTTGCCAGCCGATTCCCTTGTACCCTTTCGCATGGGCTTGCTCTGGGGCAATGCCCATCTTGCCCTTGAGCTCCTTCGTCCGCTTCTTCTCCAACGTGTGCGCTGTCACGTTGCTGAACGCGCTGGACACATTATCATGCGCACCCGACTGCCCGGTTTTAGGTGCCGAAGCAGCGTTGGAGGCCTCACCTGAGAGAAATGCCGTTGCTGGCATCAAGGTGTGACTGCGCAACCGCGGTCGCTCCGACGAGGTGCTCTGTGTGCTGAAGCTAGCATCTTCGAGCGAGGAGTTTTGCTCAAAGTTGCATTCGTTAGCCGGTACTAGCAGCGAGAATGGATTGGACGTGAAGCTGGCAAAGGTCCGGCCCGACGGCGAGCTGATGTCAATGTTGGGGACGCCGACAAGCACGTTAGGGACTCCGATCCCAGTTTCGTTCCTGGCGTCCGTGTCAATCGCGGCAACAGAACGTTGGAGTCGCGGAGCATCTCTAGCTATATCAATTTCGCTTATTTCACTTCCCCTGATTGCGATGGGAGACAACAGCTGTTCCGGTGACGCTGTCAGAGCGACCACTTGCGAGGACGAGTGCTGTATGTCTCCGCTTTGCCTTTCAGCATTGGCGTTGGATACGAGCGAGAGGGAAGTCGATGAGGAGAATGCTGTGAGAGAGTTGCCGAAATTAGCAGGCGACGCGAGCTGCGTTGGTGGTTGGTCCTTGACCGGGTTCTTGTTGCTGTTCTTGCGGGTTCTAAACGAGAACGGGGACTTCTTGGCGCCACTGAAGTTATTCGAGGCGCTCGAGGCAATGGAAGGTCGCGTAGTCGAAGCTGCTGAAGAGGCTGACGTGGCAGTCGGCCGAGACGATTCAGCGACTCCAGAAGGCATGGTCTGAGCTTGGGTAGCCTTGTGCGCGCCAGTGGATGACTGGGTGTGTGCTACGGACGTGGTGGGAGTCATGGCGTGGTATTTGGCCTGGTCAAAGATCATATCTATGATACTGGTGGGATCTCGCTCGACAAAGGAGCTGGACAAGGACGAGCCGCTGGTCCCGTACGAGTTCTTGGATTTATTCGACGCTGCGCTGGCCCCCGAAGCGTCGCGAAAATTTTTGGCGGGGATGCTGCTGCGCAAGATCGGCTCGTTATTCCCGAATAGGAGAGCGCCATACGGGTTGTTCTGGATGGACAAGCTGGTCGAACTGCGGTTCCAGTTTTCCGAGCCACGCACGAACGTGCCGCTCGGCCGCCCGCTCGTTCCTTTCGAGCTCGTGCTGCGGAAGCTGGCACGGTCGCAATCGCAGTCGCCGCCCGAGCACGCGTCAACGTGCTGCGCCTGCTGCCTTCGCGCGATGCCGCTGCTGGCCATCATGGAGGAAGCGTGCACATAGTCTGCAAGACCGTTCACTGGCGATCCACGCTTGATGTGCGGGACAGCGTACTCGGCGGTACCCGCGATAAACGTCATCTCGACGGTAATCTTCAGTTTAGAGTTTGACTTGCTTTCGTGCAGGAGGTACCGGCGTGTCTCTGCCCGCCGAGGCACACGGTGTCGATGCCGATGGCTCGACTGCGCTAGTGACTTGTGCGGTGCCAGCACCTGAGCTTGCATCGATGCAGGCGGCCAGGGTGCGTATTCTGCCAAGTTAAGCTCGACAAAGCCAAGGTCCGAGTCGTTGTTCGTCCCCTGCAACTCGTCCGTTTCGATATTCTGGCAAAAGAGATAACAATCAGCGAGCGACTTCGTACACGGCCGGCATCGGTGAACCAATGAGACCAACCTGCTTGATCATAAGCCTCAGCATTGCTTTCCCCAGGATACCCCACGCCTCAGCCAGCTCCCTCTCACGCTCTCTCTCGCGTTCCAGCTCGGCACTGACAGTACCACCACCGAGCGCAGCTTCGAACTCCTTTCGAAGACTGCTCTTGCTCTTCTGCTGTTGCAAACCCGAAGCAGACCCAGCGCTTCCAGCACCACTGCCATACACGTTGCTAGAGCCACTGTCATCATGTCCCACATTTGCCCAGGACGCAGCGTTATACGGGGAGCCCGAGGGAGGCGATTCCTTTGATGAGGACGACGACTTGTACTTCTCGATCGGCACGCGAATTCCCACTTCAAAAGTACGCTCCCACTTGACAATGTGGTCCTTGACATTGATAGAATGTGTCGTCCCCTTCGGTTCCAACTGACTGGTCAAAGGGCCCACCACAGCGGAGGACGCAGACGCGCCTCCTGAATTATCCTGCGACGATCCAGGCCGGTTGCTATTTGATTGGTAGTGATGGTGATCATGATGCTTGCCCGACTTGGAGACCTCACGATTGTCCCCTTCGCTCTCACCGCCCTTGCCCTTCCCTTTTCCCTTGCTGCTCGTTGTGCTCAAACGCGAACTGGAGTGCTTTGAGCTGAGACTCGGTCTTTCACGAGTCAAGTCCAAGCCCTGCGTGTTCTGTTGACCCAAATCAAGGCCGACCTGATCGCTATCGCAGTTATTTCCCCCCTGAGGCACGCCTTTGTATGCCTCCCCGGAAGGTGCAATTGCGGGTGCGTCCGCATCCACATCTCCTTCAATCTGGCGGTCCTTGGCCTTTTCGGGCTCCCCACTCGAAGTTGCGCCAGTAGTTCGTGCTGCGCCTGCTCCGCTCTCAGCCATCGTCGAGATGGGCGGACTCGGCGCACAATGCTGACTTGGATGGCCTCGGCCGGGTGCAAGCAGCTTGCCGGGCTTGAATGAATGCGAGGGGGCGCTCCCATGTGCCGCTTGCGCATGCGCATGAGGTTGCGCGCGCACACCGCCGCTCTGTGCATCAGCCTGCGAGTGGCTCGACTCGTGACTTGCGCCCGAACTGACTCGTGACGAAGCGAGAGACCGCGTCCCGGGCGATCGGCGGTCGGAGCCAGAGCCTATGGAGAGCGCTGTCGACGTCGGTGAGATGACGTGGAGGAAACGAGACAAGCGTCCGCCTTTCGAGCTCAAGGAGCCGCGCTTGTGTGCTGATGATGATGACGATGATGCCGCTGTCCCTCGCGAATCGTCGAGCGAGTCGTGTGCCTGTGATGCGTGAACATCGTTCATGAACTCGACCTCATCGTCATCGCTGCCCGAGCTCTTTTGCAGCTCAATATCATTCGGCTCAGGGCCACTTTTGGAGGCATGATCGTCGATGCCGGGGTCTTCTTCATCCTGCTCTTGAATGCTTGACACGTACGAGCCGGCACCGCTTGGGATACGACAGTGCCCTTCGAACGCATGAAGTGACCCGGGGTTTGGCTTTTGATCTTTGACCGAATCTGATGTAGGCTGCATTACCTGGTTCGTCTGAATTCAGCATCATGATCCAGCCGACAGCGCGAAGGGAGAAATCACCGCTCGGCTCACCTCTATTCCATCCGGTCCTTGCTGCTGACCAGGGTCGCTGGCCGCCTGGCGCTGTGCACGTGTCGTGCTCTGGGCCTTGTGAGTCCCGTAGTGTATGCTATCGAGCAGATCGGAAGGAAATGCAGTGATCTGCTGACTCTGATGCAGCTTCGAGTTTCCTCCGCCCTGGTCTGCACAGTGACCGCATCGGTGGTGATGTTTGAGTTTTCCATTAGCAGGTGCCGAGGCAGGCGAAACGCCATCACGAGCAGAGGCCTCCTTAGCAAGGCCCGCACCCTCCTTGCCCTGCTGCGATTCCGTCGGACCTTTACTCCTTTTTCTCTTCTCCTTGTCTCGCTCGCTGTTCAAGCTGCTCGCCGAGATGTGTTGAGAGTTGCTGACCTTCCATTTGATGTGAAATGCGCCGTGGAGAAGAGGGACATTGTCGAGCTCGTGCAGCGTGATGCGCGCATGAAACGTGCTGTGCTTGGAAGAGCCAAAGGAAAAGAGCGACATGTCTCTGGCTAGCACCCAGGGAAAGGAAGGGGGGCTGGTTCGGATTGGATGCTACCCTGGGCAGTTGCTGCCTTTACCACCAAGGTTATTGACGCACACTCCTTCCTGTCATCCTAGACGCCTTGGTTGCAACCATGCATTGGGAAAGTGTAATCCGCCTCTGCCACAGCCTGCGGTCAGCGCTCTAGTCTGTTTAATCGTTGATGTGAGCTTCCCTTGGGCGCCGTCGAGTCCGCAATGTTCGCTCTTGCGCGGGCGGGCCTCGCACAGGTATCCGCGATGGCTTTGCCCGGGAAGTGCGAATGCATCCGACACTGGCGCATGCGATGCTGGCTGCAGTGCTGGCAGAATGTGATGATCTTATATAATGCTCAGTGCAACGGGACGATCCAGCTGTGTGTACATGACAGCAGCAAAATGTGGTCTTCGTTGTCTTCCCGGCTTTGCTAAAGAAAGGGGAACGAGATATGATGTGAAGGCAGTCGAGTCCAACATTCAGATGCTCCTGGGCGAGGGGGCGGGATGGCACCAGGTTCACTGGTCGCTCTGACGTTCCGCGGCTACCAGCCCTGGGCCGAGGCGGGGCCCTGGGCTCGGGCCGCCCGCAAAATCTGGCCCAGTCACAGTCAAAAAGGCGAAGATCTCGGCCTTTCTCTCACCCGCGCGTCTTTCGCCTACATGCCCACTTCGCAGCACCACGCGAGCCGCACACAGTCATCGGCGATACTAGCAACCCAGCCAGCAGACGCCGCCAAATCAGCCCGAGCCACCCCTTGTCAATCCAGACTTTTCACAGGGAGGCTCGTTGTAGCTCGCTGCTGCACTCACAAGCTACAGAGGGAAAGGTTACATTCATCAGAACGGGATGGCCATAGATGCCTCAAGGGCTGGGGAGGTCACAGCCTCACAGGCAGTGAGTTCGAATGGCCCCGGGGGCAGTCAAAGTGTTGACCGAAGGGCTGAGAAGAAGACCCGCCGTCAGTCGACTGGTTTCGATGAGACGCGCCCCAGCAGCCCCCAGGCTGGGAGGTAAAGGCAGGGTAGGGAGGTATATTGTGGCATGGCTGTGGGCCGTGGGCTGTGTGGTTGAGCAAGGGGAGAGGGAGCCGGATGGTCGCGAGATAAAACCCTACTTTGCGGACAGTATCAGGAAAGCCAGAGTTCAGTCGATGGGCCATGTACAGCTCCCAAACCGAGGCATTTTGGGGACGGGTGTCGCGCCGTCCTTGCAAGGGCCAGCGTGTCTCATGCATGCTTAATTCCCCAAGCCCCGCCTGCCAAAAGTTCACGCGGGCAGTGTGTGAAGGCAAGCGTCGCCCTGCTTGCCGTCACATCCTGGGTAGCACCATCCTATCCATGTCACCGGGGTAAGGTAGCTTCCTCACTGGAATCGCACACCAGATATAACACTATGATTGAATGCTTGAATCACATAGTAGGATACAGTTCGAGCAGCCAAGGACACCAAGCTAGCCTATGAACAGTACAAATCTGAGCCAGGACGCAACTCACCAGCCTTTGCAAGACCACTGCTTCTGCCACGTCTTCCATTGATTACGTAAGTGTCAGTGAGCGTGAGGCAGCTAGAGTGAGCAAAGTGCATGAATGACGACGACGTGTACTGGCCGCAAAGGTGGCAAAAGATCTGGCGTGAGCGTGTTGCCCAAACTATCCCGTGTAGCGTCATGTCTGCGCGACAGTTGCTTGACTGGCATCAACATTGCGTGACGTTCGTGAGGGAACGCCTGTGATTTCATGCTCTGCCGCCGACGAATATGATGCGACGGGAGCTAAAGGAACAAGGGATGAAGCAGAAGACTTGTGGCCCACATTCGTGAAGGGGAATCATATCGACTCTGTGTACCTCTCTTTCGCACCCCCCTTAAGGAATGCACTAAGGTATTGTGTCATAAGCTTTCGTAGAACTAAAATGGCACATGGCAATAGTTCAGAATCTGAAAGTTGACCAGTGACGTCGAATGTTATCAGTATAAGAAGAAGAGTCATCCTGACTCACTCTTGGTAGGCAGATCCAGACCTCCAGAGAACAGAGTGCTGGAAGCAGAGGAGTCAGATGCGAGCCACTTTCTGGACAGAGATTGTAGTGGATTCGTTGGGGACGAGACGAGGAGATGCGATGAGATGAGATGCGATGCGATGAGATGCGTATGACTACCATTTATGCGATGCGAAAGGATGCGACACGTATGCAAGATGCGCTGCGCATGCCTAACAAAGGCGCTGATTGATGGAAGTTGAATTCAATCAGTGTTTGCTACACCTGGAGCGGCCGAAAGCTTTGACGGCAGCTCTTGATGATGACTGACATTCGGACGGTGACAAGAAGGCCACGAGAATCGCCACTAGCAACTCGCACATCGCTTGGTCACAGTCGCGGATGGCGGGCTAAAACCGATGTGATGTTCGTCGCGCTCAATAGTCTGGGTATGAAAGCGCCGATGAATTGCGAGGCCATGCACTGCGTACTGCGCCATGCGCGCAGATACGCCATCCGCGGGAATCGAGGATATCAATATATTCTCCTGCAAGGCTTCATGATACCTTCGAACAGCTCGGTGCTGAAGGGATTTTATAGTTGGAAGGTGCAAGCTTTATGGCTCTTGCTCCATCTCGTTCAAGCGTGTCTCGGCCTACGGTTGACTTTCCATTCTTCCTACCGCACGGATGTGAGGCACTGACCGGTGCATTGCGTGAGGAAATCCCACAGGGGAGATGCCTACATACGTAAGGCTTTGAGACATGAATGACATTGGTTAATCGCAGCCTCGAGTCTTTTAGCGGTCGTAGAAGCACGTAGGCACCAGTTCCCTTTCAATCACCGGCACAAGCACCATTCTTGGCCGCATTTGCAATTGTGCTGTTCATGGCAGATGGAATGATGGTAAGGGGATTCTGCACTTTGCATTACTTCTAAGGCGGGCGGCAGCATCTACCGAAGGACCTTCAACCAAGCCGGCTTCAGCACTCTAGAGCCTTCTTTCTACTTGCTGCAGCCGTTGCTATGGAGAACAATGCTACTATGACGTGGTAAGTTGATCATCAACGACAACGCACCCTCTCGCTCTTCGTTGCCGTAGTGCCCTCCCGCTCTGCCCTTATCGCTGATGCAGCCAGCGTCACTTGGCAAAGCTGGGCTTCTGATGAGCCTGCTGCGCTTATGGATGCGTGGTTGAGCAGTTTGAAAGACGTAGTCGAGGTAAGAATTGCTCGTCACCGGAAAATATGATACAATGCTGTCTGTATGCCGGCGCCGCCACCAATATATGCCACTCTGCCCGGGGCGGGTTGGGTGTGGGAGCGTTCTCCACTCTGCCCTGACTCAGGCAAGGTGGGGCAAAACGAAAAACAATGAAAAGAAATATAAAAGAATGAATTCGAAACCCGAGCAACTTCCTTGCTTGCTTTTGGGGCTGAGCCTCCTTGGCTTGGGGGGGGATTCTTGTAAATTCGGTCACTCACAAGTTCTCACATGTCCAGACTTGCGAGACACTCGCCTCGGCGGTCTGCAGCTTGATTATTAAACCCAAGCTCTACCTGGCTAGGTATCATATCCGCACCCATTCCACATTCAGTCAGAGGCAGAAGCAAAGCCTTCGATTGTCGGTCCCAAGGTCCCTGTGGCGTCCGTCCGTCGTACCCTAGCTGCCGCCCCTGACGCAGCAAGCCAAGCTCATCATGGCTGGTGGTTCATCATCGACCGGTTCATCCTCGCGATGGTATGCACCCAAGTTTGGCTTCCACCCGCACCAGCCATCGCTGAAGCACCGCGCCGGAGCAACCATCCTCGGTGCAACCATGTGGTTCTGGATCTTTTACAGAGCGAGGCAGGACGGACCGGTCCTCCTGGTGAGTATATTGTCTGCAAGCTTGTGCGCACATGCGCGTCAGCCCGATTGGAGTGCTTTCGGGCGACAGATTCATGGGACACGACACTTCGGGAGGTGATGGGCACCGCAGACACATTTGCAGGTGTCCGATATGGACAATGCTGAATGCGACTTTTGCAATTCTGTCGGCGTGGCATGCGACATTGGAACTGGACTCGCGCAACATGATTGCGAGGGCAAATGTGCAAGGCAGGCGTTCCTACCTTCTCTCGCCCAACTCCTATGCTCTCCAATTTGACCTAATTGGACACGATCCGACTTACTGTGTTCTTCCTGCCTCCTTTGTAGGGTCTCCGGCATCCGTGGGATGGTCACCACGGGCATCACGATGATCACGCGCACGGCGAAGGGCATCATTAGAGTACCGCAGTTGCAGCTGTCATGTGCGTCTCTCGCACTAGCGAGCGCATCTCTATCTTCGCAACTGCAGGAGGCGAGGCAAGACGAGCGTAAGGAAGACACACTGTTCACCGGCGAAGACATTCCGCGGCTAGCGATTGCAAACGCCTGCACAGGAGGAGCTGGCACAAGAAGGCTTGGGCACGAGCCCCGTTGCGAATTAGACTGTGAGGGGCAAGGATGCTTGCCCAGCAACAAGAAGTCTATTTCGGTGTAATAAGCACAAGCAAAGCAATAATTGAAGGAAAAATTGATGCGCCTTCAAGCCCAACTTGTCCCGGCATCGACTGCGCACAGGGCACTTGGCAGGATGTCTGATGAAGCTACATTCATGCGGTGTGCAAGCTTTTGGTTAATAACCAAAGTAGTGCTGGTTCTGAACGTGTGCTGACTCGGGAGTTGGATTGCTGGGCCTCCTACGCAGTCGCTCAAAAGCGTCCGTTCTTCACCATGTCAAAAGGGGTCTTGGGTCTTACATCTTTGTGTGTTTGACCATGCCTTGTGACCTTGTCTGCGCCACTCTGCTTCTTCGCTGCCTGCTTCTCCTCGACTCTGCGTCCCTTTGCCGCCTCCTTCTCCTCTTGTGCCCAAATGACCGGCTCTTCGCGCCCGACAGACTCCTCCCACTCGAGCACATTCGGGTCCATGCGTACTTTGGAAGGGTGGAATCCGGTCACTTGGATGCCGCCAAGGTGCGTCGCGCGGGAAAGGGCGACGTAGGCTTGCCCCTTCTCGAACGTCTTTGATAAGTCAATCTTGACCTTGTCGAGCGTCTGGCCCTGCGCTTTGTGGATCGACATAGACCATGCGAGAATCAGAGGGACCTGCGAGAGCACACACGCGCATCAAGCCGAACACAAAGGCCTCAGTCCCGAGCCGAACAAGCAGAGAAAGCCCAATTCAGACCCACCTGAATGCGCGAAGCCTCCTCATGCCCTATGTGAGACTCGACAGCAAATATGAGCGGTACCATGAGGACCGTCTGACCATTGACGAATTGCACGACGGGGTAGAGCACCCCCTCGTCGGCATACTCGATGCCGTTGGGTAGTGCACCGTTCACACGCTTGCTCCCGGCAGCGATACCGACTTCGATGGCTTCCTTGTCGTACGCCAAGTCAAGCGCATTACGCTCTGCTTCCGCACGATTGTCGTTCGATTCTTCCAACGTCAGCGCCGGGACATTAAGCTTGGGAGCCGACGGTTTGCCGTCGATCATTTCTGCTCGCCCACTTGCACCTGGCTCGAGCTTTGCCGCGATATTGCCAAGCTCTCCCTCCGCTTCGATGGTGCGAGCCCCCCACTTCGCATTGGTGCTCTTTTGCCCTTGTTTGTCATGTATAGGGACTGATCCCTCCATTCGGCCGATTGAAGAGCTGCCTGTCAGTTGCTTGTCTCCATCCACAAGCGCGCTCTTGCGTCCAGTTTGTTGTGAACTTGGCTCCGCCTTGACCGGCGCAGGCTCTCTTTCTGCTTGCTTTGACTCATGCGCCATACTGGCAGCAGCCGCGTCAGGATCCGGCTTCGCTTGACTTTTAATTCCCATCTCGGATGTAGAAGCTTGAGCGCCGCGCCAGACCTTTGAGTCGCCTCGCAAGTGCAGTTGAGACCGCTCGTATACATCATCGACCCAAGCCGTACCATTGACCCTCGCATTCGAAATTAGTTCACCTTTAACGCGCTTGCTTCCGACATTGTTCGCAAAGTCGTTCGGATCTGGCTTGACCTTCTTGTCATCGTCCATCAAGTATGCGTTGCCGTATTCGTTTTCAATCAATTGAGTCTTACCAGAGACGGACTGAAAGCCAACGACTTTGCCTCTACTGCCGTTAACGAGACCGTTAGAGAGGTTCTTGATGAGCATCACCTGCGCACCCTCCTTGATCTCCACCTTGTGGAGAGCAATCATGTGGCGGTCAAGGAATGTCCTGATTTCATCTTCTTTTTGCTTGTAAGCATGCGAGCCTGGCGTCAGACGGTCGATTCCATGCACAGCGCTCCTGTCCAGAGAAGTGTAGCTGACCAGCTCGCCCGGCAGCTCTTGTAGGCGCGTCTCATTTGCATCTTTGACTTGATTGCGGGTGGGAAAGAGCTCTGTCGGTAGAATTCCGTCAGATGTATCAAGCGGACGCGATAGTGCATAGTATTGCGCGATAGTGTCCTGGGAGAGTCGCGAACGTCTGGTCTCTTCGAGCATCCTAACGAATTTAGGGTCTGACTGACGGAAGACCGTTTTGAGCACGATCGTTCGAGGGATGCACGCGGTCCATGCCTTGGCATCGAAAACGAATCGTGATTTGTACGATTGACACAACTTCTGGTAAGCAAGTTTCTCCTTCCTTTGAGAGTCAGAGCTCCCATTCCAGATGGTTGGGTTCGTGATGACAGGAGGAAGCTGGTAAAAGTCTCCGACCATGACAAGTTGCAAGCCGCCAAATGGCTTTGTACTGCTTCGTATATCCTTGGCGACGTAGTCAAGCTTATCGAAAAGCACTGCGTCAAGCATGGAGATTTCATCCACGAGGAGGACCTTGCACTCTTGCCACCGTTGCCGCACGGGCACTTTCTTGCGGACACTCTTGGCCAATGCCGGGGCAGGCAGGTTGCCAAGGCCGATTCCAGCCCACGAGTGCAGAGTCTGCCCGCCGACGTGCAGTGCTGCAATGCCAGTCATAGCGCATATGCCGATTCTTGAGGGACCGTACTTGGCCCGCAGGGCCTTGACCACTGCGCGGAGCAGTACCGACTTTCCTGTGCCCGCACCGCCAGTGAACATAAGAGACCTGCCGCTCTCGACAATCATGTTCATTATGGACCTTTGCTCGAGCGAAAGTGGCGGTTCGCCATCGAGGCGAGGAGGAGGCGGCAGGTCCATGCCTTCCCACAGATGAGCATCTTCATCCTCGCCCTCATCTACGAACGCCTGTGCTATTAGCTCGACGGCCTTTCCGTTTACATTGGCTCCAGGGATCGATTCCACGTCCAGGGCGGATACAGAGTAAGATGAGGACTCTCCTTCATTGTCTTTCTGCTTGATTTCGCCCTCAGAGTCTGTGTCGCTGTCGATCACCTCTGTAGATGAGAAGAGCGCATACAGTCAGGTCTGTGAATGCTTAGCTGAAGCTCAATTGCGGCGTACGTATTGACTCTTGCTCCTGCTTCTTGATCTTGCGAATCTTGCTAGCAGAAAGCTCGGCCCTGATGAGTCGCCCAGGCCAGTATCAGCAGGGCGGTCAGTTCCTTTACGGCGCCTCTGCGATGCAGACTCGCGATCTGCTCACCATTTTTCGTACGCAGGTGCAGCCCTTTTCTTGCTGGAAGACGCCACTAGTACGCTATCTTCATCCTCCGTTTTAGCCCACCTGCCTCCAAAGGAGGGTATCCGGGAGGCCAATGCGCCTGCCGGCATTTTGCTTGCCTAGCGGATGGCGGATGGGCTACTCCCGATTAAAAGTGACGCCGGTGGTCCAGTTACCTTCCGATAATCTCTTTGCCTATTGATCCCTCCAGCAAGCTTTCAGCACGTCTTCTGAACCCGTGCACTGCAGGTTCAAATGTGCACTGTGCTTCCTGCTTCCTTTTGAAAGAAGTGAGCTTTGTGCTATGGCTCTCAAATGGTGACATCCAATTGCTGAGGCGGTGGCCAGTCAAGTGTCCATTAAAGTCAAGATGTTAGCCCAAATTTTGGGTGCTTCTGTTGTGCTTCACGTTCACGACACGGCGCGACGCGTTACCGCGGTAAATCCAGGGATTTCCCATTCCCCCTGACTTTGCTGTTTGCCCTACTCCGGCTTTCCACAACGCGGCTGGGCCGGCGCATGCTGTGGCACTGCCAAGTGCCAGGGCGGCAGCTGCGCTGGCTTTTCTAAGAATAGCTTCTCACAATAGGTCACAGTTGGGTCCATCATCGCCGGATGGATCCATTTGCTGTGTTCCTCTCTTGTGTCGGACCCGAGCATCATCGACTACTTTCACTGGCGTCGGAGCGTTTTCAGTGCCGCCGAAGAGCAGAAAAGGATATCGGCAAAGGTCAGCTCCATCGAGCGCAGCAACGATAACCTTGCCCAGCTTCCGGTGCGACGAGCGGGGTCTGCCCTGCGTCTGGCGCATCCCACTCGTTATCAGCAGCAACCACAGCTATGCCAGCACCACCCAAGCCTTGGGAGCGAGCAGGTGTGGGAGCAGCGGCAGGGGTGGCAGCGTCGTCGGCCAGCTCGCTTACCACGAGCACCGCAGCCTCGACCGGAGTAGACAGCGTTCTACCTTCAGTCCCAGAGCGCCCATCTTCTCTTGCCCAGACATCCGCGGTTGGTGAGTACGCTAAACACGACCTGGTGATTATCCACCGGGATCTCCAACTGAGATATTGTTCCTCGCAGGCGCATATGGAAGGTCAGCATATAGCCCCTATGGGGCTGGTGTTGGCGCCTATGGCTCAACCTACGGCACTCTAGGTTCCACATACGGGGGGACATACGGCTCATCCTACTCGCCTTACTCGCGGCTTGGAGCCATGGGCACAGGGTATGGAGGTATTGGCGGTTATGGAGGATACGGAGGCTACGCAGGTGGCCTAGGATACGGCGGCTATGGTGGGATGGGCATGGGAATGGGAATGGGAATGGGCATGGGCATGCCAGGGATGCCGGGTCAGCCGCCTGAGGCATCACTCACACAGCGCATGGAGGCCGGCACTCAAGCAACTTTCGAGCTGATCAGTAGCATTGTTGGCGCTTTCGGCGGCTTTGCGCAAATGCTCGAAAGCACATTCATGGCGACGCACAGCTCATTCTTCGCCATGGTTGGGGTTGCAGACCAATTTGCACACTTGCGAAACTACCTCGGTCAGGTCCTTTCCATCTTTGCACTGGCCCGGTGGCTGAAGAACATTCTACTCCGAGTCACGGGCAAGGCGCCAGCTGTCGAGCTCGACCGGCGAGAGTTCAAGGACTTTGCAGCTAATGGTGGCGCAGCGCCGGGCGCGAAACCACGGCCAAGCAAGCGGCCGCTGATCGTTTTCTTCCTTGCGGTCATTGGTTTGCCTTACCTGATGAGCAAGCTTGTCAGGCTCATTACACAAAGACAGGAAGCCGAGCGAAAGCGATTAGAGCAAATGGGCGGCGAGCAGCATCACGGTATGCTGCCTGGCCACCAAGGCGGCGGGATGATCGCATCCGGGCCGCAGGGTGCCAATGAGGTGCTCGACCCCAGCAAATTAACGTTTGTCCGCGCTCTATTTGCGTACCCTGCCGCAGATCCGCTCGAGCTGAGTCTGCAGCCGAATGACATTGTCGCAGTTCTCAGTAAGCATGACCCGCAGACTGGGCAAGAGTCACAATGGTGGAAAGGGCGGACACGCGATGGACGCATCGGATGGTTCCCTAGCACGTGAGTCTTCTTTTCGAGTTAATTTCAGCGCATCCAAGTCACTGATCGCTCGCTCACTCCAGATATGTGGAGTCCTTGGAGACCGCTAAAGCAAAGGCTGCCAAGGCGGCTGAAGCAAAGGAAGGGACAAGCGAGGCCAAAGTGATCGAACCGGAGGACAAGGCGAAAGCGTCGGCCAAGAAGGCCGCCACTGCTGCCTCTCGGTAATCGCGCATTGCAGCACACATCCACACATGTCTGATGGTTCGTGTGCGACTTGAAGGATGTATTTGTAGTGTTCTTTATAAGTGTATGTGCAGTGGAATGCGCTCCTCGAGGATGGGCCTACATATTCAAAAGCTCGCTGTATTGGGACCCAGCCGCCTGGGCCCAATGGGCACCCCTTGGAATATAGTAATTTTCTACCGAATACCGGACTTTTAGCCGGCGAAACGGAGGCGGAGGTCGATATACTGTTGAAATTGAAAGTAGAAACCATTCAGCAACCCCATTCAATACTGCGAGGACCCAAAGGATAAAGAAACGCAGTGAGAAAAGCGTGAAAAGCGGTAAAGAATTCACCGAGGACTGAACTCTCGAGAGTCGAAGCCCGAACGACGACGCGCTGAGCCTCCTGGTTCAAAGCTTGGACATATCACTTCACGTCTTGCCTCCGCCCGTCAGACAATTACATTGTCGTCGACTGCATGCAGAGATGTGGCTCACAGATCAGCAGAGTGAGTGGCGAAGCGAGATGCGTTCGCTTCCCGAATGCCCAGCACCCTCCTTCTGACCATCTGCATTTTCCCTGGTTCGCCTCGTCTGGTATCGGTTCGCGTGACTGCGCGCCCACTGCTGCTTGCAGAAATCGGAGTCGGCCTGGTTTCCTTTGGCACCTTTTTCCTCTTCCTAGGCGTCCTATTGTTCTTCGATGCGGCTCTTCTTGCGCTGGGAAATGTTCTCTTCACCGGCGGCATCACGCTGCTAATCGGGCCGCAGAAGACGTTCTACTTCTTCGCACGCAAGCAGAAGATCCGCGGGACAGCATGCTTTTTCGCGGGGATGCTTTTAGTCTTCATGAAGTGGACTTTTATCGGCATGATCATCGAAGCGATAGGCTTTCTCAATCTGTTTGGGTAGGTCCGCATTGTACTTTTCGCAAAAGCTGTACTCGACCAAGCTGACACCCGCTTGTGGTACGGATAGTGATTTTTTCCCGGTCATCCTTAACTTCCTACGGCAATTGCCCTTCATTGGCAATCTCCTCTCACTACCAGGTATCAGAGAGGTGAGCAGACAATTCAATGCTATGTTTGGGCCTCGCACTGAAACATCGGACCATATTTACGTGTGACACCCGCACGCAGGTGTTGGACAAGCTCGCAGGGTCACGACAATCAGCAGTCTAGAGGGAACCCAGTGCCATCGTCTTACTTGTAGCATCTCACACGATACATGAAGGACAGTGAAGCGCTCATTCGAGCTGGTCGCGAACGGCGGTCGAGAAACGTAAAGCCTACGGCGCATCTAAGGAAACCCAACTGAGACTTACTGCCAGACTAGAAGTCTCGTTGGTTAATCTATTTTCTTAAGCCTGAAACGCAAGCATTATACACACAATTGTCCCGTACGCCATACTCACATGACTATTCAGCACTGTCGCTTCTAGCGTGACAAATGGATGTTTCTGTCTGTAGCGCGTTGGATTTGGTTTCACGATTGTCCGGCTGAATTTCTCGTTGGGTATGCTCCGCGTTTCTGAGCAGTGTTCCTTTTTGGCGGGAGACGCGTACATCTTTGTCGTTGTTACTCATCGATCGCTACACTGAGACATAGATCGCCTGAGGTGACCTTGAACATTTCAAGCACGGCCTTGCCAATCTTTCGGATGCCATTAGACTGCAGGAGAAGGCCTCAGACAAAGCTGCTGCGAAGTGAGAGGTAACCGCAGAGATGAACTCGCTGTACAATCTGGCGCTGCGCCAGTCTTCGTCTCTGCAAGCCGACCTTGCTCGCCTGGATTCCGACACAAGTGGTACTTCGAGCGCAGCGCTCCAAGGTCAGCTGACAGCCACCTTTTCGGCCTTCTCGCGAACTGTGGACGATTATGAGGGTATGGCCAAACGCGAGCTCGTGCAGTCGAAGCAGGAAAAAGCGTTGGAGCGGGTGAAGAAGTTCAGAGATGAAGAAAAGGAGCTCAAGACGCAATTCGAGCGGCTAAAGAACAGAGCAAAGGTGATTAGCATCAATGTGAAGGTCTGAGCACCCACGCAGACTTGTGCTTATTCCTCACGTCTGTGGTCTCTCTTCTCTTGCGAAGCTCGTGCCTTTGGTGAATACGAACGGTTTGACGGCTGGCAATGCAGCGGGCTCGTCATCATCCTACAACCTTCGATCTCCTACGTCACCTGGCTTCCAAGGCGTAGCGGAGTCGCCATATGCATCACTACACGCCCGAGGCTCTTCAAGTGCAGCGCTGTACCAAGCACATACCACGATCGGCGGGATAGACCCCGGTCCAGATCCACGGTCGGCCTACAAGATGAACGCATCCGCAGCCGCCATGTTTGGCAATGTGGGCACTGGCAGCGGCTATTCAGCGCGGGAATCGCACGCATTGCGAGAACACTCCTTCATTGAGCAGACAGAGAACCAGCTGGATGCCTTTATCTCACAAGGGAAGGAGGTGTGGGAGAACCTCGTCGAGCAGCGGCAGATCCTCAAAGGCACAAGGCGCAAATTGCTCGATGCTGCAAATACGCTCGGTCTCAGTCGCGACGTCATCGTAAGTGCACAAGTCCAAAAATTCTGACTGGAAAGCCTCATGTGTCTCTTTGATTAACCCTGTCGTAATGCACAGGGCTACATTGAGCGGCGAAGCACTCAAGACAACATCATCTTTATGATCGGCGCGATCTTTACGCTGGTGTGCTTCTGTGAGTGATTGGTCCTTACTTGCTGTGCTGCGCTATGTGGTACTGATGCGCTTACCATGAATGGCAGATTACATTTACAAATGGTTCGGCTAGCATTTCTGATACCCAATATATTATATTCGTCTCTATCTACTCGTCTTCGTCATCCGACGGACTCTCGATAGAATACTTGAACTGCTGGATGATGATACGCGTCTTCTTCAGGCGCGGCGAAAGTGGATGCTCTGCTTCAGAGACATTGCCGTGGCGGTCAAAATTGCAGAAGTTCTGTACCGCAGGAATGACAAGCGTCGATCAGTATTCTGTAGGCGCTCACGCGGACATGATTCGTGAACTCACCTCTTTCAACAGCAGGCTCTTGCAAGGCTGACAGTCCTTCGCAAGAATCTTTCTCTCCCCCAGCTCAAGACCGGGTTCGGTAGAGTACTTGTCCGATGGGCCAACGAACAGAGCCTTGTGCCAACGGACCCCTTTTGCTTTGTACCCTCGAATAGGTGTCTGGTACACCTGAGCGTCGCCGGCCCCAAGGCGATGCTCCTTGATCGCTTGCATCAGCTGTAGCGCCTCTTCGACGTCGTCTTGTGACCGCTCGCTCTCAACACTGGTGCGGTTCTTTGCGCGATTCGCCCTTGCCGTCGCAGCGTCTGCTTTCGAAAGTTTCACGGCTCCACCAATGCGAGGAATCTTCGCGGACGGACTTGGAGGCTTCGCACCGTCGATGTACACCTCGCGATACTCGAGTTGAGCGACCCACACCTCGTTCTTGCGAGTGTTCCTTGTCGTCAAGCGAGCCAAATCCGGAGCTGACATAGGTATCACAGGTGCGATACCAGCGCGTAGTCCCACAGGTGCTGAAACCGAAGTTGCATTTGCCGACCGGTTCGAAACTTCTTCGGACTGTGATTGTGACGCGTTTCGAACGCGAGCCGTTCGCGGCGGCATCGATGATGAGAGGGCTACGGAAGGAGCCAGAAGGCTATCACTGGAAGGCGTTTTGCTAGATGTGAAGCTGGTCTGCCTGCTTTCAGCAGTAAACTGTCCCTTCTCAACCGTCGCTGCGGTACTGTTCGATGTTGGCGTTAATTTTGTCGGCGAAAAAACTGGCTGAGGTACGAACGGCCCGCGATCGACCCTGTTGGATGCTGCACTCTGTTTAAGCGGAGACCGACTGTCTGACATTTGCGATGATGGTGGGCTCGGGCCACGAGGCGTTGGCGACGGCCCGCGCATAGCACCGGCTGTCCGAATGATACCCATGAGACGAGGAACGGTCGGCTCGTTACGTGCAATAGTGGCTGTCTCTCTAGTAGCAGCAGCGGCAGCAGCAGCAGCAGCCTCCGCATTGGCTCGCCGCCACCCGGGACCGGCTGCACGGACGATCGGTTTCACTGGAGAAGTCGGCTTTGGAGTGACCTTTGCAGATGGGGCTGCTGCACTCGACGCGACAGACCTACGATTTGTGGGTACCGGCACGGGTCGTGGTGGCCGCGGCGCTGACGCGGACGGAGTCCCGGAGGAGGGGAGCAGCACGCGCTTGGCTGAGGCAAGACGCCCGGCGGCAGGCCGACGCTCCATGACCGGCCCATCACTACTGGCAGCGGATGGAGCGGAACTGCCCGGTAGCGCCGCCGCCATAGAAGCTGGAGCTGGTCGATATGAAAGTGTTGCAGCTGGCGCGAGCGTGTGCGGCGCAGCGGGTTTGGCGTCGCGCGCTTCTGTTGCAACTAGGCTTTTTGACACTGCAGTGTCCAAGGTCGCTGACGTGAGCTTTACCTCGGACGCAGCCACATCACGACTTGCAGTGGCCGCCACTGCTGGTCTCCCAGCTGCAGCACCCTTCAATTTCGGATTCGACTCCGACAGCGAACGGGCCGTAGCAGCTGGCCTAGGAACGGTGGTTGGCACCGGTATCACCTTGCTGCGCACACATTTTGCGGGAGCTGGAATTTTGCGAATCGGGGCCGCGACCGGCGTAGGAATTGCAGAAGGAGGAAGCTTGCGAGTCACGCCCGACTTTGGTCGCACCAGTCCGCATTTCTGAGGAAGCACTGAGGACTTGGAAGCGCCCATGGGTGTTATACGTGGAACAGGTCGAACGACTGAACCCTTTTGCAGAGGGCCCCGGTCGTTCACAGGAGCTATTAGCACCGAAGTGCGCTGGGTAGTAGAGGAGAGTAAGGTCTCAGCCGGATCTGATATGGAGGCTTCGTAGGTGTCTGTAGGAGCCTGGCACTGGCTTTCTGGACGGCCCTCAAAAGGCATAAACACTGCCTCGACTTCGGCCTGCGACGCTGAGAGGATGGAGCACTTCAAAGGCATCGTGGTTGAATGCGACAGCACTGTCGTCGAGCTGCTTGAAGGTTTTGACGGTGACGACGACACCTTGAATGAGGATGATGAAGGCTTTGAAGGCGAAAGCGTTGCGATCATGGCGTCTGCCCAAGAGCCGAGGATGGTGCCCATAGATGGCGACTGCGGCACTCGATTCGCTGGAGAATGATGATCTGGTTTGCGCGGCGAGCTCTTCGTTGGACTGCTGCTTGCAAAGGGGTCGAACGCTATCTCTCGCAGCATGTTGCTTGCTGGCAACAATGGCGGAGGCATGTTCTCCTTGTCGATTGCATTCATTTTATGCTGCTGTTCCTGCAGTTGCTCCCATCCAAGCTCTTCGAGTTTTGCGCTGAGCCGCGCGGACCTCCTGCGCTGAGGTCTTGCAGGCGAGGTGTCGCCAAAATCACTGCCATTCGACGGCGACTGTCCGAAGGCATCCTGCAAAGCCAACCGATGCCTGCTGATCGGGCTAAACACCGCTGTCGAGAGTGCAACGCCGGGTGATGCCTCATTGCTCGCGATGCTGGCGTCCGCTGCTGCTGCAAGCGATGGCGCCAGTCGCTGCGGCGTAGCGGCATGCCCTACTTTTGGCCCTTCATCCTGCAACGCAGCAGCATCGGACGATGGCTGCACGACAAAGAGCTCAGGTTCTTTGGTTGCAGCAGCCTCGAGACCCATAGCGAACTCGAGGGCTAGATCCAATTCAAAAATCTCCACTGGCGAGCCTTGATCGATCTCGTCGTCCGCACCTTGGACTTTGCTGCGTTTCCCTGCGATACTCTCTGCGCTTTGATCGCATTTTTCTGCCTGCGCCCCAAGGGCATCCATCCCATCTTCCGCAACCTCGGCCTCTGATTGGGAAGTTGCACGCTCAATCTGCTCTTCTGTCTGCTCTTCAGCATCGACTTCGTCTACTGCAGCACCTGCATAAGAGGGTGAGGCGATGACTGCGCTAGTAGAGTGCAACTTTGCAAGCATGTCCGCCAGCTCATTGACTGCTGCGTGCACAGAGCTGTCGGCCTGGCTCAGCGGAGCGAGCGGCAGCGTGAAAGACACGTCGCCGGCAGCAGCAGCAGCCCCCTCATGAAAAGTCGTATCGAACCCGTCAGTGATGGTTTCATCTGCTGATATGGCCTGTGCGCGAGCCTGCAGTACGCGCATTGAAATGGGCAGGTCTGGAGGTGCTTTCAGCTCGCGAGAAGGTTCTTGTGCTTCCACCAGTGCCGCTAAAGCTGCTGCTTTCTCTGAGGGTGCTGAGATTTCAGACGACCCTGAACACATAAAAAAGCAAAGTATGATGAGCCAGTGCACACCGAGACGTACGAGTTCCTTTGCTTACTTTTCCCAGATGCTACCTCTTTCAGGTCCGTGCTACCTGTATCTTCTGCAGGATCGGAAATTGAGATCTCAGCATTTGGTTCGTCCCTGGCAAGCCCTGCAGTCGTTGTTGCAGAGCGTTGATCCTCCTGCTCAGCGACTGCATGTTGGAGAGACTCGGCTTCTACAGCAGATTTGCTAAGCACCGGGGACAGTGACGGTGATGGAATCTGCGAAACTGGTGCAAGTAAGCGACTGGACCTCAAGCTCGGCGACTCTGGTTCAGTGTCGGTGTCTTGCGCTTCCAGCTGCCGTGTGGTGTACGCTGAGCTACTCGGTCTCTCCGTGGTGTCTTGCACGCTGGAGGCGGAGGAAGACGGGACATTGAAATCGGGTTCCGAGTGCGCTTGCCTTTCGTTCGAATCTGCAGGAGGTAGGGTCCGCTCGAGGTCGGCAGCGGTCATCGTGCGCCTGCGCGCGAGATCCAAGCTGTCCCTCCGCAGCAAGCGCCTCTCGCGCAGCTTCGTTTCGTACTTGACTCTTCGCTCGTGCTCGGCGGTGGAAGGCGTGCCGAAGAAGATGACAGGCAGAGGTTTCCGCCGCTTGCGCCGGCGTGTCATGCTTTCGACGGCAGCAGCTGCCCCTTCGTGGTCGTTGCTCTCGGTGCTGGAATATGTCTCGCAGTTGGAAGTCGAGAGTTCCGAGTCAGACTCTTCAGTGGCTGCGGCAGAGTAGCCTTCAGCGTCATCGTCATCAACGTCGCTTGTGCACGCGGAAGCCGTGGGTGTGCTGGGAGCGTCGCTCGAGACGTGCTCGCGCGTCGAGGGCGAGTGCGGGAGCGTTGAGCGCGTGGACAAGCATGCGCTGTTCGCGCGAAGAGGCGTGGACGGAGGAAGACTGATCCCCAGGAGTGCTTTTGCCATCGCACGGGGGCTGCTCGGTGCGGGAGATGTTGTCGATCGCGAGGGCTTGCATGGCGACTGGGTCGCATGAGCGCCATGCTCGGGTAGAAGGTGGTGCGGCGAGTTGTTGCTGTTCAAGTCGCCCAACGCCTGCCGCTTGCGTGGCGACGATAGCATCGCCATGGTTGCCTTCGGGTCAACTCTTAGGCCTTGCAGGCGTGCAATTCTACTCGCAGAAAGCTTGCATTGGCTCGATGGTCCGGTGTTCAGTGAAAGAGAATACGTTGTATGCATACTGATGGGGCATTGTATGGGAAGCAACACAAAACAAATGAGGTGGGGATTGCTGCCAACAGAGAACAACACGTGAGGCGACGAGTTGTTGGGTGTCGCCACGACGCGTCGGAAGGTCACGTGACCACCAACCTGAATGTGTTCCCGCCACTTCCACCATTTATTTCTATTCATCATGCCGATCACTTACACCGCATCACTTCTTTTTCTAAGAGAACATCCGAGCCCATCGTTGACACGCTCCTCTTCAAACCGAGCATCGGGTGCATCAGCGAAGATGGCAAAGCGTTTGAGGCTGGAGGTGCTTCCGCTGCGGCAAGCTGTGCAACTATGGGCGACGACGCGGCCCTTCACTGCATGTGCGGTGTGCGCCTCGGGCCACAATAAGGTGCGTGTTCGTCTGCTGGGCCAGCCGGCAGAGTGAAGAGGAGACCCTCATCGCTGACCCTGTAACACCCGGTGCTGCTGTATGCTGCATAACTGTGCGCGCGTGCGCAGTGGTCCAAGATTAAGCACAAGAAGCAAGCGAACGACGCTGCACGCGGAGCGTCATACGGGACGATCTCGCGCGAGATCATCGCGGCGATCAAGGCACACCCGAGTGCTGCGCCGGCGGGACAAGCGTGGGACCCGGCGCACAACGTGCGACTTGGTATGCTCGTGAAGAAAGCGAAGGAGCTGGGCTTTGCGAAGGACAAGATCGAGAACACCATCGCCAAGGCGAGCGGGCGCGGTGCGGATAACTTGCAGACGGCCACGTACGAGGCGCTCGGGCCGGCGGGAGAGAACGGGCATGCGGTCGCGTTGGTGATGTGAGTGCGACCCTGCTCGGAGAGGAGGTATGCGCTAGAGGGGGAGCGACATAAGCTGACCGCACCGCCGCACGCCACCCCGTCGCGCGTGCTATGCTGCATGTGTAACAGCGAGTGCAGTACCGACTCGCCAGCGCGGACGCACGCCAAGGTCCGCGAGACGTTCAACAAGGTCGGTGGTCGGCTGTCTTCGACGGCGCACCTGTTCGACCGTGTCGGCATTGTGCGCGCCGCGTGCACGGACGCGGGCGGGACGTACGATGCGCTGTTCGAGCTCGCGGTCGAGCACGGCGCGACGGACGTCGTCCCGCTGCTGCCGGGCAGCCGCGCGCGTGCCAAGTTGAGCGATTCCGAGCTCAATGCCATCCTGATCGCTGCCGCGGACGCGAAGCCGCAGCCGCCGATGTCGTCGCTGTCGCCGTCTCCCTCGAAAGACGCCGCCGCCGCCGCCGACGACGGCGACCTGCCGGTCCTGGTGGTTGACGTGCACTGCGCGCCGGCAGACGTGCGAGGGCTCGCTGAGGCGCTACGCGGCGCGGGGCATGCGGTGCTCGACGCAGAGCAGAAGTTGCTGCCGAATGGGCCGCTGCTGCACGTGCAGGATGCCAACGCCGATGCCGATGCAACCGCGGGCTGGGTCGACGGCGAGTATGTGCAACGCCTGGACCGGATGCTGAGCCTGCTAGAGGATAACGCGGATTGCACGCGCGTGTGGAGCAATCTCGCCGGCTGGCCCGCGCGGTGATCGTTGACGCGCGTCTCACATTGCACGTCCCGTGGCTGGGTGCCCGGTGTGTATGTGTATGTACAGCGTGGACGCGGCATCCAGCATGACCATTGGCGGTGCAGTGCACTCCTGTGTAAATATTATATAGCATGATTGATAGACGCTTGCAAACCCTCCCTTTCCCATCAGCGCATGCTCATTATCATCATCATCAGCAGCAGCAGCATTCCGTCTGCACCCTGTATCTATGGGGCTGGGATGACCCGTCGAGCCGAGCGAAGAGGCGGCCGCCCGGGACGTGTGCAGTTGCAACAAGAAGCGGCGACGCGCGTCTCGCAGCTGGGAGTAGGATCTCTACGTGGGTTTCCCGACTTGCCGCGATCACATTTGTCACTTTGAACCAGGCCGAACTTTCAATTCCCACCCCGCCGACGGGCACCCAATTTGCTAGCAGCATCTCTCGCTCCAGGTAACAAACATAGCTAGCACACATGATGTTCGAATCCGTCTTGCTTTCCTGCATTCGGTGTTTATAAGCATTTCATCTGACCCATCTTGCTTCTTGTTGCCTCTCCCTCTGTGCCTGCTTTCTAATCTCCAGCCATTGTCCTTATTCTCTGCCCTCCTGCACCAACTACCAGGCCTCGGCGTTGGTAGTGTGATGAAGAGTAATCAAGAACAGATTTGGGGTTCCCCCATAGTTCCCGCTGGGATTGCGAGTCCTTTCGAGTCTTGGACAGTGGCCAGTGGATAACCCTAACTGCGACATAGACGATCAGTAACTGGACTGGACTGCGGCAATGCTGGGCCTGCAAAGACAGGCGAGGGCCAAACTGAAGCAAAAACCCTAAAAAAACCTGGCAGAGCGACGCCAAAGAAAACTGTGCGTGAGCGGGCAGAAGAGGAGAGGGTGGGAAGGAGGGAAAAAATGAAGGAGAGGAACTGCAGCGCGGGCCCCACATGGGTTGGACGCATGCATGCCGTGCCAGGAGCCCCATCCAAGCTCCAGCCTGCAGAGACTGGCGCCGTGCCGAGAGAAACGACTGCAAGAGCGCGCATACATATTTTTCTCTGTGGTCTTGTTTTTACCATACCATTGCCCACCACCAGTGGGAACTCGTCCTCATGCATCATTAGATAGTGTGTGGTTGGGGGGTGTAGAGGGCGTCTGGCTGTCGTTGCTTTGCATTACATGGGTGTCGCAAGCACGCGGAAAAGCAATCACCCCACCATTGCACGTCTGCACCGGCCAGCAGCGTCGCCCTCGCCCATTTCCACCTCTGCTCCAAGCGGCTGCAGCTCCTGCAGCAGGCCCGCCTGGACGGCAACGTGCAACATGCGTCTGCACTCACCACCACGGCGGCCATCCCCGCCCCCCCGGTGCGCTGCCTGTGCCGCGCGGGGACGGCCCGATGACGCCGGCTCGTGCAGCCCTGCTGCTGGTGCACGACACATGCTGCTGCAGCAGCGCTGGTGCCCGGAGGCCTCGAGGGGCGACAATAATGAGTCGAGAGGCCCAAGCACGACGTCGAGCGCACCATCGTCATCCTCGTCCTCTTCCTGTTCATTAGCGCATATAGCCTCCTTCCCTCCACCGACATCCCTGCCCCCTCGCCGCTCGCAACGAGGCACCCCAGCGACGCCCATTCTGCGCATCCCCGGCGCATCGACCCTCGCTCTCAGCCTCACCAGCCTCCTCCCTCTCTTCTTCCTGCTACTTGCCCTCGTGCCGGGCGCGCAAGCCGCGCCGACCGTTTCACTGAAAGTGTCGGATCCGAAACCTTGTGCGTTCGCCTCAGCCGGCAGCTGGCGCTTCACATCCCTTCTTTTCTCACACTCTTTCATCCTCTCTTGGCCCTGCAGGCTCGCCCATGTCCGTCTCGTGGGACACGTCCCAGGGCACCGCGCCTTGGACGCTGACAGTCGCTGTCCTGAACCACGTGCAGTACACGACCGCCTTCCCTGCCGGCTATGCGTCCGGCAACACGTGGACCTGGAGCTGGGACGTGCCGCGCTTCAAGGGCAACACGCCCGGCGTGCTCGTTGCCGTCACCGACGCGTCCGGCAAGTACAGCGCCGTATCCCGCTTGCTCTCCCTCGGCAGCAGCGGCGGCGGGGCGTGTGCGATGGCGAATGAGAGCCTCGACTTTGTCTGGTCTGTGCCCAAGGGCTCGCCAGCCACCTGTGACGTGTGGAAGATCAAGTTTCAGAAAGAAACCGCCCAGCCCGGCGCAACCGCGCCCGTCGGCCTCACCTTCCTTCCCATTGGCGACCGGCCGAGCGCGTTCACCACCGCCTCCACCGACGAGTATGACTGGACCGTGCCCTACCCGCCCGGCACGCAGTTCACCCTCGCCGTCTCGGATGCTGGCAAAGCCGCCACTGGCGGCGTCGGCCTCCTCTACACCGTCGGCGACAAACCCAAAAAGTGCACAGACCCAACGAACGCCGGCGCTGCTGTCGCCGGCATCGTCGGTGCCACGAGCACCGCTGCACCTGGCAGCGCGCCAACGGGCAAAAAGGGCGGCGGCGGAAGCAAGGGCAGCGGGACCAGTGGCACGAACAGCTCCTCGAACGACGACCACTCTGCGGCTTCTACCGGCAGCCACATTGGCGCAGCCGTTGGCGGCGCCGTCGCGGGCATTATCGCGCTCGTGCTCATCGGCGTCGGTGTGTGGTACTGGCGCAAGCGTGCCTCTGCTGGTGGCGCAGGCGCGCAGCGCATAGGCGCTACTGGCTACTATGGCAAGAACGGCAGCGGCGCAGAGGACGACTTTGGCAACCTTACGCCTGCCTCCGAGTACGGAAATCCCAACGGTCACGCCGCAAGCGGCGGATATGGCTTTGGGGGCGTCGGCAACACAGCCGCTGCAGCGGGTGCCGCGGCCGGCGCGTGGCGCTACAGTCGCCAGCAACAACAGCAGGAGCAGATCCGGTCGGGGCAGACGTTTGCCAGCGCTGAAGGACTGAGCATAGCCGGTGGTGCAGGTGCGGGTGCAGCGGCCATGGACAGCAACACCCGCGCGTCCGTATCGGGCCAGTCGACGTTCTCGCACGAGCGCCCATTGGCCGATCGCGCCGACAGCTCACACAGCCACGGCGCTGGCGGCAGCAGCGTCGCGGGCGTCATGATGCCTGCGCCTCCCTCGGCTGTTCAGCGCAGCGTCTTCAGCACCGTCCCCGATGACCACCTCTTCCCCCCGCCGCGCCCGTCGCAGGTGTCGCCCGGCTCCGAGGCCAGCCATGCTTCTGCTGCTGCCGCGCACATCGATGACCACAACATGCAGCAGCACCCGTCGCCAGCACCGAGCAGCCACATGCTCCGCGCTGCAGTGCAGATGCAGCAGCAGCAGCAGGCCGTTTCGTACTCGGGCGTCATGACCACCGCGCAGCTCGCGCGCTCCGCAGCGCCAAGCGCTCAGTACGTCCCCTCGCCGCCTTTTGCACCGATGCGCATGCATGGTGGCTCACCCGCGCCGCCGCAGTTGCTGGGCCACCAGTATCAGAACTCACAGTACGCACCCACGATGCAGCAGGCGCCGCCGCCTCCGCAGCAACAGTTCAGACCCCCGCCTCCCATCGGCGGGGGGCAGCTCGTGCCGATCCAGAACGAGACGGAGCACGGCTCGTCGCGCGTGCAGAGTCAGTACTCTCTTAGCGGCAGCACGATCGACGAGGGAGAAGTGATCGACATGCGCCACGGCTACGGCGCCCCAGGAGCACCCGCGGCGCCATCAGGCTTGGCGCGGGAGCTCGACACGAGTAGCCGACGTCAGTCAATATCCAAGTCGAGCTTGTACTCTTCAGGCGGCAACGGCAGCGGCAATGGCGCCGGTCCACCGTCCTACGCGCCCTACTCAAACACTGTCGTGTCACACGAGGTCAGCTCACAGAGCGGTGCATCAAACCCTAATGGCTCCTCGTTTTTGCACGCAGCCAATGCCGGCGCGGGTAACGGCGTCAAGCCGCCAGTGTATCCGGGCAGCCCGGCTGGTACCGCCAGCTTTGCTGCGCA